GGGGGGGGGGGGGGGGAAAGAACTTACGATGCTTGTACCGACAAAGCCGGTAAAGGTCGGGACGACAGCCATGTTGTTCATGTTGTCGTTTTTTCGAAACTATATCCTACGTCAGATACAAACCTGTTTACGAAATTTGAAAGGCAAGGGAGGATAGTCGACATGGCGATGGCTGGGTGCTGGTCTACATTAGTCCGGAGAGTCTATGGTAAGTGTGGAAAGGGGTTGGAGGGATGGAGGCTTGGGGAGATGGAGGGAGGATGAGAGGGGTGGGTTAAGGATGGGGTTTGGTTTGTTTTGTATGTATTTTTTGAGCTTGTTCATCTTTTTTTGCTTATCTTTTTGTGAGCTTTTTAGATCTTTTTTTCTATATTTTTGAGCCTTCTTTTTGGTCTTTTTTTTCTGTGAGTTGCTCAATCTCTTTTTTTCTCTTGACCTTTTCTGTTTTTTCTTGCTCAGTTCTTTCTTGCTCTATTTTGTTTTGCTCTGTCTTTCTTCTCAGCTGTTCAGGCTTGTCTTTTTTTTTTTGAGCTCTTTTTTCTGCCTATTAGGAAAGTTGGGAATGTGGAAAAGCCAGAACAGAAGCCAAAACGTAAGCCAAAACATGGAATAAGGATCTTGGACGGGATGCCAAGAGAAGAGCAAGGCCGGGCTGTACCGGTGAGGTCGGTTGAGTAAAAGGGTAATAGGGATAGGAATGGAAATGGGAATGGGCATGGAATAGGGGATTGAGAATGGGGATGATAAGGGAAAGGGGAATAGAAAAGGGTCGTTGGGGTCACGACAAGGCAGCAGCAAGCGTAGGGGTGGGCGAATGGAAAGGGGATACTTACCCACGACGGTGGTCGAGGTTGAGACTTAAGAGTCTTGTTGGGTCTTGTGATACAACTATTATAGTTGTTAGTGAATGAAATCAACACAGTGTAGGGGAAAAAGGTAGGAGATGTGATGGGGAGAAGCCAGTTGGTGGGTGATACTTACCCACGACGAATCGAGGTCGGAATTGAGATTTGGTTTTGATATAGACTACATTAGATGTTAGTAAGGAACGATGACAAGGTGGGAAACAACTGGGCAGCTGATACTTACCCACGAGGTGAGTCGAGGTCTAGTGGTGTGCTTGTAGGTATTGTCTTATAACTGTGATGGTAGTTAGGAAAAGAAAGAAACATATGGTAGGACAACAGAGGTAGGATGAGAGAGGTAGGATGAGAGAGGTAGGATAGGAGAGGTAGGATAAGAGAGGTAGGATAGGAGAGGTAGCATAAGAGAGGTAGGATAGGGGAGGGGGTATAAGAAAGGTAGGATAGGAGAGTTAGAATAAGAGAGGTAGGATGGAGAGGTAGCATAAGAGAGGTAGAATAGGAGAGATAAGATAGGAGAGGTAGGATAGGAGAGGTAGGGTAAGAGAGGTAGGATAGGAGAGGTAAGGGAAGAGAGAAAAGAAAGGTGATACTTACCCACGATAGGATCGAGGTTGAAGGTTGAGGTATGTATTGAGGTATATATGTTTGTTTGAAGCGTGTGTGTACTTTGTATATTCACTGAGGATGAGAATATAAACTTAGAACTGAGCTGAGAAAGTAAGAGAGAACTTCCCCCAGACTCAGGGGGAGGACGCCTTTTTATACTTCCCAGGTCCCAGGGCACGAACCTCTTTACGATGGCTTCCAAACCTTACCAGAACATCCTAAAGCTACCTCTATCTTCCATTTCCATGCTTAAACTGCAAGTGAACGTCCTCTGTAGCATCATTTTGGTGCGAAAAGCGCACATTACGCACCTGTGCGGACGAGGTAAGATTCCCGGACCCGGTTTGGACTTCAAGAGAAGCTTCGTTCCGGCAAACACCATTGCGCACTCCAAGGCCGCATAGTTTCGATGCGTCTAGATGGATTGCATTGACTCATTTCAGAGGATTCGGGGAAGTCGAGCTGGTTCTTTCCTGGTCCTTCTCTGCAAGCTGAGAGACGCGCGGCCATAGTATGCATTCAAGCGCAGGGAAGAGACGCAAAATATCCAGATGAAGCGGAATTGGGTAGAAGTAACCAGGCAGAGCATGTTTTCAACCTTTCCGATGAGCGCAATAGAATTCTGGACTCGGGAGACATGGGGGATAATTTCGTGCTAAACACTCGCCAGCCCTACCGTCTTCCGGTGGAATTCCTTGCCCAAAACTCACATTCATATAATCCTCAAACTAGAAACTAAGTTAACCGTTCATACCAAATTTTTACCTTTGTACGTCGACTCAATACTCATCCAACAGCCGTGTAAGTGGTGCGTGTAAGTGGTGCGTGTAAGTCGTATAAGTGGTCACTTTCCCTTTTGGGAAAGTAAACACACGGACCCCTGCATCGCTTGCACACAGAACCTTGAATCCCAAGCCTTGCGCTACAGCACCGCTTCATTTCTCACATATGCAAAGAAGCACTTCGAAGGACTCGCAATGCGCAGCCGCGAATTCCGCAATATGCACTCCCGGTTGCGCTTTACTTTCCGGCTTCCGCCGGGTTAAAACTGTTTTGCAGAAGCTTTCTACATCGGTTTTGTGAACGCAAGCAAGCGCTTCCGTTGCTGGGTGGATGCGTCTCCACAATAACTGATGGGAGAAGCCCGTAGGGCAGCAAGCAGCAAAGGAAAAGGGGCGAAGCAAACAGATATCGGCATTCGATTCAATGTGCTATCGGGCGGGTTGGGTGGATGCGGCCAGTCTCTAATCTGAGTTTTTCCGTTTTTCCGGGTCGCTTTTGGAGGGGAGGGAATTGAAAATCACCTTGGGGAGAAAGTACCCAGATCGAAGACAAAAGCGACAGAGATATACGGCCTTGGAAGGCCATCTCCCATAAGCTACAGATCTCTTTAGTTTACACTAATTACAATTAATTAACACAATCCCAGCCATGGCAACAGCGCGGCTCCTTATTCCTAATGACCCAAGTCGTCCGCCGAAACACTACACAACCCGCCCAAACGAATGGGAATGAAAAGGCCCGCAAACCTCCCCAGTTCCTTCTCCCACTTTCTCTCTCTTCTCAACCTGCACGCCCTCGTCATAACCCACGCACGTCTCACCCCCTCTGAAAAAACCAGGGCGTCCGTCTATCAAAATCCGGCCCAGCACCAACCAGAGTCTGGGCCAACAACCCACCCCCCCTTCCACCTCCTGCCCCTTGCCCGTCGATAATCTCGCGACTAGGCCATTCCATCGGCACAGGCAGGTAACCCTTGAATGCATCCAACTTTTCGCCGCCCGCGAACCATTTATACGGGTCGTATCCCTCCTGATGGGCGTTGTTGTTGTTGCTGGCACTCTGAACCGGCGGTTTCGACTCGGCTGGGAATGAGGAAGGGGTGGGTAGGTTTTCTGGTGTGGGTCCATTTTTGGCCTCGCGCTCTTCGCGCTTCTTTTTGTCGTACTCGTCGTCACCTGCTCGGAGGAGGACGCCGCATTCCCTGTGTTTTTGTGAGTGAGTCGTGGGATGGGGTGTGCTCGGGCATGTTGAGGGAAGGAAAAGGAATGGAAGGGTCGGGAAGTTGTGCAGTTTGAAGCGTGCAGGAGATTAAGGGACCGTGGAAGGGGTTGGTGAGCAAGTTTTTGACGGGGTGGCTGAGCAGAGCGGGAATAAGGGAGATAGAAGTAGATGCAAGATGGTTCAAAGCGTTGTTGCGGGTAAACACGGCCAAGGCATTTCCATGAAACGAGACAAGTCGCATGGAAGGAAATAGCGGGAATGGGGGAGATAGAAGTTGATAGCATACCAATTACGGCATGTGATCGAAGGTTCACCGGTCTCAACGTCGCCCGACACGATTCCCCTATGAAACGAAGAGTCAGTATCAGTAAAGTCAAGAAGAATCCACAAGATTCGAGATGTAGTTCCAGTCCCGACGAAATTGCTGCGTGGAAGAACAACTTGCGAGACAAAACCAGGCTGTGGTTGAGTCGCTCGACAGGCTGACTCTAGTCCAAGGGCCCGGGCTGGCAGCACACGCCGTTCTTACGAGCCGGGCGATTTCTCTCCGACCAACAAACAGAGACAGAACCGGACAAGACCTACCAAGCACTTTCAGACAGGTTAGCGCTGCCCACATAGGCATAGCATCGACCTTCCCGAATAGATAGGTCGCTAGGCCGCATGTACATGATCTTGCTGTGCATGAGAACCCCTGGTCGAACAGACTTGCAATCGCGAAGAACGCGTTTAGGAAACGTCTTGGCATCCCACCATCGGCGCTGGAAGCAGATCGTCCCAGCACCCTGTTGATTGTCAGAAACTGGTGCAATAGAAAAGACATGGTGAAAAAGAAAGGAGGAGAGTGGGTGCGCGGGGGGTACCGACATCTTCGCCTCCTTTGCTCTGAACCACGGTTTCTCGCGATGGAAAAAAGACACGCATATGCTCGTCAACTTTGTACTTCGCTTCCTCGAACAGAGCCTTGCGTTTGCTTTTGTTGCTCGCTGTTAGGGCCTCATACCCAAGCTGGGGATCGCCGGCGCAGGCATAGTACATCGACACCAAAAAATTGTATTTTAGATTTCCGAGAGAAGCACACTATCATGGTGATTTAGCATTAGTCTCCGGCGGGCGGGGAGGGGGGTTGTTTAAATCACTAGAAACATACCACATAGTCGATTTCGATGGGGTCGTTCCCGAGTCGCACGAGAGAGCTAATTTGGTGACCGAAGGCGGGGTATCCTATAAGTATTAACTTTGCGCTCTGCCGTAATACAGAATGAAAAAAGTCATGTACCCGTATGGCACCAGTCCGCGTGTGTGCCGGCACTAGCAAGGTAGGTCGGTCAGTCAGCCATACTTTGATTTGCCACAATACACGCTTCGCAAGATGGACCATACATGGTGTGGACAAAGTGGTAAGGCGCCGTCTCGGAGAAATCGTAGTTGCGCAAGCTGTCAATGAGGTTCCCCTCCAGGCCCTGCGCTCGCAAAAATGTGTTCAGATCCCGACTGAATGATGTCGACTCGAACTGCTTCCCTGGACCTAGTTTGGGCAGGTCAATCAGAAACACCATCTATCGAACGTTAGCACATCAACCCCAATGAACAAGTATCATAACAAGCCATCATAATCTTCAGGGCAAGGACAAGAAAATAATAAAAGGGAAGGAGGACACACATTCTCCATGGTCCCCGTCTCGCCCCAGTCATACGACATCAGGTTGCCCGTCGGGATCACAATCCGCATGTACGTGTCGTACTTGAGGAGCATCAACTTCGAGTGCATCGCGCCCATCCCATACATCGGCGGGAAGCAGAACCGGATCCGGTTGCTCGGGACGTTGGAGCGCATCTCCTCTTTCTATCCCCAGCGGTCAACAATGTTAGCTCGAAAAACTCTTCTTTTTGTCAGCAGAATGCGATATTCTCACCTGCGCTTCATTCGCCGCAAAAGCCACCAAGATCAATTTAGTCCGCGAAATATCCACCTTATTAAGCAGCCAGTTCTCGTCCCACTGGTACGAGCTCAGCACGGCTAACCGGAGCTGCTGTTTCTGAAGGACCTCTTCGATCTTGATATCATCCCCCTGCCGCGGGTGGCCGTACGCCCACGTCTTCTTGACCGCGCCGCGGGGGAAGGGGAGACGTCCGGTCGAAGGCGGTGTTGATGTCGTGACCTGAGGAACTGCCGCTGGCTTTTCCTCCTTCTTTGGCGGGGGTGATGGTGGTTGTGTGGTGAGGGGTGTGCTCGCTTGCTGCTGCTGGTTCTGCTGCTGGATCTGCGGTTGGTTCTGCTGCTGCCGAAGTGGTTGTGTGCTTGCGCTTGTGCTTATGTTCTCAACCTTGGGCCGCTGCATCACCCGGGTAAGATCCTCGCCAGACGAAGACGCCTTGCGTTTCTTCAGCCTGGCCAGCCTTTCCTCCTCCATCTTCTTCCGGTCTAGTCCCAAGGCTGAAAATGAGAATCCTTCTGATGACGGTGCCGTCTGTTGCTCTGCTTTCGGCTGGATGGCGCTGCTTCCTTGGGTAGAATCAACAGCTGCAGGGACAACACCATCCTTCCGACCTCCATTCCCATTCTCGACCACCACATCATCATCATCATCGTCCTGCGTGAGATCAATAACCCCACCACCGCCACCACGTTTCTCCGGCTCCCGCCCCAATGACATGGCAATCGCAGTCCTCAAAGCCTCATCCTCATCCCGACCACCATTGATACCGCCGTCCCAGTTCTCCGCCATCGTCGACACCCAGTAGCGATGACGACTATCACGGCCGTAATTCCAGATGACTGCTGAATGTGAGTTGTTATTATTGGCGACTGTGGTGAGATGCAAGGACGTTGTTGTTGATTCTGGCGATGAAACCCACGCTCGTGATTGGACGACCGTTCGAACAGGAAATCGTTGCCAGGTACAAACAGGCGCTGCGAACTGCGACAAACAGGGCCGCTGTGTGGCCTTTAATAGTACGAACCTCGTAAATACGGCCACGTTGTCGGTCGGTCGGTCGGTCGGTTGTGAAATGGTGATAGCTGAAATTTTGGTGTTTTAATTCCTGGAAATGGAAGGGGGAAGGGTGTGGGGAAGGTATTGGAAATGGCGACAACCATGAAAATAAATCAATGTGACACTTAGTTAGAAGCACTGCGCCCGCTGTGAGCGATAGTAACTTTGGGTCAATTGAAGAGAGCGAGTTGGGAGAATAAAGATCGGCAAAGAAGTCGGACCTGGATAACCTTTGGAATACCAATTGCAAATGGGAAATTGCATGGTCATCTTTGTTCGCGAGGGTTTGTTAGTGGTGTCACGTGATGGGTCGGAAGTTGAACAAGACGGGATGAAAGCAGTGTAAGGCGTAAGATGGAATTGGCCAAAGATGTCAGGTGTAAGGAAAGGATGGGTTGACAGTTTATGATCTCGAGGTCGAATGATTGCTGTGTGGTTTGCTCGTGGGGGTGGGGGATTTTCGACAAGTGGGCTTCGGGCAATCCACCCCCAACAACGTCCTAAGCACGATATTCTGGAAAAAGGAAGCTATCTTACCAAGTGCCTAGTGTGTAGAGTCGGGTGTTGGGGGGGTTTTACGCCGAGATGCGTCAATACTTTTACCATGGCAGACATAAAATTCACGTGAAACAACATATCACCAAAATCAGGCCGCATCAAAGTGGGAAATATCAAGTGTCTTCAGGCGCGTCAACTACCCTAGGTATGCTTTCCGTAAACTTAACTTGTGCCAAATCCACGATACTTGAGTCCCTTTTTTTTTTGTTTGTTTTCTCTTTTTTTTCCCCGCGTCGTAGGTTAGTTAGTTAGCATGTCGGTGATGCAAATGATTTCATAATGTTGCCAGCCAGGTGTGTTTGCGAAAGTGGCTTAAGTCCGTCCGCTCGTCGTTCGTCCCCCGGGAGATGTCCGTCGACCATGTTAACCTATTCTTCAAACCTCAACCGCTCCTCCCCCACACGTCAAGCATGAACTCATCGGCTCGATAGCGAAAGTGCCCCATTCCATCTCCCAAACCTCGCACAACAACCGCCTGCCTCATTCACCTCACCGTTTCCCGGCCTCCCCAACTTCCCCCACCACTCCCGAATACCTATAAGCGAACGATACCACCAGCGTAGCCCCCTCTGTTGCACGCTCAACTCCAGAGACTCTCCCAGCCTAGAAAGCTCCCGGTGCGCGCAGTAAGGGGTATCTGATGCAAATAAGGAATAAAAAGAACGCAAGAAAAGAAGGAATAGCAAGAAAATCAAGTTGAAAATGAAAATGAGAGAACCCCGCTAAGCCCAATGCACCCGCCCTATGAGTCCATGCGCCGCTCCCGAACCCAAATGTATGGAAACGAAAAGAAACGACACTGACCCAAGTGACATGGCCCAAAACAGCGCGGTATAAAGTTTCGAAAAGAAAGCGCAAATCACCCATCCCTCCTCTTACACCAGGCGGTATCTCTTCTCTTAGTGTTGTTTGTTTCCGCCATCTTTGCCCCCTCTCGACCCCCCCAACTCCGTCTATCGCAAATCCATGATTTCAGTGTATCCGCCTTGGCTGTCCTATACCCAGGACAAGGTGGTGGGGATCCCTTGTAAGTGGCTGCCCCAATCCAGAAAATAATGATGATGAGGTTGTCGAAAGTATGATAGAAGAAGCGGTGGGGAGAGAACGAAAAAGGATACGGTTACCTCCCCAAATCACCGCCGCCGATGATCGACCGATACAAGGCCGCCGGAAAACAGAGTAAAACGCGCGCCCCATGCCCTGTGCTCGAAAAACACAAACACACCAAGCCCCCGTCCGTTCCGACCGACCGACCACCGTGGCACCGTTCGCCCCCCAGATGCTTGTTGAATACGTCTTTATCCGTCCTGCCTTTCCTTTAAACAAGCGATGAATGACCCCCAAAACGCCGGAGCATAGGAAAACTGGAATGAAGGAACGAAGAGAGGAAGAAGAAAAACTGAAAAAAAAGAAGAAAAAAAAGGAAGGCTGATAAAACATGGTCCCAGATCCGGTAATGAAATAACATCCGAGCGCATAGTTTGCGAGAAAGCTATTGCAAATATAGCTTCATTTCCCTTTCCCGCCACCTGAAGGAGAAAAGAAAGCGGTTCTGTTCACCCGGTGTTCTGTTAAGAGCTTTGGTAATGGGCTGGCGGAGGTGCCGGCGCATGGTTTAGCTTCAACATGCGCCGTAGACTATCCTCCATGTTCAGGATATCCGCCGAGCGAATATTTCCGTGGTTGTTGGCAGCTGAGGGCGCGACATTCGACGTCGCCGGGTCTCGAGGTGCCTGGTGAGGGTTCAGAAGGAACGGCGAAGGCATATGAGCGGACGGGTAAGTTTGACTCTGGGCGGTGAAAGGCGGGAGGAACTCAGGCGTCCGTTGGGAATGAGGTTGGATGCCCGGTGAAAAAGGCTGGGGCACGATACCAGTAGAGCCTGCTTGCGGGGCCGTGGGTTCTTGAGACTGTTGTTCGCTCGATACCGAGGGGATAGCCAGAAAGCGCTTGAGCCGTTCACTCATATCCATGGCCGCCTGGTCCTGCGGGGACGCTGCCGGGCTCTGGGCTGGCTGAAATTGTTTCTTATTCGATCGAGCCGCTCGGATGCGTTCGTTGTATGGACGAGAAAGGGCAGGACCGATGGGTTCGCCGGGGCTCGGGGTGCCATCGAGTTCACTGGTGGGGATGCCGGACGAGGGACTGCGTTGGGCCGCCGAGCGACGGTTGTTTCCAGAACCGAGATGGGTCCTTGGGAGAGTCTTGGGTTCCACCGGGGAACGAATTTGGGACGGCGGCGAGAAAGGGAACGGGTTAAGGCCGAGGATGTTAGCCGAACTCGCTCTGCGCGCCCGCTCTTTCTCGGCTCTATCAGCTCGGAAGAAAATGTCGAGGGGGGACTCTTGCCGAGCAGCGTCTTCTGGAAAAATTCGATGCTGCGGAGTGGGAGCGGCCTCCGAGTCGGTGGCCGGGGGCGATGGCTCACGGCTGGCATGGTCGGTTTCTTGGACAGAGGGCGAGTCTAGAGCCTTGGCTAAGAAGCTCGGCATTGGAAGCGAGGACGGCGCCGGAGAGGCATGGAATGTCGCGCCCGCAAAGGCGGCCGCGGCAATCGATTTCGACGTTGCTGTTGCGTGTGGAGGGGTTATACGGCCGTGTTTTGCTGGGCCGGGTGAGGACACCTGCTTTGCTCGTCCCTTGTTTCCTTGGCCTTGTCCTCCCCCATTCCCGCTCCCATTCCCACTCCCACTCCCATTCCCAGCCCCGTGTCCATTCCGAGCCTTGGACTTGCCGCCGTGGTTGGGCTGCGACGATGGGGTCGGGCTGTTTGCATTCGCCTTTTGGGGCGTAAAGGGCCCCGCGAGCTCGAGGGGGAAAACGGCTTCGCTCGGCATGTCGTTTTCCGAAGCATATGTCCTGCGGGGTGAGAAAGTGGGTAGTTTCTTGCCTCGCCGGATTGGAGTGTGTTTTTGGCGCGGTAACGGTGATTGTTGCTGTCGTTGTCGTTGTTGTTGCTGCTGCTGTTGTTGCGGTTCCATGGTTATGAAGGTTGGCCTCGGGCCAGGTAGTTGGTGCGGCACCAAAAGGTCGGTTGGTCGGTTGGTCGGTTGGTCGAGGTTGTGAGTCGCGGAAAGAGGTACTCCTGCCGTCGGTCGGGTATGACGAGTTTGAGTCCCGCCTCAGTGATGCGCAAGTGCACTGTTTGTTTGCGCTGAGCGGGGCAACGAGTCAGCGACGCATTCGATTGGGGGAAGGCCAAGAGTTAGGGGGGAACAAGCGGCGGCCGCGCCGAGACAGAGAGCGGAAGCCACAGCACCGTAGCGGAGTGAGGAGAATAGGGGGTAATATTACTGCTGTGATATGAAGTGCTAAGAGTATTGTGTGCGTTGGTTATTTTGGAATGCATGATTTGGTTTTGTTTGGCTTCGTGGATTGAATGGGTTGGGATGGGAATGTCGGTTCAGGTAAGTCACGACTGACGGGAGGCCGAGGGAGGCATCCCAGCTCCCACCCACTCGGGCAAGGCTGAATGAAAAGCCGAGAGCGGCCCCTGTCTCAGGCAGCTTGGCGGCCCGCATGTTAAAGTTGGACAAGGCGGCTTGGGCGGTCCGTGGGCTGTGATAACTAGGGGATGACCATATTGTCAAGAATACATAGTAAATAGCTGTGCGGCCCTCGGGGCTTGTGATCAGCCGCACTTGAGAAAGCTTGTGACCTCGAGCTCCCGTTGCTCGTTTGCGGATCAGATTCTTTTGAGGGACTAAGGCTAGGATATCACAGTAACGTTATTAGTATTCGTATTGGGGAAAGAAAGCACTGTGCATTCACCAGAGCATCTCCTAGCAAGCTATACTATTAAATCGTCATCGAGTTTGAAGATCATTAATTACTCGTCTAGCTCCCTCACAAGATAGAAGCCGTTTTGATCCTCCCTCCCGAAGAAAAACGAAATAAAACCCTACTCTGTGAATCCAGAGCACCCAACTCTCTTTGACCTATAAAGCACTGTATGCAAACTTCGGGGATATACGTTTATCAAGAACACCTTCTCTGCCTGGAACAAAGAACCAAAGCGGCCTATGGCGGGGCCACTGACGCCCCTCAACTAACCTGCACCTGCTTGCTGATAACTTTCCAACTCCGAAAGCCCGCCAAAAGGTGCAGGTCTCTGACAACAAACAATCAAAACCATCTCTTGCTTGCACACTTTGCGGCACAACCTAAAAGGTAATTTTGAATCCGGCCCGTATCCGATACCAACAGCTTAACCCCAACCCAAGCCGCATGAACTGATGACCATTATCCACAGGAGCTTTCGCGAACCTTGACGTCCAACAACCGAAGGCCCGCGCATCCCTCGTAGAAGCCGCCGCAGAACAACAACCCCTCACCACCAACAGACAACTTGGGTGGGGGCCCTACGAACATAACCAACCTACATCTTCGTACCGATTGTATTACACCATGGCGGACGTTGAGATGACGGATGCGCCCACTTCGGCGCCCGTGGCCAAGAAGGCCGCTCCTGAGGGCGAGGTGAAGGAGGGAAAGAAGCGGTTTGAGGTCAAGAAGGTTCGACACTACTCAGGATGGGGCATTGCCCAGACTTTTCACTGACACAACCATAGTGGAATGCTGTCGCTCTCTGGGCCTGGGATATCGTCGTGGACAACTGCGCGATCTGCCGGAACCACATTATGGACCTTTGTAAGCGTCTATGAGCAGTCTTCAAGCCCGGATTCTCCGATTAACATGGTCGATTTTTAGGCATAGAATGTCAAGCAAACCAGGCTTCTGCGACCAGCGAGGAATGCACCGTCGCTTGGGGTATTTGCAATGTGAGACTCCGTCCACCTTTTTCAGATTGAAACGTCATCATTACTAACAAAACTGTAGCATGCCTTCCACTTCCACTGCATCTCGAGATGGCTGAAGGCCCGACAAGTCTGCCCACTCGACAACCGGGACTGGGAATTCCAGAAGTATGGCAGATAATCGCGAGCGCACCTCGGACAATACTCTTGGGGAACGGATAGGGATGGCAACAGCAGCATCGGCGGCCGGGATGAGGCGTCACGGATCAGGCTTGGGCCTTTGTTTGGTATGATGGGGCGAAATCCATTATTAGATCGCTCTCAAAGGAGGCACAAATAAGCAAAGTAAGGTGTTGTGGGTTCGGCATGACGTTGTGGAGTATATTTGCGGTGTTCGATGGTTTTGGTCTTCCATTCCATTGCTCTTTTATCGAAACATTTTATCATCCACCACGAGATTTGCCGGCGGTGTGACGCCCCCCACAGGGAGCCATTTCACTGGGTGTCGGTTGTAGAATGGCCACGGCGGAACAGCGAGGAGGAAAACGGCGGCGGTCCCGATGAGACCAATGTAGACGGCGAGCTTGATGTCCTGGAGGAAGTAACCGACGAGAAAGGCGACCGCCTAGACAATAAGTGTTAGTCCATAACCCATCATCAATCCTGAAACTTGTCACTTGCCCCGACGAGTGTCAATGCCACATTGACGAGAAGCTCAACCAGCTTCTGGCCCTCAAAGTCCTTTAAAACCAAATGTTAGTATCCGAAGCCAATGCACTGCGCGCGCTGTTTGGGTGGGAGAATGGCGAGAGTAAACGAACAATCTGGCCCTCAAATATGTCGCGCGCCTGTTCTAATAGTTGCTCAGCCATCGTGAACCTGGTCGTTGGAAAGAGCGATTGGTGGCTCCGTGTACGTTGATGGACTGATAAGTTGATCACCTTGAAGCTGTCACGAGCAGCGGGCTACGAGTGGATGGACGGCCCCAACGTGGCCTTGAGAGTTGCCGGGAACGACCCTGGAAAACAGCCAATCAAATTGCCGAATATCTCCAAGCCGCGATCCAGGCCCGCACTCGGTTCCTGAGCTTCTGAAGCAACGACAGGCCGAGGCGAAGCACCGAGAAGCCCATTATCTCGGGCCCAATTGAAGCACCACGCCCCGATTCCTTCGAGGGGCCGAGAAAGAGAAAACCTGCAGGTCCTTGAGGTCCATTAAAACGCCAGGTGACGCCAAGATTTTGTTTTGCCACCTAAGGTTCAGAACCTGTCCCCTCGCTGGGCATGTGGGTACTCAAGTTCTGGAGGTAATTATGTACCTGCGTACCTTTTAGGTCAGGTACTTCAAGGTTATAGAATTGCCCGACGTTACCGATATTAATGGCACTTCAATAACATTATAAACCCGTACTTGCAGTCTGTTTTGGAAACCCCTCCTTAGATTTAAGATAGACATCTTTGGTGGTGACAAGCGGTTTCCGAGTGTTCGGAACTTCGTCACCTGACGCTTCCGGGCGGTCTCACTAACCGCCACCGTCATCAATCGATGACTAACGAACAAAACGGACCCGCTTAAGGGCCCAAACTTTTCATTCCATTGCTTCCAAGGAAAACCCTCACTTTTCCCCCCTCACCTGTCACTAAATTCCATTGATTTTTTGACATTGCGACGGTACCACGAGGCGCAAAACCGAGGGCGGACGCACGAAGTCTTCAACCACCGTCGGACGGCCGTGCGCGCTTTGAGCCGCCATCAGCTCTGATATTTCGTCCCCTTTAACCCGTCCGAGAGCAGCTGCAGGTGTTGGTATCAGCACAATCCACTCACAGAACCGGAATCGCCGTCAATCGAGCAGTTCGTCCAACGAGACTTCGCGACTAAAGCTATCCGACTAAAGCTATCCGAACAATTGCCTGAGCTGCATTGAATAGCTTGCCACGCCGATCACGTTCGCCATTCCATCTCTACAAAAACGCCCGATAAACCCCTTGGCCACCGAAACCTTACCCCCTTTCTCTTTATCGACATTCGATTTCTCCTCTGCGACGCCCTCCCTTCGCCGGACGCCGCAGACCGCTAGTCAACCGCACCTCACCCAAACCACCAAGTTGGCGGGCCTCAACTGCGAAAAGTTTTCCCTCCGTCGTTCACTCCTCGGACCTGAGCTGGTCTACAGTGGAGTGAACAAGCAGCCACCGTAACTTGGCTTATCGCAAAGCAGCCAACCATTTTGATCGTGATCCGAGAGTCGCCTATTGTTTTCTTTTTCGTCGCTCACAACCGTGGGTGAACCACTATCCGACCTCCCACCACCACGTTGTCGCAATCACACGTCCGTCGTCGCGGACGGCTGCCGGCCGTTCGCTGCCTTCCGCTGGTGAAATAGACGAGTATCGACCACTCCAACATGCGCGCAGGCTAAATTGGCTGAAGGCGCGCTCTGAGGGCTGTGTTCGATTCATGTCTATGGGAAAAGAAGAGAGGCAGACACTGTGAATCGGAAGCAACTAAGTTTAAGGAAGAAAAGAAATCTGCAGCAAAAGCAGCAACAGCAGCAACAATGTCTGACCACGAGGAAAATGCCAACAGCTCGGGCTACTCGACGCCCGTCCCGGAGCTCGACGACCACCGGAACCAGTCCACTTCAGTCCAGCGCTCGGATCGCGCTCGACGTGGCACATTCGATTCCCTTTATGGCGCTCGGGTGATGGCGACTGGTGGGACCCCTGGGGAGCCACGCGTTCGCGATTTAGAGGAAGCTGTTGTCGATGAGGAGGGTGGAGATCAGTCCCCGAGTATGAGACGCACCCGGCGCCCAACGATCGAATCGACTTCGGATCGGTCGACCTCGCCGCCAAACTCGGTCAAAGCCTTCGCTGAAGCGCGTCGGCGGGAGCGCGGCCTCTCTATCTCGGAGCCAAAGGTGGAACGCAAGCCTGATGACCTTGAGCTACAACGGACTGCCTCGGTCGCTAGCCGCATTAGCTTCCGGAGCCGGCCACACACCGTAGGAAATGCCGACGCCGCAAGCCTCGCTACCAACAAGTCCGCCGAAGAGGATGTCTGCTTTCCGCTGCAGGATGAGCAAAGCGGTGGCAACCTCTACATCGACTTCGACTACCTCGAGAACTTTATCCAGGCCGAGAACGAAGCTCGCCAGGCCGCCCGCCGGCCGTCCGCCATCAGGGTCTTCCCCGACGTGCGACCCGAGAGCACGGAAACTGGCCCCCCTACCTTAACGGCAGACGGTGAATACATGGGAACACCGTTCAGCAGCGAAAGCCAGACCGAGAAGGGTGACAGGTCGGAAGCGGACGAGCAAACTAAGGTTGTGCCGCCGGCCCCTGTGGATCACAGCCGGGTGAGCTTCTTCTCGTCTGCTTGGGAGTCGACCATCCACGCGGCCGACCTAGAGGGGCTCATTCTACCGGGCGAGGACATCCGTGGGCTTTTTACCTTCCCCAAGGGCGAGACCGACGGCGTCTGGTGGCTAAACATTAACAACCCCTCCGAGGAGGAAGTCCGTGCCATCTGCCGTGCGTTCGGCGTTCACCCCTTGACGGTGGAAGATATCTCGACGCAGGAGTCCCGCGAGAAGATTGAGCTCTTCCCCTCGTACTACTTCGCCTGCTTCCGCTCGTTCTTCATCGAGCTTGACGAAGAGACCGGCGAGAATGAGTTCATTCCGTTCAACATCTACGTGGTTGTCTTCCGAGAGGGCACACTGAGCTTTAGCTATGCCAGCAACCCGCATGCCTCGCATGTGAGGAGGAGAATTGCGATGCTGAAGGACTACGTTGCTCTGAGCAGCGATTGGATTTGCTATGCTCTGATGTAAGGATACACCAGGCTGGATGGTATTTGATCTTCTTACTAACACTAGATAGTGATGACATTGTTGATTCTTTCGCTCCCGTCATCAGCAGGTTGGAGGCGGATACGGACCAGATTGAGGATGAGGTGTTCATTGCCCGGACCGATGACATGGCCCAGTTTCTCCGAAAGATTGGCACCGCGCGCAAGAACACTATGGCCCTAATGCGCCTTCTCGGAGGGAAGGCCGATGTCCTCAGGGGTTTCACCAAACGCTGCAACGAAAACTACAAAGTTACCCCGCGCATGGACATTGGCCTGTACCTCGGCGACATCCAGGATCACGTCGTCACCATGATGAACAACCTGGGCCATTTCGAAAAGATGATGTCTCGCGCCCACAGCAATTACCTGGCCCAGATTTCCATCGACGGTATCTCTCAGAGTACCAACACCAACAGGGTGCTGAGCAAGATCACGCTCCTGGCGTCCATCATCGTTCCCTTGAACGTGGTCACGGGTCTGTTTGGCATGAACGTCCCGGTTCCTTGGCGGGACACCGAGAGCCTGGCTCCTTTCTTCGGCATCCTGGGCTCGCTCCTCGCTTTCTGTGTCGTTTGTACGTATCTGGCTTACAAGTATCGGAGGCATCTGTAGTTTGGAGCTGCCCGGCCGATGCCGAGATGTTTGTAGGCCCGGGGCCGCGTATATGTTTGTGGTTGAAAGAAACACGTTTGATGTTAACTTATGAGGGGTTCGCGTTTTGTTGATAGAGTACACTACACCGTAGAGTGGGGGGTAATGGAGAGGATGGTCGTTTTGTCGGGAGCGTTTGGCAATAGATACAAATGGATGATGATATATACTTTTTACGGTTCATTCAATATGTGAAAATCTCATGTTGGCGCCCGAGGGCTCTCAACGCATCATGTCCGACCTTGCTTTCCCAGACCATCAGTTCTTGAGAGCTCCGAGCATTGACCGTCTGTGATTGGTCACACGCTGAGAAAACGTTCCGCCGCTCCCAAAAAGTTCAACACCATCTCTCCCCACCTATTCACATACCGATCCATCCTTCACAACCGCAACCGAAGTTCACCCCCCACCGCGAACGAAACGAAACGAACCTACCCCAATTCAAACCGCTATCATGTCCTCTTCCGGGTTTTCCGTCGACGAGGCCGACCTCGAGAAGCTCAGTCCAGCAGACAAGGCCGAGCTGCGCCAGTTCTTTGCCAACGAGACCCAGCGCTCCCGTATCCGTGCCCGTACGTTTTGCATGCCGGTCCCCTTTCAGCCCCCTCCCCTCTCCCTCCTACGACAGTATACCTACACGAACCACAAGAGACAAGTAAACAAGGCGGACGTACGACCAAAGACACGAAAGAAGCCCAGCAAGCTAACCCGGGTCCTCTCACCTTAGAAACACACGAACTCACCGGCGTCTGCTGGACCAAGTGTGTGCCCGCCGGCACCGTCAAGTCGGGGGCGCTTGCCTCGGGCGAGCAGACGTGCCTAGCGAATTGCGTCGACCGGTTCATGGATGCCAATCTTGCAACGTTGAAGCATTTGAGTAGTATGCGGAAGTAGGGCATACATTCGCACATACATCAGTGCGGAGGGTTGGATAGAAGGGGTAGAGGATGGGCCGTTGTTGGGGTGGAGGGGTGGTTAGAGGTTTAGCCAGGATGGGTTAAGGATTTAGATAAGTATGTGGGTGTTGGGTATTAAAAGGGGGGTTGTACGGTTTGAAGGGGCAGAAGTGCCGCAAAAGCCCACCGCGGCATACAGAGGGTCAAGCGGCATACTCGGGTCCAGGTTTGGGTGGCCGGCAAGAGCGGAAGCTCTTTTATGGGTTCAGATATACCCATGTGGCATGTATGAGAGAGAGCCTGTGCAGGCAATCGGCTTACGACTGACGAGTATTGTACATTACTAAGGGGGCAAGGCGTTGGAAAGAACTAAGAAATGACATTTCCGCACGGGTCAGGTCCAATCCCCTGATACCGCCAATCGACATGATCACAACACGCACAAGAGGCAAGGAGGAGAGTTACGGCACGAAGGTCATGTCATTTTGGTAAATTGCCAAATCAACCCCAAGCCCAGGTATCTGACGCCATTCGAAATGCAACCCATATCCCTTCAGTGCCAACCGTTTTTTTAATTTCCCCAACCCCCAATCGCAAGGATCCGTTTAGACGAGGCCGAGCTTGGTGGCGGCAATGTCGAGCGCATCGACATCGGCGGTGAGGCGGGCAAAGGCCTTCTTGGAGCCGTCAGGGCTATCATACAGTTAGCAAAAATGGTCCCCAGCGTCGAAACGGTGCCAATGGTCAAAACGTACCGGATCAGGGTGTTGATCTTGACGGTGTCGATGTCATAGAGCTTCTTCAGGGCCTGCTTGATCTGGGCCTTGTTGGACTTGACATCGACGATGAAGACGAGGGTGTTCTGCTCCTCGATCTTCTTCAGGGCACCCTCGGTGTTGAGTGGGTGGACGATGATCTTATGCTCGTCCAGGCGGGGCTCGTGGGGGATCGACTTGCGCGGGTACTTGGGCGAGCGCGAGAGGACGAGGGTCTTGGGGCGGTGGAAGGTGGTCGACAGTCTGACCTTGGTCTTCTTGTGCGAGTTCACCTGGGAGGTTGTTAGCGGCTGTGTCGCACTCATAACATTTTGCGCGTCTTGCGCCTTGGAAGAGAAGGAATACATACACCCTTGAGAGCAGCCTGGGCGGCCTTCTTGGCCTGAGCGCCCTTACCGGCCTTGGAGGCACCGCCTATCCAGAGGAAGTGTCGTCAGTAAAGCATTCGCCTGAACAAGGGGGAGACCCGGCTTGTTCAAACTCGCAAAGTCTGCTGCTGCTTTGATGCATCACCCCGTCGCCGTTTCGGCGACGACGAGGGTGCGCATTGAGCGACCGCCGAGTTTCTGCGTGTTGAAGTCCATCTTGGGCCCTTGTGGGCGATCATGTACCTTTCTTCGAGTCCTTGGGAGCCATTGCGGAGGATGGTGTCGGCGTTGGGCGAAGTTGTCGAGTCGGTCGTGGATGAGGAAAAAAACGTAGATTTTGTGGAATATGGACTCAAAATTGTGTGTGCGGAATGGTGTGGGTCCTGTGGCTGTGGAGTCTTGTGGCTCGTGCGTCCTTGGCAAATGGCATGTGTGGCTTGGTAGATTGAGCTTGGCATTTTTGAGAACGGCAAGCGTGAGTTGACTTCTCAATTTCAGGGAATTTGAATCTGGATCATGTCTGCATCCATCTCGAAAACTCGACGCTCAACTCCATGGCGCTGAAGAAGAAAGGTCCGCCGAAACGGCTAGCGGCCGGGCGACCACCAATTCTGCAGCGATCCAAGTCAATATCAAGAAGCGCGACTAAGGCTCTCATCAACAAACACCATCTCCTGCAGAAACGGAAGCGACAGGCTGTGGTCAAGGGCAACAAGGCCGAAGAGGCGACTATCGATGCTGAGATTGAGGCCCTAGGAGGAATTGAGAGCTATCAGGAAGCCAGCTTGCAAGGCCAACGGCATGATCGAGGGGGTGATAGCTCGCGGGTTCTCATGCAGTGGCTTGAAGGGTGTCTCTCATCTCAACCAGCTGGCTCGAAACACCGTTTTCGGATGTTAGAAGTCGGCGCGCTGAGCACACAGAATGCTTGCTCCAAAAGCGGATATTTTGACATTGAGAGGATCGATCTCAACAGCCAAGGGGACGGCATCGTGCAGCAAGACTTCATGAAACGCCCGTTGCCACAGGGCGAACCGGGCCTTTTCGACATCATCTCCCTCTCCTTGGTTCTAAACTACGTCCCCGAACCGAAAGACCGAGGAGAGATGCTCCGCCGAACAACCCAGTTTCTTCGGACTGCAGGACGGTACATCGATTCCCCCGATCTAACTCCCTACTTCCCGAGCCTTTTCCTTGTTCTCCCGGCACCATGTGTGACGAACTCTCGGTATTTGGACGAAGAAAGATTGGTCGCCCTCATGGGGTCTCTGGGGTACGCGAAGGTCGAGTCTAAAACGACGCAACGTTTGGTTTACTACCTCTGGAGAAAGGAACCCACCCAAAAGAGGACCCGCGACCGCTTTCCCAAGAAGGAGATCCGAGCGGGTTCAACACGAAACAACTTTGCCGTTGTCCTGGATTGAACGACGGACGGTCTACGTCAAGATTCCAAGAAGCAACCGGTGTGCCATTTCAGTGCACTGAGAGACAAATACTTTATCTTGGGGTTGGGAATCTTGGGCGTCAAAAGCGACGCCCCAAATCCAGCGGCATTCCGGATCCGGAGAAAGGGGGGGGACCTTGAATGCTCCTGCGAAAGGATGCCACATCACAATGTCGAGCCGATCCCTTCACAAGCGGCGTCCACTGGCAGTAATCATGACTTCATGTGGCCCAACGATGTTTCTTCTTTGGGAGCCACGGGGATTTGACGGCCGAGACGTCGGCGGAATACCAGTTAAGTCTGGAGATCCCAGTGATAGGAAGCCGCAGCACTCGAGGACCCCGCGTGGGAGACACCCGGGGAACGGGGGTGGCGTCCGACTTCGTCTCCGTCTCACTCCTCCGAGACGAGGACGGCCAATGCCGATTGCAGGCCGAGCCCACCCAAGAGCGTTAGACGAGGTTGCGTACGTGTAGTTCTTCCAATTCCTCTCACGTCGGTGAAACGCCGGTTGAGGCCTGGATCGCTCTCTTGAGGGTCTCGGAACTTGCCTGAGCTTCACAATCACCCCAAACCCTTTCGCTCCCCGTTTGCCAGCATGAGAAACAGTAGCCCACAAAAAGAAACACCATTTGCCACCGGTTGCACCCGCTGAACGTTGAGATCACGAGACTTGATCTCTCGTGGCCTTCCCCGACTTGCCAGGCGTGCCAGGCTGCTCTTTGGCGATCTCCCGCGAAACCCGGAACCAACAGATGGTCCGTCCACACGATGTTGATCTCTTCGCCACATCCGCTCAGCAAAAGCAACAAGTCCCGGTGTGCCACACGACAAGACGAAGGAAGATGGAGAAAAAAACAATTGAAGCACGAGGTCTCTTCACCCTCTCATTTGCCGTCCAGCCGCAATTCTGCAGATTCCGTGCCGCGTGATGGAAGCCGGATTTGGGGTATGCTGATCAGATGACGACAAGTTCAAACAACCATCACCACATTGTGCTGCACCACGCTGCACCACACACTTCTCCCACGCTCCACCACACTAGCTTCGTTCTGGGCGTGCGCAAGGGGGGAAGCGCGCCATCAGCTCGACGCCGCGAACCGTCAAGCGGACAAGCGCTGCGGGATCCCGCCCAGCCCCGTTTTCCCCAGGTTTTCCGTTTGAGGGGTAGCGAAGCTAGAACTAATACGGACTGGGCCGGTTGGGCGGCAGCGAGACAACCGGAGCCAAAGGCTTGGATCGTGGGATCGTCCCCCTTTTTTCCACCGTCTCACACATTCAGGAGAAAGGGTCCGAGTCGCGTGAGATAACTGATCACCTATCGGAGAGTGTGATTGGGATTTTTGTTGGGGACGAGGTGGAGGGCCCAAGGGATTCAGGGGGTTGCGCTCGGGTAGCGGATGGGTAAAATGTTCCCCCACATCAAAAGAATGGAGTTTGAAGTACAAGTCGATCTAGGGCGAAGTACTGCTCGAGTACACTACGGAGTACTCGGGAGGCATTTGGGCATCGGGACTTTTGGGTATTCCAATTGGTGTTTTCAGGGTTCACTAGTTGCAACGCCGTCTGTGACGACCGGCGGCTCGCTTCCATCCTATTGCCAGATCCACGGGTCCGTAGTCGGAAAGGGGTTTAATCATCTCCTCGTCGGGTGACACTCTACGCCCCTTCCGGCTTCGAAGCAACGATCAGGGTTGACAGACAACCGAGCTTTCCCCTTCCTTTCCCCCCAGCTCTTCTCACCCGTGCTGACTAGCGCTCACTCCGCAAACAAGATCTCCTCAAAACTCCTCACCACCCGATGCCGGGCCTCCTCCTCCGGCGTCAGCGGCGCATTGCCCGGCCGCACCACCACGTACGACTGCATGCCCGCCTCCAACGCAGCCTCAACCTCACGCACATTGTCGCTGAGGAACAGCCAGCGGGCGACCGGCACCTCCGGGTGCGCAGCCGCAATCCGCGTGTAGCTCGCAGCCTCCTGCTTCGGCCCGGCATTGACCGTGTCGAAGTAGTCGGCCAGGTACCCCGTCAGGTCCGGCTCGTCGGCGGTGTTGGTATGCTTGAAGAGCAGTTTCTGCGCCGGGACGGAACCCGAGGAGTAGATCATGACCGATCCTTTCTCTTCTGACCCAGCATCATCACCCTTGGAAGCAGCCCATTCCCGAATGCGCGGCGCCACGTCCGGGAACAGCGGCGCCTTGAGCGCACCGGACGCGTAGCCGTTCTCCCAGAGGTAGCCCTGTAGTGACTTGAGGTAAGCGATCTTGACGTCGCGGCTCATGAGGTCGCGGACGTGTGCCTCGAGCGCGGCGGGGGTCGCCGCGTGCTCGGGTGGGAAGGCATCGCGGTAGCGGGTGAAGGAGGGGGAGGACCACTCTTGTGCTAGGGTGGAGGGGAGGGCGGAGAGGGCGTAGGGGAACTGTTGGAGGTTAGTTCTGTGCCAAGTAACGTCAAGAAAGCCAAGGGGATGAGGGGAAGTGAATTGCTTCGGTATTTCCGGAGAGGTATGGTAAAGGGAAACTGTGTGTGTGTCTAGGCCAGTCTGCAACTCGATCCGTTCAGATACAGCGGCTTGTTGCTGGAGCCACTTGATGCTCATTAGAAAAGCGCAGAAACAAGTGGTCTTCCGTCTGCCATGCAACAAGCCCACTGCATCTATCCGTCTCCGGGTCATCCCAGAAGTGGAATGGAAACCTTCCGGGATGAGCAATCACATCCAGCTCAGCTTGTGTGATGAGCAGAAAGAGCCAGACCGACATCTCATAGATTTAATGTGATCATAAAAACAAAAAATAAAGTAAAATAAAAATAAATAAAAATAAAATTTCAAATATTATAATGGTGAAGATATTCAACAACCACTTACCAACACATCCTTGACGAATGAGATAGGACAAACAGTACCCTCTGTGAAGCGACAGCAAATGTAAGCTTCACCCACACACCACCATTAAGAAGGAGGAGAGAAGGAACACCATACCGATGTCGAGGAGTACCACGAGGGGTTTCGGTTCCAAGGCCATCACGTATGTCTTCTCTTACGATTTTCTCCAAATAAAGTTACAACCAAGTTACACCAACTATTTTTTTCCTTGAGCTTTCGAGACAGGGGGTGTGGTTGGCTCTGTCGTTCCGAACGTCGTCCGGGTTGGTCCGGGTGGGTGTGGGACGGACGGCGAAGCTCCTAGGTCCGGGAACGGAGGGATTTGACGGCGGTGTGCCCGGTCGGGAATGTCACAAATTCCCAGGTGCGTGTGTGCGGCGGGTTTCGTCGCCGGCGAGGGATGTGAGCTATTGATTGATGAGGCGGTGAGGGAAAATAGGTCTTGAGGGATCACTTTGGTGTGTGTGAGTGTGGTGTGGATGAGTGAGTGAGTGAGTTGCACGTTGTTGATGTCGTCCTGTGAGTGGATAGTGGGGGTAGCTCTCCGGGAGAGTTCGGCGTTCGGTGTGTGTCGCTGACGAATGGAGCCTGAAAGCCCGCTGAAAATTTCCGCTGCAGTGACCGGAAAGGTTTTTTTTTTTCCCCGTTCACACCGTCACCGACTCAATCCGTCATCGTCTCATGCACTACCGTCAGCTCAATCCCTCCAAGATCACAGGATGAGTTCGCATCCTGCAGCAGCATCGCTCGCAGTCCATAAAACGCCCTAATGCAGAGCCGTAGGTTTTGCGGGTTGGGGTTGGAGGAAGCAGACAAAAGTGGATGGCCGGGTTGCCAAAATTGGAGTTTTCAGAGAAAGGCGGTCAAGACCAACAACAACAACACAACGCCGTCTCTACTTCGTGTCATAGGTCTATCCATCTCGTCGTCGCATTCAAGCAGTTGCCGTGCCGCCGTCCTATCGGTCTTTCACGAGTGCTGCATCTCGTCGCGCCCGCTAAATCTCCGTTCGCGCATCTGCGCACCGCTTTTGCAGAAGCTGCGCAGCAAACCGCCCCCGACATGAAAATGAGAGGCTTGCATTGGGCGGACCTGCGCCGATTCGGTGGAGAGATGCAAGGAGAGGAGCATGACGGCGCGAACCTGAGTAGCACTAGTGGATTGGTGTCCGCTAAGACGGGTTGGACGCCTCGGCAATACGTTAAGTTAGGTGGTCAACGCTCTTTGCCTGATGCTGATGACGATGATGTGGGATCGAGACTGTCCAGTCTGCTAGCATGAGGCTGGGCGAATCGCAACTCCTCGTGTACCTCCTAAAGTGCACGGACGAACATATCTGAGGGGGATATTGAATGTTTGTGTGATGTGTCCGTCCATTTACTTCCCTTTCCGGGTCAAGTCGCTTCCCGAACGGCAGGATCACGGCCGTGCTGCAACAGGTTACAGGGAGCAAGGGGACCAGGCTGGGTTGGGAGAAAACTAAGTTTGCTGTTGTTCTCCCCTTGCAGCGGCAAAATGGCACTTGGTTCATGCGGCAACATCAATGTTGTAGCCTGTCCGCAAGTCTGCAGCAGGAGAACGGAGAAAAACACTCCACGATTGCGGCATTGTAACGAGCAACGACGTGTTGTCTCACCGCCTCCCAAGACATTTTCGCTCTGACAACAGCCGTTCGCAGCGCCGAGGAATGCTCGTGCGAGGGCAACACATGCCACGATTGGGTTAAGAGCGTCCGGGTGGTTGTTGTGGTTGCTGGTGTGTCGAGCAGCTCATCCAGTCCCACAACGGCAATGCGGTCGGCGTTTCTCCCCAACTCACGTTTTCGTTATTCCCGAATATCTGTCTTTGAGGTTGGTGATCCATCCCTCGCTCCGGCATCACGAGAGCGGCTGATCGACCGCCGCACCGACACCACTCGCAAATTCCGAGAGTTGGAGAAAGTTTGAGACACACCGATGAACCCCCGCCGGTTGCCCATCAGTGATCACTGATCCGCAAGAGAAGAAGAAAAAAACATGCGCAAAGGTTGAGCAGCAATGCCCCCCCATGTCTTGAATCTGAATCAAGAAAGAAAGAAGATAGAGGGGTAAAAACGCCCATCATCGACCGCAGAGGGAGAGACATCCACGCTTCTCCCACATTGAAGAAGGAACTCCCCGCTATCCTGTCGTCATGCGCCGATAGAGGATCGGCACCATCGTCCCACCCCCGCGAGACAAGACACGCTCTCGTTTTCTGGGAACGCATGGAGGACACGCTCGGTTCCATCGAAGGACCCTGATGGCTGGCGTTTCGGCGAAGCAAGCGATCCAGCAATGATGCGTTGTGTAAACGGCCACGACCCTTTTTTTTCCTGTCCATGAAACATGCGCATCCAATTACTTGCTTGCTTGTTCCGGAGAAATGAATTGTTAGTGTAAGTTGTTGGATCCCTCAAGCCGGCGTCAACAATGCAAGCGGCCGTACTGTGTAGTTAGTAGGGATTCTATTACAGCAGCAAGCCGAGGATAACGTGAGGACGTCGGCGCTGTTGATCGTCATTGGGTGTGGTGTTACCCCTGAACCGTACCAGGAACGACGAGAGGCGCCCTGTGCTGCGATTCTGGTTCCCCAAAGCCTACCGTAGATCCTCTACCCACAGAAACCCCCGTCCTTCAGGAAAGTGGGCGCTTCTCAAGATGCATCTTTGGGTCCAAACCCGCAAGGGTTAATGAGACGACAACCACCAAAAGAGCGTCTGGGTTACAAGATGGCGTGTTTGCGTTGGCGCGACATTGTCCTGTCCACACAACTCACACGACATCCACACCCATTCATCCATCCACCATGCAAATGGGGATGCACCCTAAATTAGTGAGCCACTCACACACATGTGCTGCCGCTGCGGCTGCTCTAGTCGAGCCAGTCTCGTCCCAGCGTGTGGGCGGCATGTCTTGCTTGCCAGTGCGAAGTGTGTGTGGATGGATGAATGGCAGTGCTTGGAAGGCCAAGAAGCAGCCGATGATCAAGTCGGTAACACTGTCTCTGAGGTAACGGTCTGCATCATCACCCTCGTTTTGTGAGGGTGGGCCAATTAAACTTTGCCGCGGCAGTTCATTGAGCAGATAGGCAGGTACTTGGAACATAACAGGGAGTTGGCTTTGGAGCGATGTACTTCATTCGCTCTCGTATCATTTCTCTTTCATGAGCATGGAACCCCGCCATGGACGGTTTCAACCTCCCCCCAGCCGAAACAGGCTCGGCGCGCCATTCATTGCAGGTCGCTTTTCGGCCTGAGGCGAAATAACTACATCGTTAACGAGGTTGCCCAGCCGAGAGAGATAAACTTTGATGGGCAATACGAATTGGGTAGCTGTTGGGGTCACACGACATCACACGATGAAGGGAGGAAACGGGAACACTCCATGGTGGACCCTTGGATTCTGCTCTCCGATGGCCGGGCAGGAAAGGGGGCCGCTGATGCTTCATCGTTCAATGTGCCGCTTCCAGCTAATTTCTTGCGCTTTCATCGTCACTGTCAACCCTCCGATCTGCTCCGTGGAAAGGCCGATGACGCCGGCGGCTTTGTTATCGGAGACCTCGGGATCTCTGAAGAAACAAAGCAGCTGATACACAGTACGCGTACATAGTAGATTCGGAGCAGCGTCGAAACCGTCTCAGTATCGGGACAATCAGGATCGAAACATCAACGTTATCTTCATCAGTCCCGGATAGGTATCTTTTGTTCTCCACGGCTAGCAATCCACAGACTGCGTAACGAGCCCACCATGTTACCCTGTACCTTCTCAGCAGCCACACCCGTGGTACGTTTCCGTACTAGCACGCCTGCACGGCATGAGACTTGGGGAAGAACAGGGACGACTGCTACAAACAAAGTCGTCGTGTCGTCCGGCAACAAGAGATAACGCGTTATCGGACTCCAATTCTGATGCAGCCTGATGGAGCCCGTGGACACTTGTCCGTCCGTTTTTGGCAGTCTCTCTCACACGCGGTCGCCCTGTTTTGGGGAGATCTCGGGGGTGGGTGTGACTCGTTTCGAGCACCATCATGCTACTGCCGATGGTGGAATCCACCCCCAACCGTTGTGATTGTGGAACATCGGAGATGAATTGTGCGTTCTGCATGTGCGAGTGTTGCTCGAGACCGAAAACGAGAAACTGGAAAAGTGTCAAGAGAACGTCGTCGAGTTCGATGGAAGGACGGATCCGTAATTGATCATAGCGTTCAATGGCAGAAATAACAAACTGCCTAGATAGGAACGACCTGTCCAAGTTTTCATAGCAGGCCTTCCCGCTCGCTGCCTTCTATTTTTGCACGAACCGCAAAGAGGATAGCTGGAAGCGCGAGCCGCCGCGCCGCAGAGCAGGACGCGAACGAAGGACCCTCAATGAATGCAAGCAAGCAGCAGGAGAAAGGGGTTGCATATCTCGAGCCCCACTCTGTGACGGGTCGTGTGGAAAGGGAACCGGTCCGCAAGTGAAACAAAGCGAAAGCGCCCGAAAGAGCAGGATGACCAACGCCCAGAAATGGCGACATTCGATGAGGCAGTGAGGCAGAAAGGGTAGTGGATGTCCGGGTGCCTCAGGAAACAAGTATTTGTGGGTCCGTTAGCCTCAGGCACGACAACACTGCCTCGGAACGGAGCTTCCACGGTAACGCGAAGGTTCGAGACCGTCGTTTCCATCGAGGTTTCCCTGTGGACGCGCCATGTCACGCAACTTGTTGGGTCATCTCAACATTGATCACAAGGAAGCCAAAGGAAACGAAGTTTCCACTACGGCGAATTGTGTCCGACTCATCCATCTCATCCTTCTCACCTCTGGAGATTGCGAGCTGACCAACTCTCTTCCCCCCAATTTCCCCACCTTGATAACTCCAACTTTCTCTCTCCATGGTTCCCTCCCCCAACGGATGAGCGGACGGAGGACATCGTGACTCTCGAGGTACAACGAAGGAGCCTGCCTGCGAGGCTGGCGCCTCGGCAAGGGACCAAAGTGACCTAATGTTAACGAACGGCCTGGCTTGCTGCATCTCAATCGTGGGGAAGAGAGAAAAGCGTGGGTTGTGGAGTTGGTTCACGCGTGTGAGAGAGCAGAAGAGATGGAAGGTCCGTCAGCCGACCGCGAACGTGGCCTCACCAAGAACGCGAACAAGCTGGCTTTTGGTCTTGCGCCGTCTTGCGCTCTCCGTTCACTGGTCAATTGGCAGCTGCACCGGTACCCAACTTTGCAGGAGTGGCAAAGCAGGGTTTGTCCGTTGGCATGCGGCAGCGCAAACACGCTGGGGAAAGATGGGCGGTGAAGCTTCCCAATCCCCCAGCCTGGGTATTTCTGCCTGAGGCCGTCAGAGGACACTATCAGCCAATGCGCTGATGAGGCACGAGGCTAGGGTCGTTGTTTCCCTGTCCGAGATTGGGATCGAAAAAGAGGAAATAGCACTAGCCGGATAAAGGAAGTTATCTAATCCGAGAACGGCTAGACTAGGTTGCGGCGCTATGCGCTGCAGGGGAAAGCGGTGTGCTGCGGTGGCATGCCTCGAATGGATCCTATTCGTCATTTGTGGTTGTGCTGCGCAATGCGCTCCACCCACATTACAGTGCCACTTCAAATCAAGGCACGTTGAGATTCTATGTTGTTGTCGAGCAACCGCCCAGTGCCGGACCCTCCGTTCTCGACTTGGCCGATCACACTGCGATTGGCCACCACCCATGTCTCGCCTCCGTGGCAGGCACGAGGGTCGCCGGATTTCCCAGCCAAGGCCATTCCCCTTTGGCCGACCAGGCCGCTGTCGATGACGGGACCTGGGGGACAGGCCACTGTTGTGCCAGCGTTTCTGGTCCCTTCCACACGCTACCCGCATCTTCTCGACAGTGCTGCCCACCCCCGTCGAGCCCCCGATCCCCCGTCCCGCGTCAGGCTGCTTTCCCATTCCTTGACCATCTCCGAGCTCCCACTTCCCACCGCCTCCTTCATTCACCACCTTCATCCTGCCGTCCTTCTTCTTCCCTCCACACCCCCCCAATCAGTCGTCCATTTCTGCACGCCTTTGCTGTCGCTGTCGCTGCTGCCCATCGCGGTCGTTCTCGTCGATTCCATCGATTCCGTCACTCTATCCGCAACGCCGACTACTTCCCAACTTCCTGCGAACGACCTGCGACCAGCACTGCGCTGCAGAATCAACCTGAGCTGCGAGCTGCGAGTTACTACGCCACCCTGCCTGCCACGCTGCAGAACCGCCCGTCTCGCACGAGACTCGAATCGAGCCCAGCTCAGCCCATCGACGACGAAACCTCTCCTCTCGGGACCTTCCTACGCTTCTTACACCACAACAACGAGTCTTCTCTCTCATACGCGAGCCTTTTGCCATATCAACAACGCTCCGGACTTGCATAATCGGCCCTCGTGGCATCCTGAGCGCTGCTTGATTAGCCAGCCCCGGACCCGGTCGTCCCACACGTCGCCCCTCCGAATCCACGCGCAATCGTCAGGTCCCGATCGGTCGGTCTCCACCGGCTGAGTGAATCACACGTCGCCAGTCGAACTAGGGGGACAGAAGAGTCATCTCTTCGTCCACCTGTTCTCCAAACACCCCTCCTCTGCCGCATGTTTTCTTCGACGATCTGCCAGGTGTTCCAATAGCCCGCAACTCCATTCTCTGGTTTGCTGTCTGCTGCCACCTGGTCTCCCTCAACCAATCGTCCCGACAACCCTCGGCTCTTCCCTCACGCACACTCAACCCTCTCTCTCTCCTCACCTTCGACGATACTGCTTCCTCTACGCCAATAGCTGTGCCTGCCTTCCCCTGCCCAGCTTAAGCTATATCGTTCGATCGGTCGTCACTTGTTTCGACGTACGACTTCCCCCCCTCTCTTCTCTCGCCAATTTTTGGGACTCATCCTCCGAAGCTAGCTAAGCTAGCCTCGCCCCCAATACTCGAGCTCCGTCGCTCACACCATTACCACACCAACAACAACAGGACAAGATCCTTCACACCATCCGTACCGATGTTATAACGACCATCTCTTTTGTTTTTTTCAGGACAACCAGTCCGACCCTCAACGACTTCCTCTCTCTCTCGACAACCATTTCCTTTTTCAAATACTGGAGCGACTAAATACCCTCCCATGAGCCTCGGATAGTGAACGACGTGGAGCAACTTGTTTTTTTCGGTTTTCTTTTCCCGCCTTGCGCTGTTGTACATCCTTCTTCCTCTTCTTGATTCTTCTCTTCTCGCCTCGAACTCGATCAGCCAGCAAGCATCTCGATCCTCGCATTGCGCAACCAGCCGCTTTTTCCCGTTGTACACCTTGGGAACGTTTGTCTCGATAAGACCTGCACTCGGCATAGATCGGCTTGGACCCAGCGGAACAGTCCCTTTTCGCATCTTGTACAACCACCGCAACTAGCACTTACTCTGTTCTTCGAAACGACTACATCTAATTCTTTTTTCTCGCAATGGAGTGCCTTCGCGACAGCTTCTACGACGGCGCCATGATTGGCGGCCGGTACGAGACCGTCTCTCCACTCAACCATGGGTCCTTCGGCATGGTCTTCATGGCCCGGGACACGCACACCAACCAGACCGTGGCCATCAAGTGCTTGACCAAGAAGTCTGCGTCACCTGACGAGTACCTCGACTTTGCCATCGATGACAAGTCGGAGGAACTCGTGCTTCACGGCCAGCTCGATTCTCATCCGAACATCGTCAACCTACTCGACTCATTCGAGACGGAAGCGCATATCTACCTGGTGCTGGAGTTCTGCCCGCGCGGTGACCTGTACGAGGCCATCCGCATCGGCCATGGTCCCCTAGAGACGGAGCACGTGAGGCGCTTCATGCTCGAACTGGTTGATGCCGTGGCGTACATCCACGCCAAGGGGATCTACCACCGCGACATCAAGCCCGAGAACATCTTCCTGACCCAGGATGGATCCATGAAGCTGGGTGACTTTGGGCTTGCCACGACGGATGAGTGGAGCTACGAGACGACGGTGGGCAGTGACCGGTACATGTCGCCCGAGCAGTTTGACTCCGCGGGCGCTGGGTACTCGCCCCCGCAGGCTGACGTCTGGGCCATCGGCGTCTGCCTGCTCAACATCCTCTTCTCGCGGAACCCGTTCACGACACCCACGGAGGCGGACCCCTTGTTTCTCGACTTCAGCCGCGACAAGCAGTCCTTGTTCGACGTCTTCCCTTCCATGTCCCAGGACACGTTCGAGGTCATCGTGCAGTGCATGAACCTGGACCCCACCAAGCGCTCCCTGGAAGGAGCCCGCGACGCCCTGGAGCGCGTCGTCAGCTTCACCACTCTTGACGAGGTCCCCGACGACTTCTGCTCCAGCGACCGCCGCGTCGTTGCCAGCTCCAACCGCGAGCCCCTCCGCACACCCTCCATCCAGAGCCCGCAGGTCGACACCGGTGCGTTCCCGTGGGCTAAGGCCCTGCACGCGACGCCGCCGAAGGCAATCCGCCAGCTCAGCGTCATCCCCGACGACGAGATGTACGAGGAGGACCTGTTCTCCAAGTCTGGCGCCACGACCGACTGGATGTCGGGCACCGCCCAGACCCCGTCCCTGTCGTCGTACATGGACTCCAACCTGGGCGGGTCCACGCACTCCTTCGCCGTCCCGGCCAACTTCCGCCCGGTGCTGCCTGCCAAGGCGGCCGCCAAGTTGGCGCCCATGGCGGGTTCGCTCCCGATCAACGTGTCCAAGAGCCGCAACGCCTCGGCGATGTCTCTCGTCTTTGGCCGCAAGGATGCCGTCTCCAAGAGCTGGAGCGACCTGTGGGACGAGGAGTTCGAGGAGGAGGAGGAGCAGCAGGCTAAGCAGCTGCAGACGCTCAAAGAGATGAACTCGCGGACCTGGAGCCACGAGAGCACCGCTACGCCCTCGCTGGCCGCTGCCGAGAACGACGACACCCCTCGCCAAGGCTTGTCGCCTGTCACCAAGTCCGCTACCCTCGCCACCGACGAGCATGCCATCCTGTCTATGGATGGTGTCTTCGATCATGCCGACGAGGAAGACCCCGAGATGGACGGCCTGTTCCTTTACGAGGCACCTCCCGCCAAGGAGGAGCCTCAGCCTGAGCCCCAGCAGGAGCCCCAGCTTCCGCGGAACGCTACGCCGTCTCGGAGCAACAACATGGACAAGTGGGCAGCACTTGGCGAGCGCCGTCGGGCCCATGGCAACAGCCCGCCTCCCAAGGTGGTGAACATTTCTTTGCGGACAGGTCGGCCGGCACCGGCCACTCTCCTTGCCAGCTCCCCGATCAAGGGGCGTGGCACCTTTGCTCTCCACAGCAACTCTCCTCAACCACTTTCTTCTGTCTCTCCGAATCATCACCACTACAATCCTCATCAGCAGCAACAGCATCATCACCACCCTCCCAAGGGTGGCAAGAGCAACAGTCGCGACCGCAACGCCAAAGAATGCCCGCGGCATAAGGGTCGCGACCGAGAATGGAACTGGAACTTTGACTGGCGCAAGGAGAAGCGCAGTGGTTTCGGTTACCTCGATTGGGTTGGTAACTGGCAAACCGCCCGCTCCTAATCTGGAGCGCGGTGTGCATCGAGTGCCGGTTCACCACTTGTGGTTGAGTCCATCATAGGATACCACGACAACCAAACTTCCCCTTCTCATCATCATCATCATCCAAAACTTTCTCCCGGCCTCGGCCGCCATCATCACTACTACCTACCACACCCCCATCGTCATCCGTCGGTTGACATCGATCTGTTTATACTCCCTTTTTTCTTCGACGTAACGAGTTGTTGACCCTGCTGCTTGGCTGTCTGTCTTTGGTTTGTTTTTTTGTTTTCTTCTTTCATACCCTGGATAGGTGTCCCCCGACTGCGACCGGTGTCGCGATCCGTGAGGGACATCCTATTCGGTTTTGTTCCACCCAGATTGGTCGGTGAAGGCGATCAAACTCTCTCCGCTTCCTCTTTTCAACAAATACCCACCCTTACATAGCTTTTTTGATCGTCTCTCACTCCTTTTTTTCCCTTTATTTTTTATTTGTCCACATTGCATAGCATGGTTTAGAGAACGAAACGACACAAACATATGGGTTGGCGGCATAGGGCCTGGCGCGATTGGAGCTGCTATTCTTGTTTTTCTTTCGGCTGCTGTTGTTGTTGTTCTTCACACAAACATTGGCGCGAAACTGGACAATCGGGTTGGTTGGTTGATTTGCTTTGGATTCCCCATGGGTTGGGGCTTTTTGTTTTTTGCTTCCCTATTTTTATATCATTTTTTACCTTCTACTTTCTTAGGTGGATGAAAAAAAGGCAAAACGGAACGGACGGACAGACAGACAGCATCAGCATGGGTTTTTTTTTTTCTTGCAGAGGGCGCAGGGTCAACATCTCTTTTTTCCGAGGAGCTTTGTGGTTTTCTTCTCTTCTCTTCTCATACAACATTTTTACTCAACACAACTCGACAAACACACACGAAGAGATCGATCAACGGAGGGTCTATATGGGGCAGCGTGGTGGGTTAGCTTGCCTTGATGGTGGTCATTAGGGCAAAAAGGGCAGGGAAGCAGCCAAAAAAGTTTTCGGGTGGCAATGGAGAAGGATTTTATTGGTTGGCGGCTGGGTTTTGTGGTCGGCTTTCAACTCGCTTTCTGTGTATGAGGATAGTTTGGTCTCGTGGAGATTCAGATCTAGAATACCAGAAGTTACCCACTCGAATTGTGTTCTACTGCTTGTGATGCGATGAATGTGAATGAATGTAATGATGCAAACGATGTTTCAGAATACCATGGTTAAGCGATAATCGAATGATGTTAGATGTCACTAGTGTGTGGATTTGTGAGTTGAGTTAGACAAACCTTCTAAAAGGTAGGGCATTTCTCAAACTGTTTGTTGTCGTCTCAAGAACCTTGTTCACTTCCCTCGCTTTGTAGTCAACGTTTCAGATTACCACCGCAATGGAGGAAGAGTATGAGTATGAATATGTTTTTGTTCTTCTCTGAAACGAGTTTTGGCTTGACTCCGTAAATAAACAAGAATGTTTTATTTTTCTCGTTGTTATGGGACGTCTAGGATCACGGCATAGCGTGTTGTTTATTTTGTTTTTCTCATGATACAATGGGACTGAAACGTGAGATGGAGAAATTTAGGCGACTACTCTGTAGGTAGTGTAGATCAAAATATTATGGATAGGGAAAAATTGAGACAAGGTATTCCCTCATTTTTTTTCCCGCTCTCCGGCTCGGATTCGATATGTCCAGTACCTGGTGGGTGAGAAAACGCCAGAACACTACCACTAGTTGTGACGGGTTGGGAATTTACCCGCACCTGCACTGCTCTACCTACCGCATGCTGACTTACCCGGACTATTTCGGATGGGGAACTCGTTTGAGAGACTGCTATCCTTCTCCTTCCATCCCATTCTGCATATGCCATACTGCGTCTCGTGCGTGTATCTGACCGAAAGGGAACTAACACCCAAGGATAATGACAAGGAATCGAATCGAGTGGGTTGGATTGGATAAGATCCGATCATACCGAACACCCCCCATCACTTTACTTCCTGATGTCAGGGAAAGATAACGAACGGGTCGAAGAGAGTTGAGAGGTTGGTACAAAGTCAAGGCCATGCGAGCGATGCGCTGGCAGTTGGCAGGAGGGCTAGACCACGCCGGCTAGACAGCCGATAACCCGAGTCACCGACTAACTCCGAACTTACATGTCTGCAGGGGGGGTGGGTTACTTCCTCGTTCCTCCCTTCGAGTTGTGTGTGTTTTACTGCTACGTTAGCCTATCCTGGCTTGACACACGTATTTGTACGTACACACCTATCTACCTGCATACCTACTCGCGTATATACACAGTACATACATACGCGTACGGCAAGGCTGGAGGGAATGGGGAGAGTGGGGGTTAATTAGTGGATAAGTGAGATGCTGAGGGAAAAGGGGGGAAGTAAACAAACCCGCATTGAAACCTCATCCACGCACGATGCAACAACCCCAGTCTTTGACAGAGGGGTTAACGGCGCCTGCATCTCTTAGACAGCATCTGGCCTCCCGCTAATTCACTCGCCACATGTCCCGCTCGTTTGAGAACACGCCGAACGAGCGAATGGTCAACTTTCGGTAAAAGCCAAGGGATCATAATCATACGATCTGGCGTCAGTGAGAGAGACGGACTTCGGTCCGGGTACCCGTCGTGGTGAACGTATCATTCTATATAAACCCCAGACCTTATTTCGCTCACTCGTTCTAGTATGCGCTGTCCGTGTCCGTTTAGGTCCCGTGGTCTGTTCCTGCGTCTTACAGTTGACTTGTCGTTATTCTACCCAATCTCTGCTGGACAACACTGAATAAACCCCGGATATCGTCTGATTCCCCGGTATAATGCCAGGTGGTTCGACCCCACGGTTCCCTGGGTATCCCCGCATATCTCAGTTATTTGGCTGGGGTGGTCCGGTTAATGGAATGAAGAATCCGGAAAGGGAGCGTCGAGGGGTAAACGTAGTCTCACACACGATGGAATGTATAAACGGATTTGATGTCTACACCTCCCTGGATTAAGTGGTGTGTAGGAACTGGGGATGGGTGGCTATAGAGAGAAAAAGGAGGTGTATATTCCCCTGTCAATGAACTCATCGCTGTTGGTATGGATGAAGTATGTCAAGTGTGCGTGAAACATGGTCCAAAACGTGTTCCCAAAGAACAAGGTAGGAAGCAGACAGACAAGCAGACAGACAGACAGACAGACATATGCTGAAGCCCAAAGATAACGCCAGGCCGTGAACTAAACATGATCATGAACACAAAGCCACAGGCCAACTATCCAGCCACACGGACCACACTCAGCCGGCTCTGTATGCGAAACGCAACGAGCACACTACCTCCTCCCATCTACCCCATCCATCTGATATCACCCACCCCTTAACCAACCACATATCTATCTAGCCGCCACAGGCTCAGCACCAATCAAACTCTTGGGCAAAAATGCCCAAACCGTACCAACAACTGACAGCAAGAAAGAAAGCAACATGATGGAAAAGGCAAACACCTTTTCGCGGACGGACAGCTCGTGCCCGAAGAGTTTGAGGTAGAAGGCCAGGGGGAGGCTGATACAAAACCAAGTTAGAAACGTAGGTCAGTTATTTCCTATCGTTTGTGTCTGTCGGTGACTAGGGGGCCAGGGAAGAGTGACCGGGGAAGGGAAACAGGAGAAGGAAAGGGGGGTACTCACGTAACACAAATGGTAAAGCACAACGCGCTCCCCATAAACGCCATAATGCTATCAAACGCCGGGAACAAGATCGAAATGACCAAAAACACCAACACCACGCCGACCCTCACAACCACCTTCATCACCCCGCGAAACTGCATCCCACCTCCACAACCCAACCATCCACCTACCATCACCGACCACCCACCACCACCGCTCCTATGCCCTCCCCCCTCCCGCTCGCCCCCCTCACCCTCCCTCTCCGCGGGAATCATGACCGGAGCCGGATGATGCAACCCCAACAGCACCTCCACAGTCGCCACAATAGGCCGAGCGTTGAGGGGGATCTTGGTGAGTGGGATGATGGCGATGCACAGACACATGAGGACGGTGAGGGCGCGCGGGTAGGAGGATTCTAGGAGGAGGATGTTGGAAGTGATTTCGTCGCGGACGGCGTCGCCGAACATGAGGAGGCCGACTATGGCTGTTGTTGCGTCGAGGATGTACTAGAATGGGTGAGTAAGGGGGTTCTGTCTTGAAGGGATAAGCGGAAAGGGGAGGAAAGGGGGACGTACGGTGAAGGAGAAGGAGGTCTTGAGGGCTTGGGGGTATTTATGTGGGTGGCGCATGTCGCGGTATATCTGGAGGCGGTTAGTACACGGCTGTGATTAGGGATGATGTTGATTGGTCTGCTTACATTGGGAAATACTCCGTGGCCGCCCCTAAAAGAATTGAACAGTTAGCTCACAACTCGGTTTAGGAAAAAGTTGGACGTACCATGGGGACATCAGCAATCCAAAGGACAGCGGAAGAGTTAGCCAGTTGTCAGGAAACATGTATGTTTTCGCCGGGTCAAGCAGTGACCCCGGCGAGGTCGGCTTGATCAAGCCGTCGAGAACAAGAATGAGAACGACTAACGACAGGTTAGCTTGTCCTCGCAATGGAAGAAGAATGGTTTTGAGTCGGCAGACATACTGGTAAAGCACGAAAAGATCCCAATGACACTCGTAAAGCTCAACAACCTCAGCGGCAAAAAATTCAACGGTATCAACAACACCGAACAAAACACCTTCCACCCCGTCACCGACAACAACCCCGGAAACAACAGATCCAACGAATCCGCAAAGAGCACAACCAGCGCGACGCACGCTGCGAGCAGTTCCAGGGTGAACAAGACACTGGTGGCGATGCGGGCGTTGCGGCCAAAGGAGATGTAGGCCAGGTCGGAGAAGGTGATGAGGCTGGGGTCGAGGTCCATGCAGCGCGACAGGAGACGGGCCGTCCATGCTGTGACGGCTGCGCAGAGGAATAGCGCGACCATGCCGCAGATCCAGCCGGCGTATTTGATGCCCATGGGCAGGCTGAGTAGGCCGACGCCGATGAGGACGCTGTTATTCATTATGTCAGTATCATTATTGTAAAAAAAAAACCCTGGATGGACTTGATGGACTTGAGGGACAACATACTTAGTCGAGTTAAACACCGTCTGCGGCAACGTCGACTGCCCCTCCACCGCCAACACAATCTTCCCATCCTGCTCGACCTCCTTGACCAAAATCGGCGGCAGCTCCCCATCCGGCACATTCCCCCCGGCTTCCTGCTGCTGCCGCCACAGCGCAGCCGCCTGGGCCATATCCCCTCCTCTTCCCTCACCAGCCCCCCCATGGTCCGACCGAATCGTCCCATAACTCCCATAACTCCCCACCAACGACGGCGTAGCCAGATGCGGCGGGATCGCAAAAATAGAGGCTGTCCGGTGACGACCCCCGCTGGACCCGATACTGCTGGTATGGCTAGTGACGCGGAACGCTGGGGGGAATTCGTCTGCGTAGGAGGAATCGCCTGTAGTAGAGTCGTGATGGGAGGGTTTGCCCTCGCGTGAGTCGTGGCTGGACTGTCGGCGGAGACTGCCGGTTTCGACGCCCGGGTCGGGGCTTTCGTTCCGCAGGGAACTTGGTTGCTGTTGTTGTTGCTCGCCTGCGCGGAAGGCTGCTTCGAGGTGCTGGCGGATGAGTGATGGTGAACCCGTTCCAGCATTAGTGGGGGCACCAGCCTCGGGATCGCGCTGCGGACGGCGGTACGGGGAAAAATCCCGGTGAGGGGGCTGCTGCTCTGAGTCGGAAGTGGTGTCCGCGGCGAAGACGAAGGAGGGCCGTTGCGGGATGACCTCGGAGAAGCCGGCGGCGCGTTGCCAGCTGCGGGTGAAGGAGCGGATGCTGTTGACGCCGCCTATGTCGGTGAAGGCGGCCAGGCGGTTGGTGACGGAGGATCTAGGAAGGTCTTAGTCTTGACATGGAAGGGGGGGAGAGAGCTAGAGAGAGAGAGTGAGAGAGACGGGACGGACTCACCTCCTCCGTCGGAGCTGCTGCGTCCACTCGACATCGTCTTGATTCGAACCCACGCTACGGCCGAGCAGCGAGTCGTTCTCGTTGTGGCCGCTCTGGTTACCAAAGGACGACACACTCCCGGTGCGTGATCCTCCTCTGCGGCTGGACTGGTCCCAGCTCGCGGGGTTTGGCGAGCTCATTGCCCGAGTTGGTGAGATCTCTTTTCGTTTTCCTCCCTTCTTTTCCTTCGAATTTTGTTTTTATTTTTCACGTTTTCCTTTTGCCTCGAGGGTTCGAGTTTAAGATGGGCCGAAGGGGATGAGACGAAGCGACGTAGACGCAGAGAATGTTCAGCTCAAAAGGACATCGCAAGACTCACCAACGCGCTCGCGGCACGAGACACAGCAGTTGTCTCGCGACGGCCGGTGATGAGTGGAGATGGTGGTGGGTTTGGGGTCCCAGGTTCCAGGTTCCAGGTTCCAAGCTGCTTCACAGTAAGGTTGTTTTCTGGTGGAGCGATGGGGGATGACAAGGGTAGAAGAGGGGCACTTGGGGGTTCTGATCGGTGTCACAGCAGATAAGTACAAAATAGGTGTGCAGAATGCAGAAAATATTACTAAAGCCTGAGATAGAAAGTGTGGATAAAGTAGATGACGAAAGCTCTTGGGATGAATCGATTACTACGAGATAGTCGAGGAGCTTGGTTTGGCAGTTGATTGCCCCAGGAGCCCAGACAGCTTCATCGTCATGGTGCAGCTGCAGAACACCCCCTGCTGCGTGACATCCAATGGGAGCTCCCCGGAATGTTTCATGGCTTCGAATCTTCACGAAGAGCTCTGAGTTATCGACACTTGGGGAGTCTTTTTTCTCTCTCTATTTCTAAATTTGTTGGTACCAACACTGTCTTCCTCTGCTCGAGCTCTACCCTCATTACTAGCCGCAGAGTTGGCTTCACATCAGGCCTGCGAGCACACTGAGCGGGGCGATTCTCGATGATGTTGCATGAGCTCCCGCGGCGAGGTCAGCAGGCGCACTTCTTTCCCGCTTCGATCTGGTGCGGCCTCCTGATCGGGCAATGGTGGCCCGCTATCAGCGATTTGCACCGGCAGGGAAGGGCCGTTGCGGGGCGGCCACAGCGTCGACCTCGGTGTGTGTCTGTGGCTGTCCCACACCGCCTTCCTAACCCGGTCTTACAATGCCAAGACACCACGCAGGGATCAGTGGCGGTCGAAGACGGCAGAATCCCGATAATGCATCTGGGTCCAGATTAATTTTTGTCCCACTTGCTCTTGCTCTTCCTGATCTTGATCGGCCTTCCCCTCCTCTACCCCCCTCCTTTTTACTGTTCCCTCCTTCACTCTCCCGAGCTGAAGCCATGTGGAGGACGGCCCGCGATTCGGTATGTTTGTTCTGCCGCTCGGCAACAAGACCCCGGACCGCCCTCGTCGAGACCCCGCAGACGCAGTCATGGCTCGGACTTCGAGCCTTTGCCACACGGCCCCACGAACCCAGAGACCGTCGCCCATCGCGCATGGTCTTATCCGATCGAGTATCACAAGGGCCACGGTCTCGCGATGGCCCAAAACCTCGCCGTGAGGTCGACGGGCCCTGGTCGGCCACCAACCGGACCGTTGCGAATATCGACCCCGACCGACGACGAGGAGGAGAAGGGAGAGGAAGAGGAGGACCGCCATCTCGAGGAGGCCCCCCCGGACGGGACCGCGGCGGTACTAGGGAAAGATACCTGGGGGAAACACGAGACAAAGACGCCACTCGCTTCAAGGCCCTCAAGATGCAGCGCTCCCTCGCCAGCGTTTCGTACCGCGAACGGTTGACCGTCAAGAACCGTATCTCCGACGTCGATTCGTTTGACCAGTTCAACCTGCTTCCGCCCATCCAAGAGGCCATTCAGAACGAAGTGCTGAAGGGTATGGTGGATATCAAGCCGACGCCCGTCCAGAGACTCGCCGTTCCCGCGCTGATGGGGCAGCCCATCGGCCGGCAGGAGCGAGAGCCCGATCCCCGCCAGAGCCAGAGGAGAGCGGTTGAGAAGAGAAGGGAAGAGTTCCTGTTGGCTGCCGAGACAGGCTCCGGCAAGACGCTGGCGTACCTGCTGCCTGTTATCAATGCTTTGAAGGAAGGCGAGGCGGGCGACGAGGCGGTTGCAGCGTACGAGAAGCGGCTGGCGGCCGAGCAGGAACACCGCGGGGGTGCCCCAGTGTCTGAATGGATCGACAAGTTCGAACCACACCCAAATCACGCCCGCCCGCGCGCCATCGTGTTGGTCCCCACAGCCGAGCTCGTCAGCCAGGTCCTCACGACGGCGAAAAAGATCTCCCACGTTGCCAAGCTCAAGGTCCGCGGCATCTCGGCCACCTACAACCCGCTCAAGATCGAGCGCAACATGTACAGCCACGGCGGCATCGACATGATCGTGGCGACCCCGCATCTCCTGGCTTCCATGGCCGACAGCGACCCCAACATCCTCTCGCGCGTGAGCCACCTGATCGTCGACGAAGCCGACTCCCTCTTCGACCGCTCCTTCTCGGCCGAGACCTCCAAGATCCTCGACCGCGCCACGCCCTCGCTCAAGCAGCTCATCCTCTGCTCGGCCACGATCCCCCGCCACCTCGACAACTACCTCGCCGCGCACTTCCCCCACATCCGGCGCATCGCAACCCCCAACCTGCACGCCATCCCGCGCCGCGTGCAGTTGGGCGTCATCGACGTGGCTAAGGACCCGTACCGCCACAACAAGCTGCTAGCCTGCGCCGACGCCATCTGGACCATCGGAAAGGACGCCGCCATGCACGAGGGCGCGAGCAAAGACGAGGTCGATGTCAAGCGAATCATGGTCTTTGTCAACGAGCGCGAGACCACCCAGGAAGTCGCCGACTACCTCCTCTCCCGCGGCATCGACGCCATCGCCATGCACCGCGACACCCCCGAGAACCGCCAGAGCGAGATGCTCGCCAGCTTCACCAGCAACGCCCCTCTATCCACGAAGGCCGACGGCTCTGATGCTGGTTCTTCCCCGGTCCCATCTGCCGCTAGACGCTTACCCAACACCAAGGTGATCGTGGCTACGGATCTGGCGTCGCGGGGTATTGACACGGTGGCTGTCCGGCATGTGGTGCTTTTTGACGTCCCGCATACGACCATCGACTTTATCCACCGGCTGGGCCGGGCTGGGCGCATGGGTCGGCGTGGACGGGGTGTGGTGCTGGTGGGCAAGCACGATCGGAAGGATGTGGTGGCCGAGGTGAAGGAGGCTATGTTTATGGGGCAGGCTTTGATTTAGTGTACTGAGTAAAGAGCGTTGGGTGTATGATATGTATCTACAGTACATGTATGTGCCAGTGTACTCCTAGGCGTTGTATTATAGGGTAGAGGATAGATGGATGTCTAGCGATGTATGTATGGGATTTATGAGTTGGATGAGATGCAACATTACGCTTAGAGCTAAAAGTGAAAAGGGTAAAATGTATACGCTCGAGGTTGTGTACTGTACAAGCCGTGGATGTAATGTACATGCTCCGGTTCATCACTCGTAATTCATCACGTTCGTCAAATCCCACAACCCTTCAACCAACCAACACTACCCCTATAGCCCTCACAACACTGCCTCACAGACCTACTTCTCCTTCCCCCCCTTCCCCAGCTTCCCAGCCTTTCCCCTAAATCCCAAGCCCCCCTCGCCCGCCCCCTCCGTCACATCCCAAGTCCGCATCTTACTCATCGTCCGCTTCCTCATCGTCGCCATAATCTTCATCTCCATCTGCTCAATCCCTTCCTCCAACGCCACATCCTCCGCCTTATACCGCTCTTCCCTTTTCTTATCCCACAGCCGCCAGGTGATTACAATTATCATGGTCACGGGAATGGTGATGGCGAAGTAGATCCATAAGAGCGGAGAGACGGGGTTCCAGGGCGGTTGTGCAGGTACTGCAGACCCAGACCCAGACCCAGACCCAGACCCAGAGGAAGAGGATGGGGAAGGGGAGGAGGAACCGCCGCCGCTGTCGGGGACGAAGTTGAAGAAGGTCATGCCGAAGATGGAGGCGAGGTAGGTTGCGGGGAGGAAGATGGCACCGAGGAGGGAGAGGATTTTCATGGAGGTGCTGTCGCGTTTGGAGGCGTGGGCGAGACGGCGTTGCTCGCCGGCCATTTGGAGACCGAGTTTGGATTCTTTTTGGGCGATTATGTTGTAGAGCTGATATTGCATGTTAGTATTTTCGTAAAAAAAGAAAAGAAAAAAACAGAAAAAAACAGAAAAAAACGTAAAGGTAAAGGAATAAAAAGGGGGGATAAAGAAGAGAAACGTACCGCCTGCCGCTGCACAGCCAACCTCTCCAACGTGATATGCGCATAATTCTCAATCCCCGTCAACTTGGCCGAATAAAAATCCAACCTCGCCAACATACTCCGATGCAACCGATACACCTCCCCCTTCTCCCCCCCATACGCCTCCTCATCCCTCTGCGCCCGCTCCCAAAACGCTGCCATCGCCTTCTCCATCCCCCGAATAATCTCCTGATACGCCTGCGGCCGCTTCCACAACACCCGCGAGTGGCACTCCACCAGGTCCATGTTGATCTGATCCAAATCAATCATCGGCCCCCGGATGTATTTGTTCTCCTCGGCCAGCGTCTCGGCGCGCATGCTGACGGCGGACTCGAGCGTGCGCAGCCAGTCGCGGGCTTGGCGCTGCTTTTGGTCGTTTTTCTGGGAGAGGTCGTGGCTGATGATGATTACGGGGAGGAGGAGGGGGTGGAGGATTTGGGAGGCGCAAGAGCGCAGGTGTTTGATGCTCTCGACCATGTCGGAGGAGGGGGTGCCTTTGGCGTAGCCGGTTGTGGTGTTGGTGCGGAAGGAGTGCGAGAGCATGAGTTCCCAGCCGCGGGTTAGGCCGAGTTTGCGCACGTCGGATTTGCGGAAGACGATTTCTGTGTGTTCGTCAGCAGGAGGCATGCCTATACCGGACTCCCCATTGTGAGAAGAGGTATGCGGGACAGAGAAAAACATACGTAGGTGCGGATCATCATCGTCCTGGTCAAAAGCACACCAGAAAAAGGGGCCCACCACGCTGGTCCCTTCAATAGCCCGGAACGGGAGGTGCAGCGCCCGTACCATCTCCTCGTACGCCGCGTGCGAGAAGGAGATGTGGCTGGGCGTGAACGTCTCGGGGTCTTTTGCATTCTGCTGGAGGCTGGAGTGTGTTAGTCTCGGAAGAAGCGTTACTGATGGAAGAGTCCTTCAGAAAAGAACTCACATCAACCGGATGGCGCCCGTTTGCTTCACGCCAGGGCGCAAGTTGGGGGGCGCAAAGGCTCCCTATTACACATTAGTTTAATCCCCAAGCCCGCCTTATGCCAGAAAATCGTACCCTTCGATGGAGAAAGTTGCTAAACTCAACGGACAGCTCGTCGCTCCCGAAACGATGTTCCTCACAAGTGTTGTATGAGGGATCCTGTCTGTGTCAGTCCCATTCTGGATAGCCGGCCGAGAACGTCATCCATCCATGAGAAACTCACCGAGTAATTGAAAATCTCGAGATAGCTCGTGTCCTCCTTGACACACTTGCACTCGGCCACATAGGACCGGAACATGTAATCGTCCATGGCCTCGTTTCACCCCCTAATAACCCACAGATTCGGACTGTCGCTTCGTGCGTTGATGAAAGAACCAGAATAACCCAACGGACGACCTGTCTTCCGTGACGATGCCCAACAATAGTGAAGCCGGCTTCTGGAGTTGACGGGTTGTTGAAAGGATCTCCCCAATTCTTTGATTACCTAAATCAATTTGTGTAAGCACTCAATTGGATCGACAACACCGAGATTTGCCCACGGCTTGCCGCTCACCTAGCGTAAAATTTTGCTGATTTCCCTTGTCCCCCGGTATCCAAATGACTTCCTCCGCGACATGAGAAACACATCAAGCAATTGATCCAAAAAGAACCCAAAGAAGGTTTTTTTCCTTAAGAAAAGAAAACAGAAACCTCAAACCGCTTCAATCAAATTCTAGACCACCGAGGTTCCCCCATCGTCCTCCCATCCAATGCCATCTCCCGACCGGATGCATGTTCTGCAGCCGGCTGACCAGCCACCACGGAACACTCCCCGGGCCCCGGCGGCCTTTGGGGGTGTTTTGTTGCCGGTCGGGATCTTGATGCAACCACGAGACAAGTCCCGGCATTGAAATATACAGTGTTAATAGACTGCTCAAAGGTCTTTAAGCCCGTAAATCCGACAGTGCAAATGATCTGAACACTGTGTGGGCAAACTGGGGACCTATCCCTTCACCCCTGCTGCAAATGCCAACAAGGTGGCTGGGCGACTTCATTGCTGGGCTCATCAAAAATGAAGACAACAAGACTGGCAAAATTAACAAACTGCTGCCAGAAAAATGTATTGTAATCAACGTGAGCCCGTACCCTCTCAAATGGCCCAATTGCAATCAAATATTCACATCAAATACACCGCTTTCTCTCTCACACTCCGCGAAGAAACCTTTCCTCCTTCGAAGTCCAGCGCAGCATGTGATGGCCGCTGCATGTCCCCGGGCCTGTTACCCCGGAATAGCCTAGCTCGTTTCGCCCACTCCGAAACCGATGGCAGCCGTTGAGTTGGTTACGAAATGACTGATGAGACAGTTTGATGAAAAAGAAGGGAATAAACTGAGATAATATAGCACAAAGTAGCCTGTGTTCATAGCAGCGTTCGTTATATTTCCCAACCAAGAGCGTAACCAACATTTCTCTCTTTATCTCGTTACTGTTTTCATTCATTAAAACGTAGACAAACCGTTGCTACTCCGTTCAACATGTACAGTACCTACAATATGTACGTATTAAAGGGCAGACCAGCAGCAGCAGGATTAACAAATACCAATAATACTGTTCAGTGACGAATGTTCATGCGTTAAAACGGATAGCCTGTCACGCCCCCGTTTTCTTCGATAGGTTTGGTTTACAGCTCATCCAACGGCGGTTTTCCAGTGCTCCGCGGTAATTATCCCCACGACAAACCGAAACCGGGCCAGACCAGGCCACAAAATCATAGCACGCCGGTTCTGGATCCTTTTATCTCAAGCCTTTTGTTTTTGCTCTCTTTTCCAACTCCCAAGGACCAAGATCATAGGTAGGGGGTTACGTCTTTGGCGCTGATTCCGAGTTTCCAAGAAGGCTAGAAGTCGTAATCGTCGTCGTCCTCTCCAATTCTGACGTCTACGGTAGGCTCCTAAAAATCCTGGAATAAATATCCGTATCTGGAAAGTCGTTAGTCAGCGTCCGATCACCAAAGTAGAAAGGCCAATGATGGGGATAACGTACTCATCATGCCCCCCTTGGCCATACTGCTCCGTTTCTTCCGGATACCGGTCAAACTGGCTCGCATCACCGGCGCCCGCCCTCACAGGCGGCGAGTACGGCGCGTCAATGTCCTTGCGAGCGAGGCGGTCCCACGTAACCTCGGCGAACCAGGGGTGATTCTTGACGTCTTGTGAACCGCCAAACAGGTTGCCGAGGCGCTTGGTCAGGTCCGCGGTGATGAGGCGCTCCAGCAGGTTTTGCGCGTCCGGGTTGACGTAGGCCGGGTACTTGACCTTCCCGCGAAGAATGTTTTCGTAGATCTTCATCGGCGACCCGCTATCCCAGAACGGCGTGTACCCGCAGAGCATCTCGTAGATGAGAATGCCGAGGGACCACCTGTTTCAGTGTAAGTAGTCGAAGAAAGCAAGGCATATTAAACATTGTAATAGGGGAGGCAAAGCATACCAGTCCACAGACTTGTTGTAGCCCTTGTTGGAAACCACTTCGGGCGCAAGGTAGTCGGGTGTCCCGCAGAGCGTCCATGTCTTGTCTGGCACGCGCTTGGCAAAGCCAAAGTCGGTGATCTTGAGGTGGCCGTGACGGTCGAGTAACAGGTTTTCCGGCTTGAGGTCGCGATAGATGATGTTGCGGGAATGGAGGTATTCGAGGGCTAGAGTCACTTCGGCAGCGTAAAACTTGGCCACCGGGTTCGGAAAGCGCTGCCACGCTGTCAGCACTAGGCTCAGGAAACAACCACCCCAAAATAGCCCGACATCGCTCAACTTACCCCTGATCTCCTCAGCAGCGAAAAGAGCTCACCACCCTCGACAAAGTCCATCACCATGTACAGATTCCGCGGGTCTTGAAACGTGCCCCACAATGTGATTAAGAACGGGTGCTTGACCTCGCCAAGCATCTTGCGCTCATCATTGGTGTGTTCAACCTGTTTCATCTTGACCACTTGCGCCTTCTTGAGCACTTTGATGGCGTAGAACCGGTGGTTGTGTCGTGACTGTACCAGGTGCACACGCCCGAAACTACCCGTCCCCAGAGTCCGGAGCAGCTCGAAGTCCGCTAGCGAATATCGACCCCTCGTCACTCGCGCTTCCGCCTGGGCTTGTGCTTGTGCTGCCGCCGCTGCTGCAGCGACTTGCGTCTGGTCTTGGGTTTGTGGTTGTTGTGCTTGTGGCTGCTGCTGTTCTTGTTGCGGTTGGTTCGTTGCCCCGCCGTTGTTCGAACTGTACTGGGCGTATTGGGTGCCTTGCTGCCCCGGTTGCGGTGGAGGATGTATGAGGTTCGAAATGCGCGTCATATTCTGGGGGTCAGTGCAGGGAGAGGGTGAATGCTGTGGCACCCCGTAGGGTGCTTGGGGTGCTGTGAGGGTGTTCATGGCAGGCTGATCTTCTGGCTGTGCTTGTGGTTGCTGTGGTTGCTGCTGCTGTAGCTCCCGTTGCTGCGGCTGCGGCTGCGGCTGCGGCTGCGGCTGTTGAGGCTGCTGAGCCTGCTGCTGAGCCTGCTGCTGTGGCGGCTGTTGCTCCTGCTCCTGTTGCTGCTTCGGTTGCTCAACTGCCGCTTCCGCCGACCTGCTCGGGTGAATAGCAGTCGCAGACGAGCGATGGCTGAATTGTGAGATGCCGCTGGAGCGGGAGCCGCGGGAAAAGCTGGCGCGGTCGGAGTTGCTCGATGTCGATGTCACGGGGCTCGTTGGATTGCTTCCCGATGAATGGCCCGAGTTTCCGTCTCTTGTCCGTTTTCTCCTGAGAAATCCGAGGGCGTGCATCAACGGCGGTTCGTCGACGTGGTTCGGGTCGACGGGAGTGGCTTGAGCCCTGTCTATCCGGGCAGATCCGCAACTTCGCGCGCGTGTATGGGTGATCGAGCAGACCGCAGGGTCAGTGCGGACCAATGATCTAGAGCTTGCTCGTCAGGGCCGGATTCGATCGGGGGCCCTGCGGAGAAGGGGTCGACGAAGCTATTGCCGCACCGGAAAACCCGGGTTGAGGGGCAAGGTCGAAGATATCGCCGTGTCTTCAAGGAGCTGAGGCAAAAGGGCGTTGCTGCTCGAATCCCGGCCCACAGCGACGGCAGAGAAGGCGGCAATTGGGCTTGTTGACAAGCTGACAGCCTGGTGGGGAAGGTTTGGCAACTCCCAAGGGGGCTGCGCGAGGGGTTGGCGAGTGGAGGTCGGAGACAGGCCGTTGACGATCGGGAGCTACGTACACAAAGACAGAAAGTATGGACCAATGGCTTGCTTTCCCGGCGCGAAGGAGGATGCAGCAAGGTGATCTTCAAATCTCAATGAGAGAAAGAAGATGAAAAGGCCGGGACTGCCGTGCTTTTAGGGAGAACTGGGCACACCAAGAATTGCGTGAAGCCAACAGTCATTAGGTCCTTTGGTAGGTATCCCGACAATCTGGCTCGCCCTATGATAATACAAGGCGCAGGCGAGTACCGGGCGGAGCAAGGCTAGCAGATAGGTAGGATCTGGGAGTTGTAGGTTCGTTGTCGTGATAGTGCATTTACTTGCAGCTGAAAGATGTCTGAGCCCGAGAAAGCGGGAGGGAGAATAAGAATGAGGTCAGTGGGGGACAGCGGAAACAAGCAGGAAGGTGAGCAGCTTTGCCTGCAAGGGTGGAGATGTGCTGTGGATGGAACTCTTCGGGGCTGCTCGAATGGATTGCAGGGCGGGGCGGGGGACCTGTGAGCCTGCCTGCCCACTCGGGACATGGACACTGCATATGGAGATGGATGGGAGCAAGGAGGTTCGGAGCTGGAGGGGATCCTTGTCAGCGGGCCCTGGCTCGCCTGGCGGGCACCGGTCCATTGTCCCGCTTTGCTTGGCACCCTCAACTGCTGGGACCCGTGGGACCCTCCATACATAGTGTTGGCGTCACTTGGAGCTTTCCAGGTCGAGCGATTGATCGGATAGAGAGCGAAGCTCAGCCGCTGTCTCAAAGACTCAGCAGGCCCGGTATTGAATTTGGCTAATCCCCCATGCACCAAGGGAAAGCCACTAGCGCTGCAGTGCCCGCATATGCCACTTGTCAGTGCAGACAAGGAGCCACTATTTTGAAACACGAAAAGAAACGATTTTGGGAAGCTTCATCCCCAATGAACGAAACGAAAAAAATAAACGCTGGGGCCGACCGCGCTCTCGCCATTCATCTCTCCAGGGAGGCCTTGAGGTCTGAGGCCTTCTCGGAGACACGCTCAGTCGGTGGCCAGGCAATCGACTCGCAAAGGAGGGGCTTGATGTGGGGTAATTCTCATTCCCAAACAGGGATCCGCCCCTGATCGATCTTGACGTTGAGCCTAGCCCAGGTCACCGTCGTCATCGCTGATCTGTGGTCAGCCCGGACTACCATCACAGCCGACCAACTCGGCGCCCGGGCGGAGGTTTTCTTTCGCAAACACCCGGCGGGAAAATAATAAAAGCTGCATGTCCAAACTTTTGTCTCGGAAAAACGGTACTTGGTTCCGGACGGGGGTGGTTTCAAGAGCACCAATTTCGGTTTGTCGTTGAGACTAAAGCAGCACGGGCAAGCTTGTTGATACGTGGTACATAGTAGCTGTTTGGTCTCACATACTCGAACGATCAAGAGGTCAAAAAATTGTCCCAAGAAACTAGGTCGCCGTAGAGATGCTTGAACTCCACCTCCCAAAACCAACACTCCAAAAGATAAATAAATGAAAGGGGGAAATGAAAACACGTTACTGATACATGAGCGAGAAAATGTGCATCCAAACCAACTGAACGCCGTAGGACGAAACTAAGAGGGCTTGTAGAAGGCATGGTTAATGAGATGCACATGGTATCTTGTGCTTTTTTTCTTTCTCTCTTTCTCTCCGGCGTATAGTCATCGTCAAATACCAATCCTCCGCACCCCCCATACCCTCCAAACCCCACTATACTCACACTATCAATCTCCCTCTCCTTTCATAACCGGCTCATCAGTTCTTCGCTCAAAAGCGGTGGTGCCGCTTGCTGTTCGTCCTCCAAGCGGTGTACCCAACATAGGCACCCCCGATGGCCGCAAAGAAGAACACCGTCTTGAAGAGGAACCAGAACCAGCTACCACCGCTCTTCTTGACCGACTTGGACTTCTTGCCGCGGTTGCTGCCGGGCGTGGTCTTCCCGCCGGGGGTCTTGGAGTAGTACAGGTTCTTGGCATCGATGGAGATGATGTCGTGGTTGTCGCTGAGCTCGCCCGTCTCCGAGGTGAAGCCGAGGTAGGCGACCTGCGGGATGGAGGGCGGCTTGTCGGTCTCGAAGCACAGCGACCACTCGCCCTCGGTCTTGTACTGCAACTCCAGCTTGAGGGACTTGTCTTGGAAGTAGGTCAGGCGGAACTTGGTCGGAATCGTCGCGTGCCGGATCCCGCGCGCCGAGCAGCCCGCGAACTCGGCCTCCTTGCCGTCCGTGTCCTTGTCGTAGGTCTTTTGTCCGTCGCCCACCATCGCCATGACGTAAGGGAACACCACGCCGGGCCGGTTGTTCTTGTACGTGTCGAAGAAGATGCCGAGACCCTCGAATTTGTCGGCGCTGCCGAATATGGGGCCGGTCTTCCCCCGCTCTTTGGTCAACCACATGGCGAAGCCGTCGCCGTATAGCTGGTTCTTGCCGTGGATCTTGAATTCCACCTCGATCTCCCAATTCGTCGCCGTCAGGGGGACCCTCGAGAAGAGCCATCCGGTTTGTGATGGGTGGTCGGAGGTCAAGCGGATGTATCTGCAGGGACAACGTCAGTCCTGCTTAGACAACATGAAGACACATGGAGAGGTGGGTATATACTGGTCAGTGCGAATGATCGCGTCGCCACCAAAGTCGTACCACCGACTTTGCATGTCAGAGTCCAGGTAAGGCTGAAGAACGATGGTCAGTCAGTTGCATCATGTCAACGAGGATGCACGTGCGGATGTGTATTAGTCGTTCGCACCTGGTTGAGAGTGTGTGTCCGCAGCTATAAAGTTCGGTTAGCACCGTGATCTCATTGCAAAGAAAGCTGTTAGCTGTCGCAGCGCACCCCTATGCTCTTGATATTGTCCTCCTCCGCGCTAGCCGTGCCCCAAGCCGCCGTGGCCAGCCACAAGGCTGAGAGCACCGACTTCCACATGGTGTCGAGCTTCGAGAATCGATCGTCGGTGGGATGTTTGAGAAACAAAATAGAACAAAAAAAAGAAGAAAACGAGGTTCGGTCGTGTGTGCTGGTAAGAAGACCCGAGGTCAAGGCTCCAATGGAAACAGAGGTGAAAGCGGAAGTGAAGAAACAAAAGACAGGATACCCGAACGAGTGCGCGAATGTGGTGTGGCTGTTGGGAACCTGGAAAGGCCGAACCGACAAGCTGGTGGGTGATGATCGAAGGCTTGTCGCAGCCGACAACCTCCTTCAACCAGGGACCGCCACAACCGATTCCCTTAGCTGGCCTTTTCAGTCCAGTGTTGGGCGCAGCGGCCCCACACCCTCAGCAGAGCTGCCCCCTGGTTCCCCACTCTTCTCCACGTTTTGGAGCTCCCCACCAGCCACACCTCGTGCATGTCAAACTTTCGAAAAAAGAACGTGCGCCACACCTCCAACTGTAACTTTTCTCCAAGCCGTCTCCAAGATACAGGCATCAAACGGCGAACCTCGACGAAAATAACCCCAAATTTGAACCCACTCACTAGCCGCAACCATGGACTCTGATAGTGTCAAGAAGACTATTATGAAGGAGGCGCTGCAGGCAACAAACACAGCCGAGGCGCAGGTTCTGATCCAGGTAGGCCACGCTCATTCCCGAGTCTCGAGAACCAAGCAACCCCCCCTTCACCTATTCGATTTTGTTCTCTCTCACAGCCACAATCAAGCCCAACAATCAACATCAATCACTAACACCCCCTACAATAGAACATCAACGAAACATGCTTCGAGCGCTGCGTCCCGAAACCCGGCAGCTCCCTCTCCAGCGGCGAACAGACATGTCTCAAGGCGTGCATGGAAAAGTACATGGCGGCGTGGAACCAGATCAACACGGCATACGTGCGCAGGATACAGCAGGAGGTGGGGAATCAAGGGCAGGGGTTTTAGAGAGAGAGGATCAACGGTTGTGGGGGATAAAATACATGGTTTGGGGAAATAAGAGCGGAAGATAGAGCGGGGGGTGTACAACATTGGCAATGACATTGAGGATGACGACGACGACGATGTCGGTTGGGATAGTCACGATATGGTCATGATGGGTGGTGGGGTGGATTACGGTCTGTACGATATGGGATGTATAGACTCGGCCAAAGTTAGGATGATAAAAGGATTAGATGGATCCCTCGGCCAAGGGGGAACAAATACTTGTGAAAGAACACTTCGGGTATCGTCAAGAAATTTACTCATATACAGATCAACCAGCATATCACCTGTTCCCCCACATACTACTCTTCCACCCCGGCCTTCTTCGCCTCCTCAGCCGCCCTCTTGCGCGCCAAATACCTCTCCTTCGCACTCGAAATATCCGCATCCGTTTTCCGGCTCTTGCTCGCCAGCTGCACCTTCGCCTCCTCGGCCGCCTCTTCCTGCCGTGACCGCTTGAGCGACTCCTCCAGCTGAGCCTCCAACATGCGCGTCTGCCGCGCACGCATCGCCTGTTTCCCACCCGCGGCATATACCCCCTTTGTTTGGGCCGAAGAGGCACCCCCCCGCGCGGCATCTGCAGCAGCCCTGGCGGCTTGTCGTTCCTTTTCCTGCTGCAACTCGACTTTCTTCTTCGCACCAATGTTGAGCCCACCCCTGAGTAGCTGGCGCTTATCAACAACCTCCCCGTCCTCGTTAACCAGCACGTTGCCCCCGAGCGCATTGATCTCCTTAGCCCGTTGCGCCGCCGTCTTTTCCCCGTTCTCATCATCACCCCCAGTCCCCGCATCTGTACCCCCTTCCCCACCACCACCCTTTTTTACTACCCCTTCCTCCGCAGCCTTCACCAAAGCAGCATGTTCCCTCTCCCTACTCTCCAACATCCCCTTATAAAACTCCGCCATCCCCCTCCCCTTATTCCTCTTCTCCTCGTCCTTCTCCCTCTTTTCCTCCTCCTCCCTCAACCGCTTATTCTCCTCCTGCTGCCTCCGATACGCATCCGTGACAAACCGCTCCTTATCCGCAAACGCATCCCCCTCCGCCTCCCGCTCGCGCGCCAGCCGTCGTTCCTCTGCAATCTGCCGGTCGCGCTCGCGGATGTCAGCGGCATTTTGGAGCGCGGCGAAGTATCGTGGTCGTTTGGCGCCTTCGTCATCGTTGTTGTCTTTGTCGTGTTCTGCGGCGGCTTTGGCGGCTTTGAAGGAGTCGTAGGCCGCGTCGTAGTCGTAGATGGATGGGTCGGTGGCTTCGGCGGAGGCGGCGTGTTTGCGGGCGGTGAGAGCACTGGAGAGGTCGAGGAATTGGTCGTTGTTGTTGTTGTTGGATGGGGGGGCGGCGGCTGGGTTTGCTTTTGATTTTGGGGGTTGTTGGGGAGGTTTGGCGTTGTTGTTGTTGTCGCCGGGACGTAACGGATGTTTTGATGTCTTTTTCCGGCGGTCGGGAGAGTCGCCGGAGGTAGAGAGTTTACTTGCGGACCCAAAGACGCTGAATTCAGAGACCTGCGCGACGTTGCTGGTAGATTCGTCGCCCGAGTTGTCGTCGTCGCCTCCACCAAACAGGGCGGGTTTCCGGCGCGCCGGTGCCGATTTGGCCCCACCGGCCTTCTTTAGACCAAAAGAAAACCCCGGATTGCTCATGGTGTCTGTGAAAAGCAGAGTTTGGAAAATGAGAGGATGGTAGTTGATGTCGGCGCAAGGCAATCAATTGTTGAAGCAGACACGGGAACGAGCCGCGACCTCGAATTTAAGTGGGTCGCTGCACCAGCCACAGTTGTTATCGTGATCGCCGATAAGATATCCCGGCAGGCAATTATCTTGGCACTATCATTACCCTTTCATTGATCCTGAACCGCGATCGAAGCCAACGACTGTCCAGATCAGGATGCCAACATTGAACTTTATTGTAGCCGTAATATTGGATAAAACGAGGAAATTTCACATTTATGCCACCCCATCCGCCTACATCAACCGCAATGCTCCCATAACGTAGATGTTCTTCAAAAAGGAAAACAAGAAAAAACAGGCAAGAATCATAAGCAAGGCAAACAGCCCCTCAGAACCACCATACATAGCACTACTATGTAGGAAAACCTCATCCTCCATCCCCTACCTCAAAGTCTTAACCACCTTCACCAACACCGCACCCTCCGTCTCCACCCCCTGCGCATCCACCAAATGCACAAACCGATACCCCTCCCTCAGCCGATCCACCCTCACACACGCCCACGCGGCTAACGAGTCCCGCCCCAGCTCATCATCTTGCACCAAGAAGCGCACAAACGACAGTTCCGGCACAACACCCGGGATACCCTCAAACTTGAGTACCTCCCCTTCTCCACTCCCCGATCCGGTATTGAAATCCGGATCACACCCCTTTGCCGAATGTGTCTTGGCCTTGTATTCGCCCTCTTTCTCTGTGCCCCCGCGGGGCACGGAGGCATCGCCGCCGTGGCGTTCACCGGGTTCTTCGACGTGGACTTCGACTTTGACGTAAGGGCGGAAGGAGGATGCGTGGTCGTCGCCGGGTGGGAGGGGCAGGGATTGAGCTGCGAGGATGTGGAGAGTGAGGTCCATGGTGTAGTGCTTGGTAGCGGTGGCTTGAGGGCTGGGGGTGTCTGCGCTGTCGGTGGTTGTGGTAGTGGTGGTGGACGAGGGAGCAGGGAGGGTTTTTAGGACGCGGTAGCCTGGGAAGGTAGTTTAGCAAAGATCGAGAAGGAGCAAAAATGGAAAAGAAAAGTCGAGGAGAAAGAAAGGGCGGCTCACCTTCGGGCTTCAGTACATAACCCCCTGTTCCCGCAAACATGCCCTCGTTCAGCATCATACCCTCATCCCAATTCTGCCAGTTCAGCGCCACAATCTGAATCCCCTTGCGCCAAAAGACGACCGGGTCGAGGTTAGAGGAGCGGATACGCAGGCCGGACGGGTACGCGCGCATCAGATACTTCCGGTTGTGCTCAAATAGCTCACGCGCACTCTTCTCGTGTACCTCCATCACCCCACTCTCCGACAGCGAGAAGATGTGTGTCGGCATCACCGCCTCGGGCTGCGTCAGGCTCTTGAACGACACCCCGCGGGTGTAGATACCTAGCTTGCTCAGCGCCTGGATGATCTTGGAAGGCTTTTTATTTCGGGCCTTGGCCGTTCCGGGAACGCCTGCTGCGGCCGCGGCGGCTGACTCGTTGTCGGTTCCAGTCGGGCTGTTGTTGGTCGTCCCGTTACCACCGCCAACACCGTGACTACCCTCGGGGGGTGCGTACTTGACCTTCACCAAGATCTTGCGGCGTAGTTCCGCAGGCGTAGGAAGCTGCTGGGCGTCCTCCTTCGGTTCGGGCAGGAGGAACTCGCCCCAGGTGTCGAGCATGATAGCTACCATGCTCTGCTGTTGGGCTGGGCTGCAGTGGACTTCGAGACTGGCGATCAGCGGCGTGTCGCTGACGACGAAGGCATAGTCCCGGATGGCCTCGCACACTTCGCGGAAGGACACTTCCTTGGTCAGCGTGTAACCGTGCAGCACCCGCGGCTCGATGAACTTCTTGAGCGGGTTAACCGGTGGCGTGGCACTGGGGCCCTCGGTAGTCGAAGTAGTAGTGGCTGTAGCAGTGGTTGTGGCCGCGGGAGAAGGGGCGGCCGTACTCGGGGCCGTAGTGGTACTGCTGCTACCTGTTTTCCTCGATAATGAGCGGGTGAGTCTAGCCACGATCCCCAACTTCCCGGGCTGCTTCTTCTTACCCAGGCTGGTCTTTTCAAGTCGGCTTGCCAATGATTTGGGTAGCTTTCCAGTCACCTTGCCGAATCTCTGCTTCCTCTTCTCCTTCTTTGCCTTCGCTACCTCGTCATCATCACTGCTGCTGCTGCTGCTCGTGCCAGCTTCATTGTCCGAATCATCCCCATCCCACACATCAATCTCAATACACCGACACCCCCGCAGCAGCACGTTCTTGTATGCGTCCGCACTCGAATCGCTCGACAGCTGGTTGCCCGTCAGGTAGGTATTGTGGCTGGAGCTCACAAAATAGCTCGACAATGGGTACGACAGGTCCTCTTCCCTCGGCGGCGCGACGACGTGGGTGATGGACGACGTCATATACCGCAGGAAAGCGTTGAAATCCCAACCCTTAGCCGCAGCGTCGATAGCGCCTGGGAGCTCAGGAGCAGCGCGCTCGGCCTCGGAGTCGCCTTGGACATCCTTTAGAAAAGCGGCCGCCTTCTCGGGGGTCCACCCGGCACCGCTGCTGCCGGCATGGCTGGCGTAGACCTTTTGCAGGTGGGCGAGAACGGTAGTGTTGAGCGTCCTGACGGTGTGCACGCGCCCTGACACACCGCCGCCGGCTTGGTGGCTGCCGTCGGGGAGATTGTGAGATTTTGTCGCTGCCTTAGTCCCCATGGTGGCGTCGTGGTTGTGAGATTCAAGATAAACTCGACGGCCGGGGAACTCGAGGACAAATTGGGAACGAGTTGTATCTGAGGTGGATCCCGCTGCGAAAGTGAAAGAATGACTAGAAGGGGTTGTTGGGACTTATGTGTAACCACAAACCCCAAGTTAGTCCCCAATTTAACTCTCCTCCTTTGTTGTTGTCTGGGTGAGTTGGCTAGTCCCAGACCTCAGAACAGGAGAGAGTTGCCAAAAAGCAAGCTGAGCCGGTCTGGGCCCACGTTGCAGGCACACACAAACACACACGATCACACACGTCAGGCCTCCAAGACCACTAACGTTATTTCAGGGAAGAGAACCAAGAACAAGGCAGGAGCGGTGTCGAAATCGGGCGCGCAAGAGGGCTTAGAGGGCTGAAAAAGAACCCCACTATCATCCTGATTGGTGAAACACACGAATACCCCGCCAGACTGGGCGGAGCTCCTGCCGTTGTTGGTGGGGCCTTCCGGGGAGGATGCCCCGCTCCGTCCCGTGGAGAGCTCCGGGCCCGGGCCGGGCGTCGGGACTATTTGGTCGGGATTTTGTATTAGGGAATACACTGGATAAAACAAAAGGACAGTCCGTGGCGGGGGACGGGGGGATCACAGGAAGGGCAAGAGAGAACGTCATGACTTTCGAATAGAACGGACATGTGTTGGGTGCTTCACCAATCCCTCTCAAACCATGCGTAATGTCGGACTTGACAACCCAATCATCGACAACAATAAAGCATTCAACCAATGGTCCCACAACCCATCTTCCAAACTGTTTAAATCAACATTAAACAGCCGATCTCACCACCCTCACACCCCATTAACACCCCTCCAGCTCGAGCCCCTTCACCCCCAAAAACTATCCAAAAACAAAATGATAATGACAAGGACGAGATTCGAACTCGCGCGGTTTCCCACTAGAGAGGTACAATGTAACCTAAATCTAGCGCCTTAACCACTCGGCCACCTTGCCTAAGAATTAATCATGTCAACGGCACTCGCAAACACTGAAGATAAAGGAAGCAGCGTCCGGTTACGAGGATCGTCGTCGGCGTTATGCCCCACATTTTATCCCTAACCCTGGTCATTTCCCTTCTCAATTATTTCTAACTCATGACTACAAGACGGCAATATTTAATTAAAGCTGCACTGCTAGTTTACATGGTAATGGTAGGCACATTTTAGTTTCTGAAAGAAGTAGCACTGTGTATTTTATCATCTTGGTTTACAACCAGCCTTCACCATAGTAGTAGGTAGCTCCACAACTCCCGTATCCCTCTTAAACAACCAAACCCGAAAGAACTCCCAAGCCCCTGACGTTGATCTGCCACTTCGTAACTGCCTTTGCATAGGTACCATCTCTCGATCTTGCCACTCCCATTCCACAGCCCTCTCAGTACTGCCAAAGCACCTTATTATACACCACCCTCGCCCCCAACATCTTATACTCAAACCCCGTAATCCACGAATCATTCGTCGCCAATTTCGCAAACACACTCGCCCCCTTCCACACCACCACCTGCTCGTCCATCTCCCGTGCACTCCGACTAACCAGAATCCGATCCGTCAAATCCGGCCGCCGCATCTTTAGCTTCTCCTCCAAGTACGGCGCAAAATGCGGGATCTTGGCGCCGCCGCCGACGACCATGATACTCCCCAGCAGATCGCGCACTTTCTTCTCGTCGCCCTTGGCCGCGTTCTGGATGGACGTCATGATGGCGATGTCGAGTGGCGCGAGGGGTAGCACGGAGTCGCGCTCGATGGCGAGGGACTTGGCGCTGCGTTGGACGATTTGGGGGACGGGGTTTTGGCTTTGGCTTTGGGGGGGCTGGAGGCCGCCGTCGAAGGATGTGGTGGGTAGCTGGGAGGTACCGTTGGGTGGGGCCGGGGTGCCGCCGTTGCGGGCGCTGGGGGCTGGGCTGCCGCCGTTTAGGTCGCGGGCGGAGGAGGAGCCGAAGACGTAGGGTGCGGGTACGGGGGTGCTGGCGCCTTCTGGAGCCGGAGAGGGGGCTTTGGAGGTGCCTGGGGTACCGGTGGCGTCGCCGTTGCGGGCGAGGAAGTTGAAAGGTTGCGACCGCTCTTTGCCGGGCGTGGCCATATCGCCCGGCACGCCGGCGAAGCTGGTTGTGGTTGTCTCGGTAACTGAGGGCTGGATCAGGGCCAGAATGGCGAGTTGGGCGGCGGAGGTTGGGTCATCTGGGATCTCCACGTCGTAGGCGTTGTAGGAACGGTCCATCAGGCTCCGGCGGCCGCGCAGCTTGGTGGAGTTGTCGAATATTGACGGGTCGTAGAAGCCCATAGCCGAGAGGATGACCTCGTCGTAGAACTTGAACTGGTACTTGCGCGTCGACTCGTTGGGGACGCGCAGGTGGAAGTCGAAGTTCTGAACGGAGATGTTCGCTTGGGAGAGCGTGCAGTACTTAATCTTGAGCTCCTCGGCCAAGAGGAAGTCGTACCGCCGGCGGAGATTGATGTCCTGGTAGGGAAAGTTGTCGTAAAGCATCATTTTGATGAAGGTCTCGGTGACATCGAAACCACCAAACTTGAGGTTGATCCTTGAGTCCTCAATACAGAGCCCGTCTTCAACACACGCGATGGACGTCTTTTGGGCGCCCACGTCCACCACACAAGCTTGCGTATACCCGGCACCAAAAGTAGCCCCCATGCTTTCCTGGATGAAGGCGACCCGGCCAAACTCAAAGAGCTCGATGCAGAGGTGCAGGAGCAGCTCGACGTATCGCTTATCGTACAGATCCGGGATGATGAGCACGCAGCTGTACTGCTTCCACTCCGACTTCTTCTTGAGGCCGAGTTCATTTCGGAATGTGCGGTCGAGCAGCGTTTCGAGGTCGTTAAACAACTGCGCCCTCGTAGGGTAGTCGTCCTCGTTCAGCCAACCGTGTTGCATGGGCCACCACAGCTTGAACTTCGGATTCGAATCGTCCGGTACGCGCAGTGCATGTTGGCCGATGAACTCGGACGGCGGCTTTTTCGACTCTTCGTCCCTCGGAGCCGTGATATCCGTCCATTCGATCTGAAGCGGGTCATTGTGCTGGGAGATGATCTCTGGCTCGATGCGCCGGTTGAAGTTAATCACCAGATCCTTCGAGTTCGGTAACACCTTGCGCTTGTTCGCGCGCATGTCGATCTTGAGGTCGTTGGACATCTTCTGGTATTTCTTTGACCACTCTTCGCCATGCTGCAGGTCCATCGACCGCTCCTCAAACTGCCGTCGTGGCAGCGCCTCGTGCATCTCGGACTCGGTTTGGGGGTATTGGGTCGCGAGGGTCATGGGAATCGTCTTCGGGAGGGCGTCGCTCGCAAAGCCAACGCGGAGGTTTTGGCTTCCGGGGTGTATGACGATGATCTTGGAGGGGTCCTCAAAGGTCGATGCTGGGCCCGGCCCATCCTCACCTTGAACCTCCTCAACCGGAAGGGGGACCTCGCCATTAGCGTTTGCGACGTTCATCGCGCGGTCCCGATCTTTGGCAGTTTGCACCAGGCGGTCTCGGTTCGCCTCGCTTTGTAGTCGAAAGGATAGTATTTGGTCATCGCGCTTCATGTAATCCCTAGACGTTCGCATCAGTCCACCGTTCGCCCGACTTGCCAACTACGAAGTCGCAGTCCTTACGTATAGTAGTTTTTTTGATTAATTGGGGGCACATCGGGCCAGCTAGTTTGCTTCATGCCATTGTCGGTGCGCTCGAGCCCTGGAGAAGCCCAGTTAGCCGCGACTCTTCTCCCTACCCAACGCGCCTGCTACATTGGAATCACCTACCTTCCCGAAGGAGGACGCGGTCGCTGACTTTGCCCACCATCTTGATACGCGCCCGCGTTAGTCAAAGGATATAGATGGAAAATTCGTGTGTTCGTTGTCGGCGCGGGGTCGCGGAGATGGTTGGTCGGTGTTGAAAAGCTAAGGCTCAAAAATAATCGGAGCTTGCGCTCGCCTCGAGGCTTTGGTGTTCTGTGGATTTTAGGAAATGGAACCTGGCTCTCGGTTTAATATCCGGCCATGGAAAAGAGGATGTGGCCGGCGTGTGCGGATGCTGCGCCAAAAGAACCTCGAATTTGCGAGTGTCAATGGGCGTAGACGTCGTTTGTTTGATCCCTTTCCTCGGCGCCAGTCGATGGTTTTGGGCGCCGGATTCGTTGATGAGCGTTTGCTGGTTGACCCCAACTGTCGAGATCGTCCCGCAATGTTCACAGGCACGCGGCAAGCGGCAGGCAGGGGAACACCAACGCTAACGCATTTCCGGGCTAGTGGGTTCATGTCTTGGCATCTTCCAATGGACTCCAACCTGTAATTCCAGATTTACCGTGTAAATATTGTTAACATCTACTAGAAGGTAATTCCACTGCTATTAAAATCCCGTATACTATGTAGACATAACCACAGGTATGAATTAAGTCGAATGGGTCAGCCGTTTAGCCCGCCTTGCCCGCCTTTGTTTGAAGAGTTTCTGGTCAATCATTGTCAGCCCAACAGCCCGCTGCAGCTGGCGTAGGAATGCCAGCCAGCTGCCAATGACGTCGCCACTTACACGACACGCCAACCGCCGCTGCGAAACAAAGCGGCCACCTGACACCTTCCAGTCCGTCTCAGAAGAATAAAAGGTGTTGTTTACAACAGTCCCGAAGCGCCTAAAAATCGGCCCAGGGTCTTTGCCGGTCAACTCACACTCAGCTTTTCAATTTCATTCTCGCCAACTACTCCCAATTATTACACTTTGGCCTTCCCTTCTCACTCTTACCAGCAACGTCTCCTCACCAAGGTCACATTCTCATCAAAATCTCACCATACTAAATCATCACGATGCCTCCCATCCAAGTCTACACCAAATCCCCCATCAACGCCTCCAAAGCCTCTGGCGTAACCCCTCAAACCGCAGCCCCAGACGAACCCGCTACCAATCCCCCTACAACCACCACCTCCTCACCCCACCAACCACCCTCCAACAACAACAATCCCATCCCAACACGCACAACTCCCATCCTCAACAGCGGTCCGCCCCCTCCCCAACCAGGCGCCGTGCCCCGCCTCCCCGAAGCAACAGCCACAGCAACAGCCACAGCCTCAAACCTAAACACCATCAACAACAGCAGCAACGGCCCAGCCCCTCCCGCCCCAACCGCCGCTCCCAGCGGTATCCCCATCCCAGGCGTAAACCTCCCACCGCAAATGGCCATCCCCCCTCCCCCGCGGGCCTTTGCCGCCGGGGGATCCCACAACCAGCGCGGCACTAGCACCGCAACGACCCAGCCCATGGGCACTGGCAGCAACAGCGGTACTGCTGCCGGGTACTCACCCGCTGCTTCGCTGGGACCGGGCGGGTATCAACAGAATACGGCGGCTGTGTCGGGGTTTGTGGCGCCGGCGTATCAGGAAGGGGGAGGAGGAGGAGGTGGTGGTGGGTATGAGGAGGAGGACGAGGAAGGGTTTTTGGGGTCGGCGAAGAAGTTTGCGAAGGCTGCGGGGGAGAGGTTGTCGGCGGCGGAGAGCGAGGTGTGGAAGAGGATTAATGGGGAGGAGAAATGAGGGAAGGTTACTGGATCGCAATTCGATCAAATGAGGAATGAGAGGGGGAGGTAGTGTTAGGGAGGGGGTTTGGACACCGGTTATGGGAGAGATTATCGACGGAGTCTAGCCGGTGAGGTTGACGAGGAGGATTCTGCGTGGCCACAGTTATTGAAGTTGCAACCGGGGCCAGAAGAGGACATGAAAGCGAAGCAATGTTCAAGACAAGCGGTTGTTATGAGGTTGAGGTCATACGGTGTTTCGTCTAGTTCTGTGTTGGCGTAGCAGTCGAGCCTGTTTCCGCTGTTTTATGGTTGAGTTATCGAGACCGGTCGTGGGCCGTATCATTAGACATGAGCATTAGCCGTTGCTTTGGAAAGCACAATTAAAGATTGAACTGGGCAGTTCAGACAAAAGTAGCTTAACATTATCACCCCAAACTTGGTAAAATTGTTGGAAGCCTTTGTGTCCGTTCTTAACATGTCTTTTCCGTTGTCAACGTTGCTCGGTCTCCTACGTTGTCACTTAGACGCAAAGTAATCCCCCTAACCCGAAACCAAGGCTGCTCGGATTCCAAGAACACCACCCTCTAACAAAGTGGCAAGTTCCCAAAAAGCAAAACGCAAAACCTAGAACGGACTCGCACCAGCACCCAGAGAATGACTCGCCCTACCCCCTTCCAACCGTCCCATCTGAATCGCCACACAACATGTTTGATACCTGACTCGCAACCTCTACGCTAGCAAGGTCTCCTATCAAACATGACCCCTCTGTTATCGAACCAACAGGAAGCAATCGCACGACGTTTCCCCTCCCTGAGATGTGCAATACAACTTGCACCTAGACGTCAGGTGTCCGTAGTCTGGCCACCTATGTGGAGTTGACATCGAGAATCCAACCAGCTGGTCTAGACAAGGGAAATCAGGCCTAACCTCGAGACGATCCTACCTTGTCCACTCCTCCGAGCATCGTCTCACTATCATTTGCTCTACAATCGAAGGTCAACGTCGCAAGATACGTTTGCCCCAGAGGATTGATTGGCAGCTGGCTATTCCCTCCCTCCCTGTCTCCCTGATCGGGCTCCGGCATTTTAGGTTCTAGTTCCCTGCGGCTCAGCGCGGCGAAGCACTGAGTTATGGTTGTTATAGGCCCCCAGTCCTAGGATACAGGACTTCTCAGGCTTGCCAGGGGCTCCAAGTTCCTCCTCTTTCGTCCGATCTCTCTCGCTTGCCTAACCCCTCTTTCCGAGGGGGGGTTGCAGCTCCCGGCCATCCGGCGGGCAGAAGAGGCTCAGCGCTAACTCTACTTCGAACAAACCTGATCCTTCTTGCCCTCCCTAGCCCCGACGTCTAGGTACTGTGCCTATCAGACTCATCGTGTGGACGTACAGATCAGCCACCGTTGGCCGGGGTCACCCGGGGCGGGCCACGCCAATAGCGGGAGAGCCCGAGTCAGTGCTGTGAGGGGGGACGATCTGGAGCGAAGAGGAGTCGTGTTGGATGTCAATTAGGGAGGGGAGATGTTGATGGTGATAGGTAGGAAGGTCTTTGAAGGGCGGGGATGGGGCAGACCGACTAACTCGACACCCTCGGCTCGACCTGACGTGCTCGCCCGCGATCTGCTGGTGCCCCAGAGGATGGGAGGGTATCCGTAGACGGGCCTCGCCTCGTAGGTAGTGAGTCACTCTTCAAGGGGTACACCCATACCTCGCGGCCCATGGCCCGCCAAAGACGAGCCAGTGGGAAGCTGGGCTCTGCTCACAATCAAAAGGAAAAGCAAGCATTGTGGACCAGCTGAAAGAAGGGAGCTTGAAAGGAAGGCCAGCTCCCATTGAGGCGCGGACGCCCCCTCGTTTGGGCTGCCCCTAGAAGCCTGCCGTCCCGTGCCCGCCAACTTCGTGCTTCGTCCTTCGCCTTCACCCCCTCACTTGTCCCCAGTTGTCCTCCACCCAGAAGCCTTCCGAGGCTTCCAATATGTGGATGGACCAGACGGATGGCTCGCTCTCCCCTGTGATCTACCCGCGCACTGGGGATATCCCTCCAGGGCTTCGCGAGATCTGCCGGCCGAGGCCCTCGCAACGCCGGCAGCTACCCACGCAAGCCGCAAAGCAACACAACATCACCCCGCGCACAGAAAAAAGAGGACAACCAGGGGGGCCCTCGCGACCCGGCTGACCGGCTCTGTCGAGGGCAAGACCGCTTGTTGGCTGCCTCTTCCTATTGAGGAAGCTTCGTGCAGCTATTGGCCCAAAAGATCCCCTTAAGAGCCAACGTATAGGGAATACCAGCCGTGGAAAAGACGGGGAAAAGCGCGATAATTTCCCAAAGCGGCAGCCATTGTTATGCGAAAGCGCCAAAATGTCTGATCCCCCCTCCACCGACCGCCCCCCTAGTAAAAGATATCGTTGTAATGTGGGTGCCTGGGGGACGAGAGCCAGCCAGAGGTGCAGTTGTATGTACCAGGGAACTCATTTGGAGTGAGCTGGCAGCTCCGAGGTGGGAGAAGCCGGACGGAGCCTCCCGGGCTCGCCGAAAGCCCGATTGTGGGTAGCAAGCGACAGAAAGCCGAACAGGGTACGGTCGGGTGAGCCGGCCTGGGCCTGTACGGAATATGTCATTGATGAGGCTGCGGAGACATGGTGGTAACTGCCGTCCGAGCACACGAACGGCAGGTAAGATCCGAGGAGAGAGTTGAAAGAATGGGCCGGAGAAGTAAGCACGCCTCCTTTTTCTTCTCGTAGGCAATGGAATTCCCGACAAGGGACACCACTGGCTCTGGACTACGTTACCTAGAGGGCAACTAGGGCTGGCCTTGAGCCTTGAACAACGCGCCGGGGCTGCTTCCACAGCTTACAGTCGAGGCCCTTCGTGAAGTTGGCCGGCCCCGTACCAGTATCCGTAGGGCGGTGATTTTTCCTACGAGGTCAGCCTAGCTGGGTAGCCCATGGCGGATGGACGAGAACAAGGGACGGTTCTGGTGACGCAGAGGGGATATCTGGTCAAACAAGCCAAGCAGATGCAGTGATACCAGAACGGAAGAACAGCCGGCGGGGTGGGTTGGAAAGTGGCATCGTTTCGTCGGGGAACAGCCACAAATTGTGGTGCGGAATTCGGCTGCCTGAGGATGAAGGAGACTTGCAGGAGGTTAGTGTGGATTGTTGGTTTGAGGAAACGAAAAACTCATTCCGGTAAAACAAAGTGAAGGGGAGAACAAGAAACAAACTGGGGAAGGGTAGTGGTTCGAGATGCGCTCGCTGTCTGCACCCTGACTCCTTCATGTCATTCATGTCACATCGTCACGGCGCAAACACCCGACCGACGATGGTTCGGGATGGCTGATGATGAAGGGGGTCGAGCCGGGGTTTTCGCTTCCGCAGCCCGATAAAACACATCCCCATCGTTCCTTCCTCACAATTTCAGTTTCGTTTGTTCAGCAGCAGGAGCAACTCAGAATCGTACGACTTGGGGCAACTTTAGGCAGAAATGAAAACCGGGACCGTTTCCCTCCTCTTCTGCCCCATTCCGTGATTCCCATCCATCCACAATGATCTTGTCGTTTCGTCGTTGAGAACTTCAACTTCGACCACTTTTTAGCCGTATCCCTCCCTCGCATCTTTGACAGCCACAAGACAGGGTTTCTTGCGGGGGACGGAGCGGGCTCCTCGGTGGCTTCAAAGTCCATCCTGGGAGAGAATAACTTTACACTACGTTACAACACGGAATCCTAAGCAACCCACTTGCTCGGAGACTTCGATCTGGATCGCAAGGCACGAGACGAAACCCCCCCTAGAGACTTGGGATGAGATGGTGGAGGTGACATTGGCCCAGGCGCTGCGACAAATCTGAGACGGCAGACCCTTGCTCAATCCCTGCCAAACCCCGCTGATGAAGCCGGATCCGACCCACATAGCGTGCTCTCCCGCCGGCCCACCAGCCCACAGCGCCGCGGTTTTCGGCTCTGTGCGACAGAACCCGACCCAGATTACCTCAGCAGCGAATCACAGAGCGCGCCAGTCGTGCTGCAACGTCAACCTCAAACGTTTGCTGCCCCTGCCGCGAGTCGCGTCTTCTCTCCCAACGACATCGCTCGTCTCTCTCCACCACACCCCCGGTCGCCGTTACTTTTCCACCTCGAATGTTCACGACATCGCGACGAGCAATCCAACTTTTGGGGAGGAGGAGACGGACGGTCTTGGTCACTCGAGTTTACTGTGCAGAATCCGACCCGTCGCCTCAGTTTCCTTATTTTCTTTTCGCGTTTCTTCAGCCTTTTTCAGGCATTGCTCCGGTCGGTCCTGGTTATCGGCCTCCCAAGCTGGCATGGCCAACGCGTGCCCACCCACCCGTTGTCAACCCACCAAACTTTCCCACACCATTTTGTCCCAGTTCGACCTTTGCATACCCGTCCTCGTCAATCCGCAATCTTGGGATGCTCGGCGCACGGTCACCGGGCTATCCCCGTTGTGAGCTTCCCGGCTTCCACCTTTCCGTCCACCACAACCTAGCACTGGGAAGCGCCATTCCCCCAAATTGATGCCTGGCAAGGTGGCCGTATGCCTTTCTCATTTGATTTACACTAGACGGGGCTGAGAGGCTTTCCACTGTCACCTAACCTGTGCTGCTGCTTCCGCCATACCATCCACGGCGACTAGTGCTGCCACTGTTTTGAACCATGTCGTTGAGAAACACGAAATCCTGTACATCTAACGGCTCGGCCTCGCTGTCTTGCAGCCGATGAGCCCCTCAAGGGATCGCCAGACCTGGCCGGGTCTGGATTGGCAGCAAAAGGTGCACATCATGTGGAGATCTGGGGCAAGGCGAAAACAGGAGCATCCCTGAGCAAGATCCGGATCGTTGATGGCAAAACAGCGCCCGATGCTGGCGCCAGACACGCTCGACCATGATCTTCGGGGCAGGCCAGGGCTTGCCCAGGCTAAAAATGGCCGTTTCCTTTGTGGCCCTTTTGCGGCGATTGCGACCCTATGAATCGAGCCCTTCAGCTCTTTTTTGCTGAAAACCGGAGTCGGGGATTTGGGGCTGTATTGGTGCTGAAATCGCCATCATTATCGGCCTTTGCCTGGCTCGCCTGGCCGGCCGACCACTCGATCGACCTGGCCGCCCAAAAGCAACGCCCTCCCAAGTCCAATTGGCGAACACCGGGTCTGTGTCCCGGGGCCGATGCGCTCCCTCATCGCCGGTCGTTCTTACACGACTCGCCCGCCCTCTTTTTCTTTCTCCCCCCACCCTGTACTGGTAGTCCATCCCACCCTACGGGACCTCCCCACGTTGCCACCTCGCCCTGCGAGGACACGCGAGATGAGACAAGCCACACACACACACCCCCCTCCCCCTCTCTCTTCCCCCCTCTGGCTTCAACAGACGCGGCCCCGTCCAGCCTCAGCCTCGACCCGGCCCCGCTCCCAGCCGGGCTTAGCTCCCTTTCTCATTCACCCCCTTCGTCTCGTCTGAGTGGATTACGGCCATGTCAGGTACCAATTCTTGAACGAACGACATTGATTCTTTTTCTTCCATGCCCGTTCGATCGGGAGTCTCCCCCGGGCAAAGTACGAACTGTACTGCTTGGCGTCAACTGGATGATGTACCAGAGTACCTCAGGTCCTCATTACCTACGCTTCGTTTTCCTGTGTTTGGATCCCATTCCCCGTCCGTCTGGGCCCTTCCCTGGCCGGCCAGTCACCAGTTTGCCTCCCTCGCTCCCTCTTCTTCCACCTTGCACACTGTGGCTCCCTCTCTCGGCTGCCCGGCCCCCGAGGGTCTGCCTCCAGGGCTGGGCGTGTATCTGATCTTGGTCTGATGTTGGGCATCTTGGCCGGCAGCCCTGTCGTTCGATGTTTTGTCGAGGCTACCCCTACTTTCCCAAAAGAGGGACAAATGTTCCGAGCCCAGTCTCGCATGTCTCCGGCTGCCCCGTCATCTGCGGACGGATGCTACCCTGTCTTTCCCTTGCCAGCCCATCCCGACCGTTGTTCTCTTCATGATCCTTGCTAGGCGTGCCTGAGGAAAGCCGATTCGGGCCCGGCAGCTCGTCCTTCTTCCTCTTTTTTTTCTTTGGCCCGCCAGCTGTCGACTGTCGAGTGTGGACATTGTAACAGCCTTTCCTCGATCTCACAGCTGCCTGCCAGGTCTGCAGCACGAAAATCCGGCTTGGCCCTTGCCGGTGTCCCGACTTCGATCCTGCTCAGCCGGACTGTCTTTCGCATCCCTCCAGTAGTAGTACCTCGCAGTAGTTCCTCTCTTATACCCCCGGGGTCCTACGCCGCGCCCGTCGCCTCGGAGCTCTTTTCTTCCCCTTTGCCTGTTTCGCCCACGAAAGTTCACACTGGTCCTTCCTATAGTCGCTCCTTAACCGCCATTCCCATCCCTGACGCTGATATCGGTTCTCTGGTCTATACTATAAACCAAGAGCTGGTTCTCTCCCGCGCACCCCGGACAAGACTCCAGTTCTGGACGACCCGTTGCTGGACGAATTCTCACCACTGGTCTGGCTCATCACGTTCCTTTTCCGGCATCCCGACGCCCCGGCTCGACACGCTCTCTGCTCTGCTCGCCTTGCATCTTATCTTGTTGACGCCCCAGCTGCGTTCGCTTCTCAAACTCCGACCGCTCAGTATCGACACGCTAGCTCATCGATCCGCTACCCCGTGGCGCGCGACTTTCATTCACTCATATCAACAAGAACCAGCTCACGGCTACTTGGTTATTAGCGACCATCAGCTACCCACACGGCGACACCCAACACTATATCTGAGCCATTCCCTTCCTTGCTTCGCTCGAATCGGAACAGGGCTGTTATGTCCAGGATCCCACCATTGCGCGTGTTATAAGATCCCGGTAAGTTACGATAGCGCCCTGCTGGAGTCCGATGACACACGACACACTGGCGCGGTGGATCCTCCCCCAGAGCGGATCACCCCCTCTCTAGCGCTACTGCCATGGGTTTGTCTCTGGTCCGGGTCTTCATGCTAAGCCTTTCCAGAACCACCCAGCTTCCCCCGATCGATCGGTTCCGAGCAACACACCCTCTTCGTGAGACAGTTACGCCGTTATGGACTCAACACAGAGTCATCTGTACGTCTTCCTTTCTATTCTCTCACACTAACTCCTGTCCCTGCTTGCCTGCTTGATATGCCTGATTTGGCGATACAAAGACTCACACTCACTTACATTTGATACCGCGCAGACGGCACGAGATACCGATACCTTCCTTCACCCTCAACGAGCCCGGCAGCAAGTACGGCGAAGACACCACCCCCCTTCAAAACGCCTCAGTCGTCGCCATGAACGGCAACGCCACGCTACCGCCCAGGTCGGACTCGCTGGTGGCATCCCAGGACGCATGGACGGCGGTGCCGGCTTCGCAAGGCATGAGGCCACGTCCCGCCACGATTCACGAAGGGTTCTCATTCTGCGTTGGAGGAGGGTTTGATGGCTTGCCAGCGTGGGACACTCAGGTGTTGCAGCAGATGCAACCACCCAACGACATCATGTCGTCCCGACCTTTCTCAGTTCATCACCAGAACTTTTATCCCACCACTACTATGGACAACAGTGAGTATCTCGCCGAGTACAGGGCGACCCACGACCTAACGTATTCGTCAGATACCTGGGTCCAGAAGCCATGCGACAGCAACCTGGACATGCCCGGCTTTGATTCCGAGATGATTGGGCAGGCATACACGACCGATGAGGCGATTCCGATCCTGGATCTTCGTACCTCCGGCCCACCACCGCCGCCTATGGAGGGCGAGCCGATTCCATTTGACCCAGGAAACCCGCGCAGGATGTCCGGCTCTTCCTTTACCGTCTCTACCTCGGGAGGCCTTTCGGAGATGACCTCGTACGAAGAGTTTTCGGCCGCGCTTTCGGATGCGCCCTCGCTCACGTCGGATTACCCGCCGCCGTCTAACCGAACGTCCATGATTTCGTCAACCCACTTGTCTCCCGTCGCGTCGCCTAGGATAACGCCACACGGCCGGTCCGAGCTGGTAAGGACACAGAGCAGGGGGAGGGCTTCGCCGTCGCCACGCCCCGGCGTACGCGCTGCGCCGTATTCGGTCGAGGGCGCAAGGAACAAGAGGTGGTCAACGGGGTCTTATGGCACGAACAGCAACCGGAGACCGTCTGGGTATGTCTATCACCACCCGCACGAGGCCTACAACATCCATGGCCATGCTCTCCCTCACGCCCACGCCATCCCTCGGCTCCCATCGCGCCACTCCTCGCCCACGATCGCCCAGGCCCAGCTTCCCCTGAGCTTCGGCAACCTTCAGGCCGCGCAACAGAACCCTTACCTATACAGCAACGCGCCCGCATACCCTCGGAGTAGCATGTTAGTCCCGGCTCCGCTTCCGTCGCAAGCTTTCCACCCGGAGCCGGCACATCACCATCCGTTCGAGAACCCGCCCCCTCTGCTCTCGCATCCTCTCTTCCGGATGCTCCAGAGCAACGCCGACCCGCACACCCTCCACAGCCATTACGCGGACCTTTCCGACCCGCCCGACCTGTATGCCTCGCTGAACGAAGAGCAGATCCCTCCGCCGCCAGAGGACATGAACCCGACTGATCCGGACCTCGTCCCGCACGAGCAGGAGCTTAGGTTCGAGGGCGACCTGTACACACCGCGGTGGGTGCGCGGGCACGGGAACAAGAGGGAAGGGTGGTGCGGGATTTGCAAACCAGGACGCTGGTTGGTGCTTAAGAACTCGGCGTTCTGGTACGACAAGAGCTTCACGCATGGCATCAGCGCCGCGACGGGAAATCCGTTCCAAGAACCGCAGGAGACCAGGCGCATGGATGGGAACCCGGATGTGTGGGAAGGACTCTGCGGAAGCTGCAATGAGTGGATTGCGCTGGTCAGCAGCAAGAAGAAAGGGACTACGTGGTTCAGACATGCTTATAAGGTATGTTTGCTCTATCAACCTGTGGTAGAACGATCTGTTTCCCCCTTGCTAACACATACCGCAGTGCCATACCCATCCCAAGATCAAGGACGCGCCCAAGCGCCGGAGGGAGAGCAACAACACGCGCTCGCTGGCGGCCGCCAACATGGCCAAGCCCGGGCCGCGACCGGAGCCTGTCACGCCGCACACGGCGACTGCTCAGGTCGTCTCAGGTAGCGCAACACCAACGCCGGCCAAGAGTCAGCCGTCTGGACAGATGCTACAGCCTCCTCCAGCGCAGCAACAGCAGAGCCAGCAGGTTCAGCAGGTTCAGCAAACCCAACAACAGCGGCCTCCGTCTCAGGGTCTGTCACCACTGCCTCAGCAATCGCCTCAGTCACAGATCCAACCACAGTACCCACAGCAGCAGCAGCAGCAGCAACAACCACACCCAACACTACCCCCTCAGCAGCTACACCAGCCGCCGCACCACAACCAAGAACAAATCCAACAAACCCAGATCCCGCACACCCCACACATCCCACCGCCGCAGATCCAGCTGCAACCGCCGCCCATGCCGCCTCATCGTGCGCGCGCTCTCCCACCTCAGCTACACACTCAAGTAGCCACGGCACCACCGCCGCGGGCGTCGTCGCTTTTGAGTCCCAACCACGGCGGTGTGCCGGAGAACTTGTCGGCCATCTCGGGTATTTCGGGCGTGAATGGGATTCCGGGGGTGGATGGGTTTCAGAATATGATCTGATCCGGGCTGATTTCGTCCTGAATTTTTAATTCGTCGGTATCCTCTTCTTCATGTTCTCGCTTCATTCTCAAGCATATTGGGAGTGAGACCAGTGCGAGATCACAACCCCAAGAACAACAACCCAGGAACCCCGAAACTTTCCACTGGAAGAAATTCGATGAAAAAAAAGTCACCTATCTTACCTGGGGGTATTCCTCTTCTCACCACTTACATTTCTTCTCTTCAACTTCTGTTCTTACACCCTACAACCATTGGGTCGCCATTTTCAACCCCCCATTCTCCCAACCAGGGAAGAAAATGGGACCGGAATGGCTTCAAACAAAGATTCTTCTTCTTTCTTTTTGATGACGAAGTTGATGATGAGAAGACGATGAATGGCCTACCTTCTTTTTCCTTTTAAGGGCCCAGACTGGGTGAAGGGCATGGGAAAGATACCAAATTCAGGTTTTGGCATGGAAAGAAAGAGATGGACGGGGGTGCATTTATAGATTTGGATGGTGATGACTTTTTCATAATTTTCTTTTATTTCATCTAACATTTTTCTTCTTTCTTTACTTCCTCAACCTCTATCTCGCCATGCGTCATTTATTCTGCTTTTTCTTCAACATCTCCCCTTTCTGCTTCGGTGTTGTAGATCGAGGAGAACTTTAATCCCCCTGTTTCCAACCCACCCCCAAGAAAAACACATTGATCGAGTCATGTCTAGTTTTCTTTAACTTCCTTTCTCCCCTTACTTGCAAACAACACTTTCCTCCTAGCTTTTTTTCAACCCCTTTCCCACTTAATCCGTCATTCGTCATGTTTCCTGTTTCCACATCTCCATTTCTCGCCCTCCTTTCCCCGTCAGTTTTCAACAACTCGACGGCTTCACCTAGCTTATTCACTTCTCTACCCTCCTTTAGGTGGGCAGGCAGGCGTCAGGTCCTGCCTTCTACTTTACACACATTGTAGCCTGGGCTATATTTTTGTTCTTTTTGTTTTGTTCTTGTCTTTTTCCTGCTGCTCTAGTTATAGGTAGATAGATTATTGGTCTCTTTTCTTCTCTCAGGTTCCTTGGGATGAACGGGATGGACAGGATGAATGAGATAGTATGGGATGGGATGGGATGATGGAAAGCTTTGTTGATACCCCGGCACTTAAGAGGAGGGAATAGCATTTTGGGATTTTGGGATACGGGTTACGGGATAGGAAGGAGGAAGACATGGCGGGAGGAAAAGACCGGTTGGCTGATGGGTTTGGTGGGTTTGGATGGCTACAGGTAGTTTTGCAGCGGAGTGAATATGAGAAGGGACAATTGTTTAGCTTTGGTCTTGGAGAAGATGCTGCTGCTGCTTCTTGCTTTCGGGTGTGGGGTGTAATTCTGTGTTCCCGATCTCGATATGCTCCGTAGCGTGTATTTGTCTTCCAATCCAGAGAAACAACAAATTACGCATGTCACGTACTTAATCTACGCAAGGCGTCAACTCCCACTGCCTAACGACCTCAATCATGTGTACACACATACAATGACCCGACTTTTCAGCCTCAGGTCCCCCGTTTAACACCCTTACGTGCTCTCTCATAAGCTCCAAGATACTACACTACACTCATAGGTGAAGAATCGCCACAACGAGGCGCAGTGCGCGGGTCTCGCCACCGGACACTTCCGGTTTCCTCCTCCTCAGCAAGCTCAGCCAGGCCACGCGGCGGCCTCCTCCCGGGTCATGACCTAGATCATTGGCTCTTCTCCAAGTTGAGCTGTTACCAGGTCCAACCTAGTTAGATGTGAGGGAGGAAGAAAGAGAGAGAGGCAAGAGAGGGGAAGTTCGAGCGGGCGGGGGTTCTGGTGCCTGGCGGGCAGGGCGGGCAGGGCAAGGCAGGGTTCATAGCAGTTCAGAATCAGGTTCACTTGGAGGTCCTTAACACTGTGGTAGGGAAGCTTGCCCTCGGATCCTGACCACGTTGATCTCAAACCTCTGACTCCTTCTTGAAAATGACTGACGAGGGGATTGTTTGGTGTTGGGTCTCTTGTTTATTCACGCTCCGAACCCCTGTCTCGTACTGACCGGGCAACCGGTATCTGCGGCGAGGAGTGAAAAAAAGGGAGAATGCTGGCGTGAGAAATTCACGGTTTGATGGGGTCGAAGTGAACAGGGATGTTTAAGTGCTTGCATATTTAACTGGGGTCGTGGTCCGGGATGTTTTTTTTTAAGATGAAATCACCTGACACATTGTGTCTACACCTGGACACTACCTATGGGCTCATGGGGGCACCGACCTCACTTTGGTGAGTTATCACGGCCTTTGTGAAGACGAGGCGTCATCTATTTCTCAAGGAAAGAGGCATCGAGCTGGACTGAGATCTCGGGCAATCTTGCCGGGTGATCGCGTTTGCCGGCGCCACTGCTCCTCAGTGGAGTACTCAGCTTCGGTCGAATCCCGAGCTTGCCAATCAAGCCCGAGACCGTGAGGTGCCTGCCCTGGCGGTGGGGATTTCTTCGGATGAGAACATCCCGTTCAGATGGAGAGCGCACAGAAGAGAAGTTTCCGTTTTTGGGCGTCTCTGCTGAGGATGGCGAGTCTGTGTGTGGGTTGCTTCGGGTTGTCCGTCTTCTTTGGTCTGGTTCCCGCATCTCTAGATATGCAAGGTCCATTGAGAGAAATTGCGAACCGAGATATTTATGCCGAGAGCTTGGACTCTCTGCGTCTGAGGATGGAGAGCTGAACAAGCTCGGTCAGCACATGGCGAGGAAGCGCCAATTTGCCCGTTGTTACATTGACGCAGGAACCTCCGAGCTGCGACAGGTCCCATCGATCGAGAACGCAGCAACAGCCCCGGATTTTCCCACGCAGAACTGGGCCAAGTCCACCGACGGCAGACGATGGCTTGCTTTCAATCTTGTTTCCTGCAACGCGAATTGGTTCCTGAGGTGACTTCCCCCCCAGAGGTGCAGACGGGAGACATGAGCGGTGTCACTTCTCGACCCACTCCGACCCGTTTCTTGTTTGCTGGCGTCTGCAGGAACTGGTTGGTGTGTCATGCAAGTTGCCCTGGGTGCAGCCAGACGATTTGGCCGGTTCGTTCGCCGGGGGGTTGAAGCATGAGTGTGTGCATACCGAAATCGGAAAAAGCGACGACTGAAGCGAGGAAACTGGAACAAAATCCTTCCAGAAAACAACGCAGGTTGAGGGCAAAGAAAGTTATGAACGGAATCGATATCCTCGATTGACGAGAAAGGAAAGAGCTTTGCCCCGCAAAAACGCTCCTATTGGCCAGAAAAGGAGACGTGGGATCTGGCCCACATGCCTTTTGCCTCGAACCTGCTTGCAGTTACCAAGGCCATTCACGACGTTGCAGCCTGCTTCGGCGCTGAAGCTTCCTCCACCGAAACCGTCTGCCGATTGGGGTTGCTGCCTTCTCGGGCCTGTGCTCACCATGGGTTTCTTGACTCGTAACGCCCCCGGGCCATCTGGGTCACGAGAAGCAATTGAGGCCTTGGCTGCAGTTTTGTCCAAGACATGCGGTCTTATGGCGAACCTCGTTCCTGTGAATCCCGGATAGCGGGAAATTATTCGAGGCGAAACCCGGCTTCTGTCCACATCACCGCCTGTTGTTGGATTTCAACACATGCATTTCCCAGGGATTAATGCAACAGTCGAGCCCTGCAGGTGCAAGTGGCCTTTTGGACCAATCCCAGCGGCCATTGTCTCGAGGGCAACCCCAGACGGCACGATTTGGCGGCCTTCACGCTCCTGGAAGCTCTTTGTTCATGGTTCGGCGAATAATCTCAGCTTTCTGTCTCCCTTTGGTTGTCTCCCTACGAATTGTTACCTCCTTCTGAGCGAGACCTCCCGTCTAGCCCCTGACAGGCAGCTCGTCCGTCCCCCGCCAAGCTGAGCACCGAACAGCCCTGTGGTCCCGTCCATCAAACCCCCACTTGCCCTCACACAGCAGGCGGGACAAACCAGCCACCATCCGTTGCCGACGGGACTGTCTGCTGTAAGCTCGTTTAGCCGCCTCCCTTTCACCACTCAAGGGAAGCGCACGCAACGACGCAAATCAAGCAGCACGTCTCGTGCGGCAACTAGGTTGTCTTGCTTGCCGCCCGGGATCTGAGGGGGCCACACCTTCCGTCGTCAGCTCTAGGTGGATGTCGCACATTGCTGCACACAACACATGAAGGAACAGCAAGACATCCAGGCTTTTACTCCTCACGAAGTCGGCGTTTGATACGCATTGCGAGACACAGTACACCCGACCCCGAGAAAGATACGCATAGGCGCACAAGACCACCTAACCGGCTCGCCAAGCGCTTCCACTTCTCCCCAGCTGCCGTCCCACGAACGTTTTCAGCCCCCAAGCAATCGACAGGAAACATTCCGCCTCTCCCCCTGGCTTGCATGCACCATTCACATCATTGCAGCTCAATAACGCTTCTCGATGCACGACACTTGCTTGACGGTTGCTTTGTTGACTTTATTTTGACCTGTCGTTTGTTGAGGTTCGTTATCGACTCCGCTCTCGCTTCCATGTCGGGCCCCGCCGCGAGAAAATGCCGTTCACTGACTCCGTCTCCCACCTAGATTTATGTCCGCTTCGTTTTTTAACCCCATTTTCGACCATTGAGCTGAGCGATGAACGTATGACCCGAATCGAACGAAACCCGCAAACCAATCTAGAGCTTTGGTGATCTGACGGCGTCCTTTGGTCCCTCGTCAACTTGTTCGATCGGCAATTCCCCGCTGGAGACTTGGACTGCCGTGCCGTCGCTGTCTATATCTGTGCCGGCCCCTTTCCCGCCCGTGTGCATTGTCTCGTGTGAGGTAACCCGGGATACGTGTCCGAAACAAAACCAATACTGCTATGGTCGTAGATCCGCCCAGTTCTAGGTTCGCGCATTTTTGATCCGTCCTTAGCCTTGGGACGACCGGAGATTATGCTACTTGGAGTTCTCCCTAGCTAACGATCGGTGCTTCATGTAGCTTCGGTGACTCCAACGCCCAGCCCCCGACGCCCACCCGCACACCGAGATCGACCGTTTTCCCGAGTCCGGTTTTGGAAACACCCAAGCAGGACCAAAGGCGCTTGGACGAGTCGAGTGGGTGGACTCCCCGTTTTGCTGAGGAGTATTCGGTCTTCAACTCGACGCCGGGAAATCTCAGAGGTTCTCGGACCCCTTTCTTCGACTTTGGTTCTTCGACTCCATACGTCGGTGACGGGGCCCAGAACCGGGGGTTGTCCACGGAAGAGATCGGTCTCGGCGCCTCGGCCCATGTGAACGAGCTCACCCCGAAGCCACTCCCCGCCGTTGAGCCCTCTAAAATACTGCGTTCCACCTCGATTCCGTTGACGAGCCCGATCTTCGATCCGAGCGACGCCGTGAGCCATATTCCGGGATCCGCGGAACGGTTGGCGAAGAAGGCGCGGCGAGGCACCGTTGTCGCAGAAACACCAGGGCAAACAGCAACGCCTCCCCCCTCTGCCCGCAAGGGTGAGCGTAAGCTTGCACCCAAGCTTGATTCCGCCGCGATGCAAAATGAGCAGGAGTACAGCCAGCAAGGGCACTTCATGGGGTCGGGGCAGGATCAGACCATGGGCGGTTTTGTGACGACGCAGGGGGATATGTTTTCCTATCCATTGTCAGCTCCGGCTACTGCGGCGCCATATGGAAGTCAGAGGTCGTTCTGGGATGCGGATCCGAACCTTGCTAGTATGGATATTGATTTCAGCGCCCACAGCGCGGGTGTATTCCAACCTCCAACACCACTTCAGGGATCTGGTCCGGAAGATTGGGCAAGGGCGAGCCAAATATTGCAAAGCCAAGGCGGGCTGGTCGGGCATGGGGATGCGTCGGTTGACGGGCACGCCGCCGTTTCGCTTGGTTCTCAGCCGGACATGTCGATGTTGGTGACCTCGTCGGCCGACCATACCATGTTTGCGGGCAGCTACCCCACGCCGGTCGATGATCCGTTTGGTATGACAGACGTGGGGGGTGCGGTCAACCCGGGTCTGCTGTTCAGTCGGCCCCAGTCCGCCAACATGGACACTGCCTCGTTTTCGCAGCCTTTGGCGGTTTCCGACCAAAACCTCACGACGGCGCCCGTCAGCGGCCAGATGACGGGTCGGGTACCATCTACGAAGATAGCGGGGCGGGCCGAGCTGCGTCGTTCGTCGAGCGCGAAGGATGCGACTCCGAGGAAACCTGCTTTGGCGAGTTCTCCGATCAAAGAGGCCGGTCGCCCCGGGCTGTCTCGCAGTTTCAGCGAGAATAAGGGGAAGAAGACGGGGGGAGCTCGGCCATCACTGCCTACTCTCGCGCCTCGGCCGCGGGCGCAGTTGGTGAGCAACGCTGGTGTCAATGCAAACAAGCCAATTGTGTCTCAACCTAACCGGCCAAATGGGAGGTCGTCACCTGTGAAGAGCATGCACCACCACCATCGTTTGTCGAGCCTAACTTCCATTCCGGAAGCGGCCTCGAGCCCGGAGATGCGGACACAGGCTACCTTTATGATTGATGCGAACGGCCGCGCGCGGGTCGAAACCACGGTGGTCGTGGTGGATGAACCAGCGCGGAGTCCTTCGAAACGGCACAGCTCATACTCGATGAAAAGTCGACAGCAGTGGAATTCGTCAGACGATGAAGATTCCTCGTCCTCAGACGACGAACCCATCATCATCCCCAGCCGCAATGCGTCATTCGCGCTCCCGGACCCTCGGAAACCGACAACGATCCACCCCTTCCACAACTCCCAACGGAGCGTCAGTGAACACAGCACGACGTCATACGCGAGTTTCCGAGGCGGGGGATCCCAGGACGCCGGCGACAGCGACGGAGAGACGGTGGTGAACGAGGCGACGCCGACGCGCAAAGCTTCTGGCGACGCGCTTAGCGAACTGCGGAAGCTGCGCGAGGCACGGCAGAAACAGGCCAGTGCGAACCCGAAACGGTATATTTCCTCGAGTCACTACCCGGGGCATCCGTCTACGTCGCCGACTACGCTGAGTGAATCGAGTTTGCCCACGCCGACGGCGGAGACGAGGGTGCGTGGGGTAAGGTGTGTTTGTAACCGGACTGAGGCCGGCCGGAATGATTTGGTGATTCAATGGTGGGTTTTTTTTCTTCTTCTATCTGGCGTGTCGTAAGACGTGGCTTACTCCTACCCTTCCCCCGTCCCACCTCCCTTACCATACATACATACTAAAGACTAACCCCCCACCTCCAGCGAATCCTGCGAAATGTACGTCCACGGCCAATGTGTCAGCATCACGCAACGGACCATCCCGTCGATCTACATCTGTGCCTTTTGCTCCAATACCCCCAACATGCGAGGGGGTGTGAGACATCGCGAGAACGGACGTACAGCGAGCGCGGGCGGAGGCGGACACCCGCCTGGTTCACGCAGTTCACCGTTAGCGCATAAGACTTTGAAGTCTCTTCGGTAAGACGCTCAAGGCTCGCCGGTGAGGGACGGTACCGTACATACTGTGTAGTTTGGGTATTGAATATGGGATACAGCGGCGGGCGGATTGTTCTCTCGGCTGGGCGGGGGCTGGCTACCGGCGTGGCGTGGCGTGGCAATGATTGATTATTATGAGAAACATGCGATTTTATGTACATGGAAGGGATAGAGGAAGGGGTCGGTCGTCGTCGTCGTCTTTTATCTTGGCGCGGAAGAAGGGGTGGGCGAGGTTGTTGGTGTAGCTTTTTTGGATCAGAAAGGAGAAAGGCTAGACACACCGGGCAGGCAAGGCAAGGCAAGGCAGTTTGGCTGATAACAATAACAATAACTAACCGGCAACGGATTTTGGAGGAATTAAGCAAGCAAGCAATCAAGCAAGAAGTCGAGCAAGGCTGGAATGCACAATGATACTCAGGAACCGAGCAGGATGTGATGTGTACTGTACATACATACATGTGTGAATGATGAAGTATGGGTGTGAACAACATAGTTGTCTACCTGAATGCCGAGGGGGAGATATGATTTGTCTTGCCTTCGATACGCTGATGTTCTAATGTTTACTAGACTTTGTGACCTAATACGCTACTGCCATCCGGTGTCTGCCGTAAAGAGAAGGTCTGGTCAGAATGAAAGGCATGGAGAAAAACTTAAACTTAAGGGGGTACTGGATGGATAGGTGTCAATCACCACTTACATCTTTAAATCGATTGATGGCTATTCTATCCGTGTGAAATACTTGCAGTAGCTTGTCTTGCCCTTGCCTGGTCTCCTTCCCTTCCCTGCCTTGCCTTGCTTTGCCTTCCTAGCCTCGATGCAACATATACAGCCACATATCGGATCGTACCTCAGGTACCATACCTACGCTAGTTTTGGGTATTGTGGGCTGGAGAGGGAGTGTTGTGGTCGCGTATTGAGGGACGGAATGTTGGTGGCGCACGAACAAGAATATGGAGACGGGTGGGTGGGTTGATGAATCGCCGGGGAGATGCAAGGAGATAGGAGTAGAGCTAGGTCAGGAGTTGCATGTTGAGTTTAAGCAGGCGGTATATCCTCTCCAGTCATACAAACTAAGGATCTACCATACCGTCCCATTATGCATATATCCGTCACATTACTGTGACCATCCACCGAATAACCCCCAACTACGTACCTCATGCGGCTACATGGAAGCCCATGGTTATATCGCCATTAAACACCATTATCCTCGGTCGCACCACAACTTTCCCCAAACTCAGACCAAGACCCAAACATAAATAAATCCAGCTTCTGCAGCTCCCCATCGTCCTCTCTCTCCCGGGCCACCCTATTAAGCGCGCCGTCGTCAAACGCGATGCCGTACCTGTGTCTGTTAGTTACTATTCCGTTGACCAATACAATACAAGACCAAAACATGAGTAATCTCAGTGAGTGAGGGTATGTGTAAGCAGAATAACGGATCAGATCAACATACCACAACAACAACCCCAGCACCCTCGCCTTTTCCACCCGTCTGCGAAACACCGGGTCTGCGAGCTCAGGGATTTCAGCCGTGAGTGCTTCCCAGAAGGTGGCCCGCAGCGCGTTGGCATTGGGGAGGTATTCGAATTTTTTGGTCGTTTTTGTTTTTGTTTTTGTTTTTGTTGTTTTGGGGTTCGGTCTCGTTCCGGTGGCACTGGCGTTTCTATCGTTTTCCTCTTGACCGTCTTCGCTCTCGTCTGCGTCTTCGTCCCTATCGCCGGCCTCAACCTCCTCCTCAACCTCCACAACCCGCCCCAAAACCTCCTCAATCCCATATAACCCCACCCCAAAAGGCAACCACTCCCCTTCCGCCCAGTCCACCAGCCCTGTAAGCCTTACCCCCGGGCCTTGGTCCCTGTCACCATCACCCCCATCACTCTCATCCCCCCCAACATCAACCAACACATTCCCCCCACCAATAAAATCCCCATGTGTCAAAACCCACGGCAAACCCTCCTCAATCTCTTCTAGACCCCCCTCAAGATCTCCTTCAATCCCCTCAACCCCCTCAATCCCCCCAAGCCCCCTCCTCACATTCCCATTCCCATTAACAACATCCCCCTCCAAAAACCCCCTCACAACCCCCTTAAACCGTTCCGGTAACCCCCTCTCCAACCGACGAAGTTGGCGTCGAACAGTCCAGCCAACAGCCCGCTTGACGACGGGCAGATGAGGTGAGGATGGGGGCAGGGAGGCGCGGAAGGCGGGGGCGAAGTAGGATTTTGCGAGGGCTTTTAGGAGAGGGTGGAGGTTAGGTAGTTCGGGATCGAGATTGGGGGGTTTGGGGAGTGTGGGATGGAGTGGGAGGGGGTTGATGGTGGTGTAGAGAGAGGAGAGGGGGGTGCCGGGGAGGAGGGTGTGGGTGTATGCTATCAGGGTGGTAGGGTTCCCTGTGTAAAGATTCTCCTGGGTGCTGGAGGGGAGGACGGTTATTGACGTTCCTGGCCCGTTTGCTGTTGTTGTTTCCTGTCCTTGTGCTTCTTCTTCTTCTTCTTCTTCTTCTGCTCCTGCTGCTGCTGCTGCTGCTGCTGTCCTCGTCTCTGTTTCCATCCCCGCTGCCTCCTCACTCCCCCCTGCTGTAACCACCCCCACATACCTCGTAACCGGTACCAACTCCCCCCAAATCGTCCTCGCAGCCTTGGTAATATCCAAGTCAATCTTGTGCCGAGGGGGTCGGAACTGGAGGATGAATGCTTCCCCTCTGGTACTCCCACTCCCACTGCCACTGCCACGTTCTTCTTCATCTACCCCACCACCCTCACGAGTAACAGTTCTGTCATGAACAACAAACGTCAATGAACACCGCCCCTGCTGCCCTATCTCACGGATCACCGCATTGGGATATCGTTTCCGGGCATAACAGAGATATGCGGCTGCGTGTGCAGGTGTGAGAGGGGGTAGTGGACAGGGGATTTCTAGGCTGGTGATGGATGACGCTGTGGTTGCAACTGATGGTGGTGGTGTTGCTGGTAGTTCTTGTCCATCTTTTGGATGTCCTTCTTTTAAATTCGCGTGGTCCAGAGTTGGGAGCGGTAGGTCTGGTATTGGTTCTGTTGCTGCTCTCGGCTGAGCCGGGAGGGGGGATGGGGGGGACATGCTGTAGTATGGTATTGAGAACATGGGAACGGGCGACAACAATACTGGCGAGGATAGATCATACAAGGTGGGTGGTGCGATAAATGTAATAATAAATAATGAAGAAGAAGAAGAACCTAAAAAAAGAAAACAGAAGAAATACCGCAGACCGACCGATGTTTAAAAAAACCCCAAAACCAATGCGCCCGCCAAAGGAATAGCGTTATGTAAGTGTCCCTCATCCCCAACCTTACGCAGACGTCCACATACATGCGCGCGGACGTGACGAGACATCCACACCTGCACCAGCGCACATGGCTATTCCTACACATGCAGCAGTCGTGGGGGGCATCACCACTCGTAGGCCGTGCTGTAAGCCACACGCCGAGTCGTGCATGAACCACTCAAGCACTTGAAAGCATGCGTCGAAACCCCCTGCCATGCAGCTTATGTGGGATCTTGCATTGAGGAATCATGGAGAAATCCAGGATATGTCCAAAAAGGAAAATCGGTTTGTCAGTGCTTCGATAATGGTCTGTGAAACTCGATGGGGGACCACTCGGATACAGAACCGGGTTAACACTGCCGTGGCTGGGAACCGACATCTGGACATCTTGACCCGCATGCATAGGTGCTTGGGTACACAAAACTTTCTCGAAGCAATCTGTGTTACTCCCGAGCTTCTTCAGTCAATCTAGGCGAATAATAGCCCTATCACGAACACTACTCCAAAATCTTGGAAGAGCCTAACCGAAAAAAGAAAAATAAGACCAAAAAAAGTATAACCAACAACCATCCAACCAACCCATCCTAGAGTAAAAGAGCGATTACCCAATCTCGCTCCAGGCAACAAACATACCCTTCTTCTCAGCATATTACCCAGACACTCACTCTCTCACCCCCCTCCTCGTCCTAATCCACTCCACCACCTGCTCCAATCTCAGCATCTTCATCACACGGTTGACAATCCCGCCCAGAAACCCCACAAACACAGCCCGAAAGATGGTCTTGATCCAGCCAACCTCCCACTTAGGCCGAACGAACGGGACATCTCGGCCAGCGTGGGACGACGGTGTAACTGTTTCGCCCGTCTTTTGTGCCGTCTGAACTGACCTCCTGCGGAGGTTTTTTGTTGTTGCCGTGGACGGGCGTCCATCTTCGTCCCGGCCGGGGTCTTCAGTTTCCGACCCAGAGGATTCACCGGTAGCAGCGCGCTGAGTGCCCGGCCCCTCAGCTTGAGTCCCTTCTTCGTCACTGCTAGAAGGCTTAGAGACCACAACTTCGGCGTAGCTCGGCTTGTCAGCTGAGAAGTCTACATCGGTATCGGTTGTGATGATTGCGGGCTGAGGCGCTGCCTCCTTTCTCTCCGGTGCTCTCTCGCTGTGTCCAAAGTCTTCAACCTCTGTGGGCTGCGGTGCTGCTACCTCGGCTTGACTTCTCTTGGGTGCCACGGAAGACCCGAATTTATTCTTGTCAAGGTCGTAGGGCTGCACATCCGGGTTATTATCTTCCTCGGCGTCGGCGTCGGCCGGTTTCGAGTTTCCGGACGTACCTCCAGCCGGACCACCCTCTCCACCTGTCCTTGGAGACATCGGCGGTGTCGTAATCCTCTGACCCTTGGGCCTAACCGTTCTAGGGCTTATACCCTCACGGAGCGCGACCCCTTCATCCTCGTCACTAGCTGAGAGAGTCAAGCGTCGGGGCTTGGGCTTTTGCCCCAATGGGTTCGTGAAAACCACCGCCGGCCGAGGGCTGGTCTGCTCTTCCAGCTCTTCTTCATCTTGCTCCTCGTTCTCTGAGATGGAATGAAGCGAGCTCGTTGTTTTATGGGACCCGAGGGATCCCCTGGGAGATTTTCTCGACGACCGGCGCGAAGAAGGTCCCGACTTTGGTCCAGGGGGTGACAACGAGAAGTCGCCTGTGATAACCTCTGTGCCTCGCCGTGACGGGTTGACGACCGGACTCTGGCGCCCCGCATCGAACGACACATCGTCGATCGGGAGCCCGGTACTCAGGTGTCGGACCGCATCGATAATCTCTTCCCGATCTGATGGAAACCGCTCAAGTGTCGGGTCATCAAAGTCGACCTTTTGGGCCTCGGCGTATCCCTGTGGCGCCACGTCCAGGCTCTCCTCTTCAGGACTCTCCTCCTCTTCCTCCTCTTCGTCAGATTGGTACATTCCAACTCGCTCGTGCGCGAAAAGCGGTGATTTGTCGGCGATGTACTCGTCATGGCCACGGTGGAACTCGTAGTCTCGCGGCTGCATCTCAGCAAGGGGGCGCTCGCCTGGGGGCGGGTCGAGAATGAAAATGGTGCCCTGCTATCTTTAGTTTGTTGTCTACCACCGAACCAAGAGAGGGAGCCTACCTGCTGCCTGTCCTTGTTCAGCGTTTTCGCTGGAGGTTCCTCTTCTACTGCTTTTTCCGCACCCTTGGTATTGTCTTGTACTTGCTCGCGCTTCGGTACCCCTTCGTGGAGAAGCTCGGCGGAGTCTGCTACCTCGGCCGCGACCCGAGCTTCTATGGAGGTGCCAGTCCCGGACCGGTCACCTGGAGGCTCAAGATGTTTGGGAGTTGCCTTCTGATTCACGCCGTCAAATGTCCTGAAAGAGATTAGCACATCTTGCACCAATGCGGAGTATATGTGAAGATACGCACTCTTTTAGGACTCCCACCTCTAGGACATGGTTTGTATTTCCAGAATCGTCCGTCACTGTCGGTTCATCTTCCTTGAGCACCCACCAGTCTCCGGTTCCAATGCGGAACTTGTACTGAATCGTTGAGCCGGGCTCGCCGCAGACCTCTTTCTTGAAGTTGTACTCCCCGTCGTCGCGGGGGATGTGCTCCATCTGGTGCGGAATCCAGGGGGGGTCGGAAAATGTACCAGCGATATATACTGGCGGTTCAGTGCCGGGCTTGTAGTAGTTTATCACCACGGGGACCTGTGTCGATGTCATGTTGGGCGGGTAACGGCTGGGAGGAATATTGGTGTCAAATCCGAGTCTGTATTATAGCTTCATGTCCAAAACGCTCGACTTCCGAAGATGGCGCTTGTTGCAATACCGGGGCGGCTTTTACGGAACGAAAGTATATACTAGGGAGCTGTGAGACTCCAAGAGTAATTAGCCTAGTGAAGTGAGCCGAACCGGTATGCGCCGCCTGTCTCTGTTTCAGGTACCATCACGCCATGAAGGCCTTCAATGGAGCTTGGGCGTTGACAGAGCGGCGGGGTAGCGTCACACAAGAGTTAAGAGGATGCCGTAGAGAGCTAGTAGATTCCAAGACTTACCCGAATCGAGGGATAGGTATATGTACAGTTAACCTTTCGGGACATCAGAAGCATCCCGTCAGATACTCAATCGGCCATCTAAAGCGCCTTTACATCACCGGAAAGGGATAATGTTGCAGACAGGGACATAAATTAACTTGCTTGATATCATTGCCGGGTGGGAGCGGCACAGGGTTAGACTTTCCCCTCTCGTAAATCATGGACCAATGCTGAGCTTTGACACATTTTTTGGCACTAACACGCCACTGACGGCACCACTTTTGGCTCTTTTCTTGTAGGCACACCTCCTAGCCGTGGCGAGGCAGGGACGACTGTCGTCGACGTCACAAATCTCTTTGTTCTTATCAGCAATCTAAGATGATAGGAGACACACCCCTCACTCAAGAGAGCATTTTTCCACGAGAGTAAGACATGATTCTACCAAAATTATGAATCGTAGCTCTGTTCTTACATCCACAATAATTTCCCCCTTTTCCTGCTCACCTGCTCTTTATCATTTTCTGTACCGGCCGTGTTAGCCGTTGAGTGCGTTCAACAGGTCATGACCGGAACGAGAAGGTGGAGACGGCCGGGGCCCCATGGGCAACGAGCGGATCCCCGCATTAGCGTCATGGATCGCCGTGAGAGCGCTGGAGCGGTCTGAGCCGGCAAAATAATTCTGCCCATGTCCACCGCCTAAAAGCGGCAGGACCCTGGCAGCCTGGTGTCAGGTCGACATTTGGAGCAAGTGGATTCGCTCCTTTCTGCCTTTTAGGTTGCAACCCAATCCTCGAACCACGAACACGTCAATCCAACCATGGCCAGCCTACCCCCTGACACCATCCAAGTGAAACGGAAACGTGGCAGCGATGACGACGGCATCGACTTTCTCCGATTTGAGGAGACCAAACGATCGCGTTCCGACGATGGCGGCGGTTGGGTGTACCAGCGCAAGCAGATCGCGGCGAACCGACAGCGCCACGCCACCGAATCGTCGAACCCCACCGCCGAAGTTCCCGTAATCCAGCCGACAAAAGATGGCGAGGAGGGCCGGCCTATCAAGCGCCCGCAGAAACCAGCTCGAGGCCATGCGAGGAATAACACCACGTTGCAAGGGGCTGCGAAGGACACCGCGAAAGCGACGGCGCCTAGAAGCACGCCAGGCACCAGGCCAGCAACACCTGTGCCCGCACCCGCTTCACCCGCGCCTGCAAGTCATCTGGCAACTACCGAGCGCACACGTCGCTTCCACCTGGCACGATCCAACTCGCCGCAGCCGCCCGCAGGCGTGTCCAAACGGCGCGCCCTGCCCGCGGTGTTCATCGAGCGGGGCGCGAAGAAACAGCGCGAGACGCTCAAGTCCATCATCCAGCAGGAACGCAATGCCACCCCAGCCGGGTCCCCCTCCCCGCCAGAACCTGCATCCAGCCCCGAAGCAGACAACAGCCGTAACAACAAAAACCCAATCGTCGCACGTGAGCCAAGCCCAATCAAGTATAAACGGCCCGGCAACCGAGCGTGCACCCGGGCGTCCGACGAAAAGCCCACACTGCCCCCCTCGATGCGCAGCAGAAGTGAGAGTACCGACATGAACGCCCTGGCTCTCGTGATGGATAGCTGGACGATCGACGAGATCACCAAGAACCTCAATAGGATGGACGTGCGGAGCACCACCTCCAAATCAAGCCCGGCGCGATCGCGGTTCAAGCCTAAGGCGCCTAAGCTGCGCTATTTCGAGCGCCACCCGGAGTCTGTTAGGGGGAGGAAGGTGGAGCAGTCGAACCCACCGGGGGCTGCGGCTATGGATGTGGATACGGCGATGAGCACGGGTATGGCTGATACCACAGACGAGGAAGACTACGTGGTGGAGACATACGAGCGTGTTCCTGCAGAACGGCTACGGAACCAGGCGGTGCCGGCTCACCGCGTGGGGTTGTTGGTGTTTGATACGGAGCCGGATAAGGCCGAGTTCTTTTATGGAAACGAGAGCGATAGCGAAGACGAGTTCCCTGAAGATGACGAGGATGAGAATGGTAAGATTTGTTTAAGAGTTAAAGTTGGATTATTCAAGTGGCTAACGAGCGTTCTAGCGGAGAACTACTACGCCGCAGACTACCCCGATGAGGACCTGGACTGGGACGATGAGTTTGGGCAGAATCCTTACCAATTCACAAACCAGAACGATTCGGACAAGGAAGAGTACGACGAGCTGGATTATGACGACGACGATGTTTGGAACGGCAGCCGTCCACCCGGTATAGGTTTCAGGGCGGGTTGAGAATGGAGACTGAAGGTCGCACAACATGTTTAAACGGTCGTGGAGGTTATAGAAGTTTATTTAATAATACAGGTGACCTGGTGTCGCTGTTTTTTTCACAAACTCTGTACAGACAAGTATCTGAACCTTGGGTTAGAAAGCGGTCGATTCCGGAACCGTCCGTTACAAATACAATTTCAATACACACTATTCAAATCATGCAAACCGCCCACCCAAACGACAGTTAGCCTCCCAGTAGCTCTCACATGAATCCCAATGAAGTAAACCGAAATCACTAAACTCCTACCATCCTTCCAATTCATACCCGCCCTGGTTGATATACCACTGGAGTTTAAACAACGGAGGCTAAAGCTCATCATGGAATACAACAACAGAGTGCTGACTCGAGGAAAGGCAGCCAGCCTGGCGATCGTGGCCGCGATCCAGTGGCTGCCGTCCGAGTTCGAGAGCCCAACGCCCACCATCAGACGAACTTTACATGGTCCCCAAGAAATATAACCCAGCCCAAAAGAGCGAAGAGGGAAAAAGGGAAGTAGGTATGAACTCCAGACGACCCGTCGTCCCAAAAACGGCACCAACGTAAAGCGTAATGACCGCACAAAGCAAAACGTGAACGTGGAAGATCGTAAGGCACCTGTGCTTAACGAGCGATGTTAAAAAATCATCAAAACAAAACATTCGTGACCTGGAACGCCGGACATGCTACGAGCGCATCGAGCATACAGCTAGCCACTCTTCTCTCTGTCGACGCCGTTTTTCCGCTGGGGTTATGTGTGTTAGCAATTTTCTTTTAGATCCCAATACCGCGATCGTAACTAGGGAATAAGGGAAGTAGCCCAGGAAAATGGACCCTTTTTAACAAGAAAATGGGAAAAATGAAAAAAACTCACCAGCATCCCGCGCAACAACCCGATGCTCAGCCCTTACCCACTCATTCCTCTCATCCACCAACTCCTCCGGGAACCGCTCCAGCAGCGAAATCCGCGCCTTGCGACACTTGACCCCGCGTGTGCGGTACGCCACACCCTTGTACACCTTGTACACCTCCTTCCCCTCTTCTTCTTCCCCTCCCTCTCCCTCTTCACGATCGTCCTCTTCGTCTGATCCACTACCACCCCTAACCTCACACCCCCCCAAATCCACCTCCCTCTCCCCCCCCTCAACCAAAACCAACTCCCCCGTTGAATCACCGCCTGTGGAAATAACATCCGGAACCCTCCCATTAGCCCGGTAATAAGCACATTCCAACCCCCCCACACTGCGTGCGATATCAGGCCAGCGGGCCATGTACGCTTGGCGGACGCGTTCCCACGGCAGGTCGAGGTCGATGCGGTGGTAGACGACAAAGGCTTCTTGCTCGAAGGTGTAGGGTTTGTTGTTGCGTTTTTGTTTGGGGGGTTGGGTGTCTTTTTCTTTTGAGGGTTTGGGGTGGTTGGGTTGGGGCTGGCCTTTGGGTGATGAGGAGGTCTGGGTCTGGTGGTGGCTGGGGGTTGTTGGGGTTCGAGTTGAGGTTGGGGTTTGGGGAGTTAGGTGTTGCTGGTATGACGAGGGTGAAGGAGGTGGAGAGTGGATGTGAGTTGTTGTTGTTGTTGTTGTCGTTATTTTGAGAGAGGGTGTTTGGAACGGGGAATTTGTCAGTGCTGGCGCTGGACCCGAGACTCGATTTCGCGTGTCCATGAACACCGGAATAGACTCCCTCACGGGCGAGGCCGGCGGAGTGGTGATCATGGCGTGGTCCATGGGATAGTAGTCTTGCACGTGAGGATCAGAAGTACCATCTGACGGTATCGTCCGACGCAGGCGCACTTGGTGCTTGGAATTGCGTCGCTGACGGCCTCTCTCACGGTCTTGGCCGGGCCGTTCATAGCGGAATTGGATCGAGCCGGGGTGGTGAATCGGAGCGAGGTGTGGCTGGCTGTTCATGTTGAAATGGGTCGTACCAACGCAGCTGGCGGACGCTCTCCGTGGTCCAGTGCACGAGGGAGGCAACATGAAATTCGGGGGCTGGCCAGGAACGGATCGTGGCCGAGGAGGGATGGTTGACCAGTTGGGATGTGAGGCCGTAGGAGAAACAAAGGATGGTGCCACGGGAGACGGAAGTGGTGACGGGGGCATCATTGGGTAACTGGTTGACTGAATTGGCGGAAGTGGAAAGCTCCTGAGGAGGTCGGCGATGGGCGGAAGCCGTTCGCCATGGTAGCTACCCGAGGAGCCCCCATACCTAAGGCCCTGTGGGTAATGAGGTTTCTGCGTCTCTCTCATTGGAACGTTTGGTAAGCTGTAGGAGATCATTGTCAAGGTGGAAGGAGTCGAGCAAGGTAAGGTAAGAGAAAATGGATCCAGTAGTAGATGGAAGAGGCGACGGGGGTCGTATCGTAGATTTAAAAGTGGCACGGCCACGAAGGACCCGGACTTATCAGAGGCAATGCTACATATACAAAGTGACCTTCGGGACGCCCGTCAGCACTTGAGCGTATCAACGCATAAACAACTTCACAAGCGGCGTTGGGACTCCTGCATGGAAGGAGTCTGGACCACAGGCTATCGCCGTGGTGATCATCTCCACTTCTCTCATAGCGTGCAGTAGCGCCATCGGCAACCCAGGACTGTGTAGTTCCAACCTCCTTCCAAGGCGTTGAGTCGTTGACCTACCGGCCTATTTGTCGGCTCGGGCGAGAGGGTGATGGAAAGGTAGGGAACCCAGGACTTTCTTTCCTCTTGGAGGACAATAGATGGGCCCATTTGGGGGGTAGCCAAGCGCCCTGAGAGGTCCCGGAGAGACATCGTGCTGAGTGTACTGTCCCTCGGGGAGCTTAAACGTCTACACCAAATGTAGATAGGCGATGGCGAAGGGGGTGAAGAAAGACTTGAGATCCCTGTTCACCTGGACGCGCCAAACGGCTTTCGATGGCCGTACAGTGGCGATTAGAGATCGGCATGCGGCTTAGACGGATGGCTGGACACCTGGACTTCCTCACAAGCTGAGCAGACCCTGCCGCGCATGGATGTGCGAGGGGTTGCATCCAAGATCTCGGCCTTGGCAGAATGGTCGCCCGGTGTGATAGTGGTGATGGTCGATGACGGGATCGGCTGGCCCGGAGAGAGGGGGGTGGTCCAGCGGGTTCGTATTTCTTCTTCAAGAGCGTAGGCGGGGCTGGTTGGAAGCATTGAGGGGAACACGCAACGGTTTTTCGGTTGGCGCAATGCTGCATGACCATACGTCAAGTGCGCTTGTACCTTCTGGGAGCGGTACCCACGGTCTGACGTCTGCCCTAGAGCAACTATCACGTCGAGTCGTCGACCATGTCGACCACGATGCCGGTGTTACCGAATAACTCGTCGAATCGTGAGCCACACCCAAGAGAATCAATCATCCAGACTTCCAATGCCCAGTTGTCCTGCCCTCGCAGGCTGCGCGGCATCCGGCTGCAGACCCGCGGTAATGGTGGTCTCCCCGCAGCGATAGAGCTCGAAACTCGAGCCGCGCAGCGTTGCACCCTGCGCATTGCCCGCATACCGAGATGCAGTCGTGACTAAAACAATAACCACTTCCTAAGTATTTGAGGCATTCGACTTCTTACCTCTAAATCCAGGGGGAAAAACCCATGACAACACATTGGCCCGAGATTCAACTCTTGATCGCGGCGGGAGACATGCGCCGGCGATAGAATGGTCCGGGGAAGAAACTGAAAACCGTTAGGACAAAATACGGGGAAGTCGCTGGAGTCGTCCTAGCTACGATACAGTAGCTCGAGAATAAGTGGGTGTGGAGATTGTATCAGGAGCCCCAGACCGGTCTGGGGCGTCGTTCCCTTTTCCACAATTTCTAGACGTTCCCCTCTCATGGTCGAGGGACGGAATCGGATAAGCAGGAGGATGCAAGACTCATAACCCAAGACCGAGGACTTGTTGTTTTGCCGTCTCTGGTGGGAAGAATCGCAAGGAAGAGTCGTCAAGGGAAGCGATAGTGTGGAGGGGTACAAGCCGTGATTGGTTAGGTGGTGCGGGCCCAGATCGGTGGGTCGCAAAGGCTATTCCATTTACAGATTAGCGCAATTGGCAAGGGGTTGCGACATGTCTCTGGCCTGATCTGGAAGCCGCGCGATCTGCCAGCCCGATGTCTTTTGCATGAGCAAAACGAATCAGACATCACTCGTCCCATTGAAACAGGATAGATAATATGGATCGCCTGCACCGAACCTGACTCGGAAAAGCTAGTGTAAATGTATCTTGTTATCCATCCCTGACAGCGGACAGCTTCAACTCCGACGGAAGGCATGCTCAAGGTTTTCCCCGATCCCCTCTGAAACCTGGGTGGTTCCTTCCCGTCTCTGGTCTGGCCAGAGCGCCCAGGCTTGCCACATTTGGTGAAAAGGGAAAGTGCTAGTTATCTCCGGCAGGACCAGCTTGACCATAGGGCAAAACTCGGAATGAGATGAATTCTTCGCTGCTTTCACCCAGTCCCGTCTTGAAACTGCAGGTACCTACCTACCTCTAACTTACTCTGTAGATACTAGCCGCCCTACGACCTGGCTCGCTAACCGGATCGTATCTCTATCTCAACTCTCGAAGATATTCTCCGCTCAGGCAGATGCAGTGAAATTCTCCGGGCCGGGAATAATGTTACGATAAGTGGCTGGGGCTAACCACGCGCGCTAGATATCGCAATTACTGCGTTGAGATCCCACCAACGAACGCATCGTCCAGACTCCAGGTCAACCCTAGCTTGTCTGAGAGCTAAAGCTTCCCTCTCGTTGCCTCCTCTCGACTCCTCTCACTCTTGTCCCTGTCTTGGGAAACACTGCCCGGGGCTACCGTGCTCCCCAACATGCTCTGCCCTGTCTCCGGACTCTTGAAAGACTCGTCGCCAAGGAATCGCCTGAATCGACTTGTTAGCGTCATTTGATCATATGAGGGGAGGCTCTACACTACGCTGTGTAGACAAGGGCCGGGCTCCTTACCATCCCCGCTCCTCACCCAGAGAAAGATGCTTGCAGTCGCTGTTCAGTAAACAGATCCAGCCTCCCGATACTCCCCGGCCTCCTCTCCAGTTGTTCACGTTGGCGTCCTTGCTGCCATGATTGGTCTTAGACACAGCGGTCGGCCTCCCGGAAGCAACAACGTCCGATCTCTGGCCCCCCAAATCTCCCCGGCGCCGGTATTCACTCAAGCCGCACGTAAAGCACTGGAAGTCGTCGGTCTCAATACTCTCAGGCATCTCCCCGGTCAGCACGCGACCAAGAGCGATGATCACGGCCGCATGTGAACACAACAAGACCGTCCGCACCCCGTCCCTGTCACACTGCGCAACCACCGCTTCCATCGCCGCCGCCACCCGGTCGTGCAACTCGTCGATGCCCTCCCCCTTGCGGTTTGGCGTGACCATCGGCTCGTAATCTGACTCGATCAGGTCTGGAAAGAGCGGGTCCAGTATTGCGATGCTCGCCGGGGCTGGGTGTTCGAAATCGGCACTGCCGTACCACTCACCGAGACCGGTCTCACCCCGGATTTTCAGCAGGGGTGGCGATCTCCCGCCGGTGCCGGGTTCTTCCGCCGCTTGCGGCTGCGTCTGCTGCGTCCGCGGCGTCCGGCGTTGTCTCCGGCGCTGCGCCTCGCGCACGAACGGCTCGATCGTCTGCAGACAGCGGTAATACATGCTGGAGTACACCCGCTCAACGGGGGGATCGAGAGTGAGCAGCTTGGCGGCGAGCTCATTGGCCTGGTCGACGCCGTGCGCCGTCAGGGTTGGGTCGGCGGCGAGGCCGGTGGGTGACTTGAGAAACGATGTGTAGCTGCCGTTGGACGGGTCAACAAGCCAGTTGGATCGGAACTATCAAGAGCCGTGTTTAGTCTCGCCATTTCGCGATTTCGCCATGTTGGTTGGGAGTTGAATTGAACCCGATAGGTTGAGAGAGAGGAGGAATCAAGCAGAAAAGGGATGCGAGATGTTCTCCCGGCCTTCCATGATGCTGTCTCACGATCTCTTTCCACGATCGGAAACAAATGACATGCGATTTTGATTCAAACTTACCCCATGGCGAGTGACATATATCGTTTCCAGCATGGCTTAGCTGCGGCACGGCCTATTCTGTCTGTCTCAAATCTCAACCCCTGTCTTCGATGTTAAAGGGAAGGTTTCCGATCTGATCGATTGGCCGGGGCTGGTCGATGTCGTTTGTTTCCCTTGCTTGATGTAACGTAGGAGTTTTCTCGGAATTTAGGTAATGGTGGTGTGGTTCAACGATGACGCCGGAATTGAAGCCGATGGTGGGTGTTTCTCTATGTATATGTCGTATTGTGTTTTGATTCAGATGAAATCAACCCTGATCAGGAATGAAGGGGTTCCAAGTCAAGGGAGGATGGCGTCCGAAAAGAGAAAACCTCGGCGAAAAGGGTAAGAACAAGACAGAGGACACGGGGTACTCAACCCGGTGACATGGAAAGTGGAAACCCGTCTTAAAACCGGCCTCCCTTCTTGAAAAGCAAGGTGTAGGAGTGAATGTTGATGCTTGTGTAAGTGTGTGTATTGCAGATGGTTGCAGGAACCCGAACTCGGCCCGGCAGCAAACAGCGGGGAGCCGAGGTCCACTGGAGGAGGCACGAGGGGATTTGACATGTGTAACCCTAACCCTGTTTTATTGACCCCCTTGCTCATGTGTTGTTTACCCTTGACCCTTTACCCCCTAATACCCCTTACCCCTTTTGTTTATTATTGTTGTTTGCGTTGTTTCAACATTTGCTTTGGAGGCGGGAACGGCCGTCGCTAGATTGTGTAGGTTTTTGAGATTTGTCATGAATGAGGCTTTGGGGTGTTTAAGAGACCGAAATGAGAGTGTTTCCTATCGGGATGAGGCTGACCACGCCAACGATGTTGTAAATTGTGAATTGTTTGTGTAGAAGGAGGGTTTGAAGTAATCCATCTATTGATATATTTGTCCGGGTGCCGTTAAACCATCGCTCAAATTTCTCTCCACAGCATACACCACCTCTATCCATCTCTACATCAAGCCCCTTAATCTGATCGGAAACATTGCCCATCTCAACCCCATTCGCAACCTCACCGTTGCCTCAACTCCCGCTCATGCCTCAGCCAAAAATTCCGACACGCCCGATGCCCCCAAAACTCAACCCACCACTCCCCAAAACTATCCTCCACATCAAAATCCACCTTGGCCACCCGCTCATCCCGCTTCAAGCCACACACCACACACGCCTTAGGCGCCGTAGGCACATTCTTCGCTGTACTCACCGCCAGACCCACCGCTACGTCGGGAACACGCAGGTTAGGCCCAGAAGATGAAGTCGTAGTATTAGTATTCGCGGCATTCACGCCCGCTACAACAGTCCTCAACCGACCGACCTGCTTCTTCCACACCCCCGCCACCTCCGCAGCCTCCCGTTCATCATGCGCCGCATGCGCTTTATCCACGCTCGCCAACTTCATCCCTCTTTGACCGCCCCCCGCACTCGGAACCGCCGCGATCGACATGCCCTGCGCGAGAAACTTGTCCCGCAGCCAGCGCTGTCTCCGACCGGCAATGAGACGGGCTGCGACGGTGGCTAGGGCGAGGTAGCCGCGCAGGAAGGTGAGGGTGGCTGGGGCAGCGAGGACGCGCTGGTAGGCGGGGGAGGAGGCGGGGAGGGTGAGGAGGGGTTTAAGGAGGGTGGTGGAGGCTAGGTCGAGGAGGGTGGGGAAGAGGGAGAGGAGGATGGCGGGTGGGGGGATGTTGGTTGGTGGGGGGCCGGGGTTGGTGTTGGTGTCATTGTCATTGTCGCTGTCGTTGTCGGGGGATGGGGGGAGTGTGGGTTCGAGTGAAGGGGGTGGTTTGGCGGAGGGAGGGGGGTTCTTGGTTGTGGGCTGGTCGTCGGTGGTGGACCAGTCTTGCCATTCCCATTCGGGAACGGTGGTTGTGCTTGGTTTCTTTGATATTGGCTTGGAGGTATGTTTAGGGTTTTTTATCTTGTTTATTTTGGGTGCTGTTTCCACGGGTTTGGTATCTGAAAAATCGTCGAACGTTGCCCAATCATCGCCAAAGCTGTCAGTTTTGGTCTCCGGCGGTGGTGGCGCCGGCGTCTGGACGGTACCCGGGGCCGTCTTCATCGCTTCCAGAGGTTGCACGTGGAACGTTTTTGGGAGCTCTGGCTTCTGAGCCGTAAGAGAGCCAAATGGGGGCCTGGGGGCTTCCGAGTAAGCCTTTGAGCCTGCTGGTAAAGCTGCATTCGACAAACTAATACCAGAAGGATGTATCTGAGTTGGCGTTGGGGCTGGTGTGAAATCCGAGTCGAGAGAGAGCAGGTCGAGGGCAGATTTCGGCGGGGCGGCTGGTGGGTTCATAGCGACTGGCGTGTCCGTCTCAAACTCGCCAAAGTCATCGTCCTCATCGAGATCATTTTCCGCCTCGAAATCCGCATCGAACAGCACGTTCGGGTCTGGGTTGTGCACCTGTTTCCGCAGCGACTCCACACTAGCACCTCTTTCCTTCGACGTCTGCTGCTGCTGCTGTTGCTGTGGTGGTCCCTGGGAAGATGACCCCAGATCCAGGTCCAGAAAGTTGTTGGTCACTATCTCGACGGTTGGCATCCTCACGATGGGCGCCCTGGATAAGGTAGAGGCATTGGAAGTGGTGGAAGGTTGTTGTGGGGGCCCATTGCTCGGGGCGACCTCAAAATCTCCCCAGCCATCGTCGTCGTCGTCGTTCCCCTGTGCCTGCGCAGCGGGTGGGTTCTGGGATGTTGAAAAGGAACTTGTTTGGTTCTGCAGACCGCCGAACCCCCCGGTTGATGAAGTGAGCCATGTCTGAGGTTGAGTAATGGGCGGCGGCGACTGAAAGGAGCTAAAAGTTGGTTGCTGAAGGGGCGGCCATTGGCTATGTTGGGTTTGTCGCCCTTGTTCGGTTCCCAACTGTTGCGATTGCTGCGATTGTTGCGTTTGCTGCTTGGGCGCAGCGGAATCCGCGGCGTCATTGAACACGGCAAACAAATCGGCCGACATAATTAGTCATTTGCGGCCCCTTTGGCACCATTCATTTGCAGTAAGGGGCTCCAATCCGGACCGTGAAATACCAACAGTTTTGACTTCTTCTGTTGTTCCTCCGTTGCGTTGACGAGGCAGGCCTTGGGCGACAGGTGTGCAGGGGTTAAACAATAGTGGGGCACCTGTGTTGTTGAGGGTTAGGGTTATGCATGTATGACCCCCGCGCTCCAAACATGCCGGCCACCGGTGTTTCCACACAACACAACATAACTCAGAAACATCAAGCTCTTGTCTGAGCTAATACTGAGGTAACAGTCGGGCCCTTTTGTAATTGGGGGGAGAAAAACGCAAGTCTACAAGCCAGCTTCACCGCCAAACAAAATGAGCGGCTCCCCAAGTGGAAACCATTTGGAAATGGCTGACAAAGTAAAATCCCGTTAACTAACCGAACTGTTTACAAAATAAGCAGTTCAAAGTTTCTAATCTAGAAAAAAGGCTTTAATAACTACCTAGATAAGCATGTCATGATTTTTGGTTTAAGCACCCCAGGCCTCTGTAGGCTGGCACTTCTCCTCTATAATAGGTATGACTAAGAACAATAACAATGATCACAAATCAAAGAATTCCCAGTTTACTTACATTTATTCAAGGGGTAAGTTTGCTGTTATATAATAGGTACTGTTTCTCAGGTCAACTTTCTGTCTCAAGTGCAGTAAATAAGAGAACGAGAGAGAGTTAAAAGGTTTGAATGCACGTACGCCTCACTATACTATGTCATAATAATGAAACGAAACGAAATGTTCCAACTTCTACAATGAGTACATGCATCCCAAACAAACCTAACGCTCGAACCTTACACAGCAAGACAAGCTCCTTGAATCATTCGAAAAAAAACTCAGGGTATAAAAGGAGAGTTTTCTGATCCTAGTGTGGTTTCCCAACCATAAAATTCTTGCATCCAACACGTTTCGCCAAACCACTGAATTTATCAACCCAACCCTCCCAAGCCCCGATCACAACTTCAACTCTGCAGTTTAGCACACCCCTCGGCGAAACCTACGAAAGAATGGCGGAAATTCCCAACTCTTGGGCACCGCCCGCAACTGCACCCGGCAGTGGTGCCAGAAGCGCCCGAACTAAGCGCACAGAGCATTCGTCTTCGCACAACAGCGAGGCAGGCGAGTTCCAAGTCTCAAATGTCCGGTTCCGCGCCGCGGCGCCTCCTGCCTTTCCATCGCCCATCCAGACGGCCTGGAACCACCCCGCCTGCCAGCTTATTCGCACAGCCTTCGGCCCGAAGCTCGAGCGTGGTGTCACCGAAATAGTCTTGCGCAGCAACATCAAACTCAAGTATCCGGAAGACCCTGCCCAGATTGTATTCCGCTATGTCGAAGGCGAGGAAGAGTCGACGGGGCAGCCCACGGTTGTTGTGATAGCGAGGTGGGATGAGGCGTGTGGCCCCGAGTGGGAGCGCACCGTCATCGAGGCGAAGCGATTCATCGATGGGGCAAAGGTCGCCGCCACGGGCAAACTCGATCATCTGGATATCGGGGTCGAGCTGATCGCGCCAGAGTTGACGCGCACGAAATTCGTCTCCTACATCCCGGAGACAGAGTCGACAAAAGCACTCGCTACCGACTGGGAGGCCATTCGGGCCAAGGTCAGCCGGATCCTGGGCGCATACCCGGCCACAAAGGGGAAGGTGACGAGCATCGCCTTGTTCAAGCTAGGGTTCTCGGATGAAGACCGAGATAAAAACCATTTGACGATATATATCTCGGTCAGCTACGATTCGCCAGAGGCCAGGTGGTCCCCGGCCATCCAAGAGATCCAGCAACACCTCGACAGTTACCCGTACGGGTTGACGGCGCATATCGAGCATAATGACCTCAACTCCCCCTACGAAAGCTTCGACTTGTTACTGAAGCCGTTGACTGACGAAAGGCTTAAGTGTAAACAAGGCCTCGAATTCCACACGACTCGGGAGTACAAGACCAGGGTAGAGCTGGGCGAGGACATCAGCCCTGCGACATATCTCACGGCAGACAGCGGGGAGAAGTTCATGCCCAGGATCGGCACCTTGGGCTGTTAGGTGGAGATCAAGATGAAGGGTTGCTCAGAGTGGACAAAGTTCGCCCTCACGAATTACTACGTTGTACGCTCGGCGCTCGAAGGCTTCCAGGTCGGAGAGCAAAATGGCTGCACTTTCACGCTCCCCCCGTCGATGGCTCCGATCTTTGGAAAGCCGACCACTGCGGCATCGGGCCGAAGGCGGCAAGGCTTTGTTCGCAGCCCGTATAGATGGAACACCCAAGCCGTTCGATGCACTGGTTCTCCGTCCAGTTCACCGAAAACGAAATGGACGAAATCCCCGACGGCGTCCCGGAGAAGAAGGCTTTGGGGGACTACCTACGCAAGATCAAAATGTTTTTCGGTGACGGCCATCAGACGTTGGGGACCATTTTCGCGGCTTCAGGATACCGGAGGAGAACACCTCGGAACGGCCGGCTGGACTGGGCGTTGATCCAGCCGGTGGGCGAGCACCGGGTTGGCCAAAACATACTCCCGACGCGCTCGGAGTGGAACGCAAAAAAGTTTCTTGTGTCATTGCCACGCTATCAGCGGCAGCAGCAAGGCGATCCGCCGATACTCTAGCAACCACCATCCTAGGGCCTCCGATCTACCCCGAATGGCGCATTCATGTACAACATTGGGGGGACAACTGGTCTAGACAGGGGCAGATTTTCCCACTTCAAGGCCCGCGTTGCCATTGAGGAAGACAGACACGTGATGTCGGCCATGGGCACGGCCAGGTATGAATCTGAAGAATCGATATACATTCAATTCGCGTGGCGGCGGTCGGAGAACCTTATGGCAGACTCGGGCTCTGTGGTGTTTGATCAGGAAAGCGGAGCTGTGGGGATGTTGTTTAGGGGGCACAGAGCTCAGCAGGCTGCTGGTTTCTGGGCCTATTTCACACCGATTGAGGATATCTTTGAGGATATCAAGTTTTTCATGGGCAAAGCAATCATAGATATTCGCATTGCGATGTGAGGGACAGGTTTGGGGGATGTCTGTACAATACAATTATCTGATGTAGGGAATGAAATTAAAAAAGATTGAGAGACGTCATATATATGTTTATAACGAAGAAAGAAACAAGAAGAGAGAAGTAGAAAAGAAGAGAGAAGTAAAAAAGACAAGAGATGCATAAAAGAGGAGAGGAACAGAAAGAGGAGAGGAATGGAAAAAAGAGAGAAGTAGAAATTATAAAAGAGTCAGAAAAGAAGTGAGGATGAGGAAAGAGAGAGAAGTGGAAAAGAAAAAGCGTAGTACAAAATAGGAAGTTTTCGGCATCAGACAGCTCCAGTTACTTTGAGTCCATGGTATTATATCCAACTGTCGGTCTATTTCGTCGTTCCGACGTTCCGGCATCCCGGTATCGCCGTTGCGGCTCATAAAAGGCGTATATAGAGGTCAGAAGATGTCAGGCTGTGATCCGACTCTGTGGACAGGACTGCTCGTTGCGACTAAACAGGGGACAACAACAGGGATCCGGATTCCATGCTTCCAGCCTTCTGATTGGCGGTCAGCCGCATTTTGGAGCCCCGCGGTGGAGCCTTTCACCCCACCACGTTTTGCAGCATTGCTGAGGCGGTGGGAACCCTGTTCGTTGTGTCGTCGACGTGGGCTGATGTTGAGATGATTCGACGTCGCCCGTCGCTTTGAAAGGGACAGACAAAAAAAGTGAAGAACACGAAAAAAAAGGAGGGAGGAAGAAGTTGAGTCACTTTTCGAATCCATCGCCTTGCTTTCGTGGCGGCCGCTTACGAGCTTGGGTCCGGGGCCTTTTTATCTCACGATTCCCGGATCGGACTTGGTCGACTCCGCCCAGAACATGCACATCATCACCAACTTCATCGCGAACTTCATCACCGTCACCATTGCCACCACCGCCATCAGAACTCTCACATACTCCATGACCCGATAACCCAGAAACCGCTGCTCCTATGATCTTCTGAATGCATGATGCGAACCCTGACCGAGACGAGGTGCGACCCCCTACTATCTATGTATTCTCATAGGTTGTTCCTACCTACAAGAAGAACCGAAGCTAACAAGCAGACTCCCAAACCACAGATCCCGATGGCAAGCCACATTCCAACACGGCTCCGCCATCGCTGACCTCCAACGGGCCGTCAAATTCCACAACGGCCCCGGAGACACCACCACCCGGAACCGAAGCCAAAGCCCCTGCACCGCCGGTCTACGCTCCCTCTGCTGGAAAGCCTTCCTCCTCTGGCGTGATATCCCCCCCTCCGATACCACCCAATGGCTCACCCACACCCGCGCAGCCCGCACTTCCTACACAGCTCTCAGCACACAACACCTCCAATTCCTGCGCGTGCACGACCCTCAACAGCGCGCCGCGCTCCTCTCAGCGCACTTCGACCCCTTAGCCGACGACCCCGACTCGCCGTGGGCCTCCGTACGGCGGGACGAAGCCGTGCGGGCCGAGATCGCGCAGGATGTGCGTCGGTTACCCGAGACGCCCGCGTGGTACCATGAGCCGGCTGTGCAGGCGATGATGGTGGATATGCTGTTTTTGTATTGTTGTAAGGTGAATCCCGGGTTGGGCGGGTATCGGCAGGGGATGCATGAGGTGCTGGCGCCGGTTTTGTGGGTGGTTGCGCAGGATGCGGTGGAACGGGGGGCGGTTGTTGAGGCTGCGGCTGTGGAAGCAGCGGCTGGGAGGGGGGATGCAGGCGAGGCGGAGGAGTTGTTGGTGATGGGGGAGGTGTTGGATTCGGAGTTTGTGGAGCATGATGCGTTTGCGTTGTTTGTGAAGGTCATGGAGAGCGCGAGTGCGTTTTATGAGGTTGACAACGGGTCGATATCGGAGACGGGGGAAGGGCAGCAGCAGCAACAGCAGCAGAGCAACAGCATTGTTGAGCGGAGTAAGTACATTCATGAGGTGGCGCTCATGAAGATTGATGAGGAGTTGGCGGTGCATCTCAAGACGATCGAGGTGTTGCCGCAGATCTTTCTGATGTGGGTATCTCGCTTTTGTTTTGCCCTTCCATGTTCCATTCCGCCAAAGCTAACGTGAGCAGCCGGTGGATTCGACTATTGTTCGGCCGAGAGTTTGAGTTTGAGCAGCTGCTCACCCTGTGGGACACGCTATTTGCGTTTGACCCGTCGCTAGAACTCGTCAATCTGATCTGTGTTGCGATGCTTCTCCGCATACGGTGGACTTGTAAGGACCCCAGGAATCCCACGTCTATATCGTCCCCGAAGCAGACCGCTAACATACTCCAGTACTCGAGGCGGATTACTCGGTGGCCCTCCAATCCATGCTCAAGTACCCGGCCCCTCCACCTCCCCACGGCCCTTACACCTTTGTCGATGACGCGCTATATCTCAAAGATCACTTTGACGCCGCGGGCGGCGTGACCCTAATCTTCAAATACACCGGCAAGAGCCCAGCCAACAGGCCCGTCAGTGCCCCAGCCGCGGCCCCAACACCACCACGCACCTCAACGCCGTCGTTCCAGAAACTCAACAGTCTACGACAGCGTACCATGTCCGCCCGGGCCCCCCTATCCACCTCCGCGAGGATCCTCCAGCAACCCGGTGGTGTCGAGGCTCTCCTGCAGGGTGCTGCGAAGAACGTAATGGAGCGCGGAGAGAAACTCGGCATCAACCGAGCCGTACGTGACGCCGTGGGCGAGTTCCGCCGCAACGTACAGCAGGGGTTTCAGGAACCCCGCAGTCAGGGGTCTCGCAGTCCGGGGAAGAGCCGCCGCAGCATGTTTGGCGAGATCAGCCCGCCCTTCGCAGACGAACCTCCACTCACCATTGCGCTGATGGAACGGCGAAATACCCGGCTGGCCGCCATGCTGGACGAGTCCGTCACCGAGCTCAAGCGGCTGGCCACATCCGGGTTTGTTGACGAAGGCGGGGATGAGAAGGGCAACAGCAAAAATCATCGGGAAACGGTGGAGATCGCGGCGGCCAAGGTGCAGTTTGTCAAGGCCTGTCTAGAGGATTCTTCCCTCGCTTTACCCCCGGAGGAAGAACCAGAACTCCCCGCGATCAGTGCCCTCGCCATATCCGCCTCCAGTCCGACAGAGAGCAACAGCGCGCCAACCGTGGCCCTCGACACAACGCCCGTCGTCATGACCTCGTCAGCGGTGGAAGAGACTCGGACGGCCTTGTCCAGCCCGCGGTCATCGTCGTCCAGGATATCCGTCACTTCTTTACCCAAGGAACCTCCTATCGGATCGTCTAGTACCCCACTCTTCCCTCAGTCCGACGCTATGGATACCGATTCTCACGAGGTCAACGACGACGAAGAGGAGGGAGGCCAAGATACCCTTTCGCCTCTCCAATCCGAACTCACACACTCTCCACCACACTCTATCCCCCGCGACATCCTTCTTCCTGACGTCCTCCCCGATGTCCTCCCCGATAGCTCAGCCCATCCCCCCATCCCCATCCAACCCACCACTTCCTCCACCTCCTCTCCCCCATTATTCCCTTCTTCCACTCTCAACACACCAATACCGACGACTACTGCCACTACCACCGCTACCACCACAACGACTACTACAGCCCCAACCCGCCCAACAGGCCCCATCCCAACCCGCTCCACCCTCGCCCAGTCCTCCTTCGCCTGGATGCTCGAACCCGACACCACCTTCTCCTCTTCTTCTGCTTCCTCCTCGGCCTTTTCGTCTTCTATCCTGACCCCGCCTGAGAGCAATGTGGGTGGGTACAGCACAACCGATGTGATGGGGCAAAAGAAGAAACGGACGAATCCCAGTAGAGAGCGGAATGCGTTTTTGTTTGGGGAGGTTACGGGTATGGGGGATGATGGGTTGTTAGGGGGCGTAGGCGTGGGTGAGGCCGGGAGGAGGAGGAATGGGAGTGGGAATGGGGTGTCGGCGGATCAGATTTTTGGGTTGCAGCCTATTCGGAGGGGGTGATGATGATATACTAAGGAAATGAACTAACGAATGGAACGGTGGATTTGGGGGCTAGGCTTAGACAATGGTACTGGGCGTTGGGTGGAACGGATTGGGTCGGTGTTTGGGTAGTGTGATCATGTAGACAGGAATGAATGATGTGTGTCAAGCTGTATTGTTCGACAATTGGGTGTGGGATGTGGAATGTAGAGTGTGTCTTGGTGGGATTAATGTCCTGAGGTGGCCTGGGTTCTGTCAGTCAGTCGGTCTGTTTCCGGGTGTTGTTTTATTCTTTTCCTTTCCTTCGTTTATTTCAGGTTTCCCTGTCCCAACTATTTATTTCTTTGTCTCAACTACGTATTCGCTGTAATATTTCCACCACCCACCTGCTTCCTTCTACAATCTATTTATTTCAATCCTAACCGTTTTTTGCTATTCATTCCTAATATTCACATCCTATTCCCTCAGCTTAGGGCCTCTACTTCGTCACCTCTCCGTTTCATCTCACCTCATCTCTGTTCCCAACTACCCGGTATCTGGGATAATGACACGGGCCGTTCCCTGTATAACCTGACACCTGGCTAGTCTGGCCACCATTGGGCCGGGGGACTTTTACTCCTGCATCTCACTACAATACAACACTGACCGTCATACTGTTCGTGCTCCCACCGTGGGCGTTTAACTTGAGATTTACCCCCCGCACAACTCCATTGATCTTTTCTGGTGGACATACCGCAGAACGGACGAGCCATCGGACTCGTCGCGACCGTTGATACACCAAGCGAAACATCTCAAGGAACAACCACACACAGACAGCCGTACCTCTTACATGTGAGTCAGCGAGTGCATTGACCTCATCGTTCCTTCCCTCCGTCCTTCCCCCAACACCCACCCTTTATAACCCACTCCCGTGTAGCTCCTTCCAACCGCCCCCCCAATAAATTGACCACGGTCAAAATGGCGTATTTGGGGGAGCCGTGGGCGTCCAAATGGTACACCACGAAAGCAAAGCCTAGGGTTCAAATCCTGCATGCTGCGCCGGCGAAGAAAAACCACCGGGTTTTTCGTAACCGCCCCCCATTCCTTGACCCCCTAGGGGGTTTGAGATGATGGGGCGGTGAGCTTTTTGAGTTTTTATTTTATTTTATTTTTTACTCTGCATTATATTTTTCTTCTGTTGTACTATAAATCTCAACGGTTGGTTGTCTATGTAGTTCAATATCTCTCTATGATTTATTGACCAGCACCTTAATTGACTAGAAACGTTAAAAGGTCTCACGCAATGCCAGCCTTGCCTGCCTTCCTCGTCTCACAACGATCAACATTCAAAGACTATACCCCGAGGACGTGTAATCAGCCTGGTCGTTCTCCTTCCCAACCAAGCCAAAGGGAGCATTCGCGATACCTCCCACGGCGGAAGGAACGAAGCTCCCGCCACACCTGCCCTCGCTGCCAGAAGAGAGCTCAGGAAAGCACAACTATGAACGGTACTTACCTCTCCACGAGGGTACGTACCCCGAGCACCACAGACGCCGACATGGGCGTCATAGCAAGAACGCTTTGATCCCCAACTGAACAACAGACGGATCAAGACGGCACGGGACGGAACGGGATAAACCAGGACGGGACGGGACGGTGCATAGACATAGGCCAAACGCTAAAGAAAAACAAGGGAAACCTGTCCATACTAAACCCAGCAGCTAATTGCAGCTAATTAGTCCTCTGAGCCGGCCAGTCTGGGTTAAAACGAAGTCTCGAATCTATGGCGCCGCCTCAAGCGATGGCAGATTTCAGCAAATCCCCCGTCCAAGCGGATCTAAACGCCTCTCTGCAACTCTAACGACTCGACGATATATCTCTGTTCGCTTGTCGAGATTAGATTGGTATGTAGGTGAGGTCTGAGTTTGTGCACGGAGTTTGTGTTACCGTTGTACAGGCCCAGCACCAAACGTGAGACAGTAATGTGTTGTTACATCTCCCGTCGATCTGATAACACGAGGATGTGACGCGTGTAAGTGTGTGTCTGACACATGGGAAAGTCATGTGAGCTGAGCCTGGGGGGTGATCTTTCCAAAATCTTGCAGCTTCGCAAGCCCAGCCATAAATAACAGCCATAGTGCTGATTTGTCTCGGAAGACGTCACCGTCACCAGCTCTCCCCCACATAACTATCTATATCTACCGATTCGGGAGGGGAGGAAAGACAACTCGGCACCCATCACAGTTGTACAGCTTCTCTTCATCCTATCTCGCTGCCCTGACCCTCCATCTCGGTAAATCTCAAACAACATGTCTCAGACGCTCTACGCTCTACCCGGTCTGTGGTTCCTGTTCGTGTTCATGTTCACGTTCATGTCTACACACCCTCACGTGGCGTGTAGCACAATCCATCTCAAGCCCCCGGGTCCGGGATCGAACTGACGTCGTCTATCGGTCCGTGATTTCTTTTTCCTCGGCGTCCACAAACTGACGTCTTCTGTTTCAGCTGCTTCTTGTCTCAGTTTCTTCCTTTCTTGGGTTTGTTACATGAAGTGGCTTTCCGGATTAGGGAGTACCGGTGCGGTGGATGGCTTGCGCATGGATGTTTGTGGGTGTTTATATGCACAATGTGTCTACCGGAGTCACATGAGACATGGGGACGGTACCCGACCACCGGGTCGGGTTGTCCTTTGTGATGGGGGAGTTGCGAATGGTAACACCAGGCGATCCGGAAGTTCGGAGACGAGGGGATTGTCTCAGCTTGGGACTTCTCCATAACTCCTTCATGTTACACATTTAGGTCTCAGGCCTGGTTTCTTGATCTGATTTGCCTACGGAGACTCAAAGGTGTACTTAATAATGGTGTAACCAAAGCAGAAAAGCAAAGCCACACCAGCCCTGTGGCTTACAGTGACTTAAAGCACATGTTGTGAAAGGTCGAGCTGAAGATCCGAGGGTTTGGTGGGCTTTTCGCTTTTTCTCATGGTTAGTTGTTTCAGAACCACGGTGCCGGTTGGCGTGGTACTGAGTCTTGATTCTCGGAAGATTCACCAACAGCCGCCGGGTTGGCGCATGAAAACCATGTGTAGATGTACATACATGTATGTACGCCTCTCAACCTAGAAGGTCATGGCTAAGACCGGCCAGAGCCCCAACATCGTATAACCCGAGTACGTCCCGAGTACAGCCCGGATCTGCGGTGACCAACTGCACTCAACAAAGAACAGCCCGTCACGATACTTTGAACCCCTCTCTCGTTCGTTGTTCCCTGTGATACCTCCGGCCCAACACAGAAGAAGACAGCAGGTAAAGCCAAGTCTCGTACCTTCACATCCCACCACACCGCGTCACAAGTCACAGCACCCCATCACTGTAACACCACAGACGAGCAGACAGACAGATATAGAAAGAACCCCACAGACGAACGGCCGTTCTCAGCTCAACAGGGTAGCCCCCGCGTCGTACAAAGTACAAAAAGTGTCAAAGCAGGGACCCGAGACAAGGCCGGCGACCCCGGAGCCGCCCCGAGGATCTCAGCATCTTGCCGTCCGTTCGTTCAATCTGACCGCGTCGATGAATATCCCGCCCGCAGGGTCCTTTGATCATGGTGGGAGGATGTGGCCGGTGAGGGTTTGAAGCATCGTATCACATAGTGCTGTATAGTACGTCGATGTGCATTTCCGAGTTGCCGAGTTCCCGAGTTCCGGGGACTGTTCGAAAGACGGTTTCTTTCTTCCTTTCTATTTTTGTCACTGGCCAACAACTACGATCAGTAGGACAGGCTGCTGTCCGTCCGTTTCATGATGACAGCGGAGCTTCTTCTAGCCCAGGTCGGACAGATAACCAGATATGTATCCTTTTGTAAACAAACACACCTCGGTACAGTACCATGGTTACGTCAATTCATCCGTAAACAAGAAGCCTTCCGTTTCTGGCTGCGCTGTGTAAGTAAGGTAGTCCCAGCCGAATACCATACTACTTCCGGCTTTGTATCAACCGCAATATATACTATTCCCACCTCTCACTTACACCCGACACTTACCACACACCCCCCTTTCTAATCCAAACACGATCCCACCTCGCCTCGCCTCACCTCACCTTACCCTGCGTTACATAGTAGATAGCTCGCCTAGCCTCATGATTTAGCCCATACACACGCGCGCGCAAAATACGCACCCTCTGCATATGCCTACATACATACATACTCCAAGACTCCATGCGATGTGTGTACTGTACCTGCGGGTAAACGAGCCCCTTCCTGCCTACCTACCTTACTACCCACTCTACCCGACTTCGTCTTCTTCATGGGACCTGTCCTATTGGTCTAGTATACGACAGTAACCACGCAATACAACACACATACATATCGGCAATCATTGAATCGAGGCCGAGACCGTGACCGTGGCCGCTCCAAGCTGCGGCCGACTTGTCTCGGCCGGCCGTGAACCGAAGTTGGAGCTAGAGCTTGAACCGTGTGATTGTGATTGTGTGTGACCGTGGAACCCCAACCCACCAATCCTCCATTGTCCATTGTGCTCTTTTTTTCGTTGGGCGCCTACTCACTCGCTTGCTCACGCACTCCTTTACCTTTTCTTTCACTTTCATACACGCTTTCTTTTTGTCTTGACCCGTTTACGCTTCCTTACCTTTTTTGATTGACGACCTTTATTCCCGCTCCCGCCTTCCCTTCTCCATCTATCTCCCTTTTCGGGTCACTGAAGCACCGTTACATTCCGCTGTTTTCCACCTCTTTTCCTGGCCCGTCTCTCCATCAATTACCAAACCTGTCAAAAAAAATAATCATCCGCCAGATCTGTCAAAGCCCTTGCCTGTCAAGCAAGCAAGCTCCCCCCCAGTCCCCCTGAGGGTATATTAGACAGAGCAGCATCATTAAAACGTGCTGGCTGGCCCTTTTCTCCCGTCTTCCCGCCATCCCCACCCGCACGCAATCTTCCATATATAAACAATGGAACCCAAACGTCGCAGCCGAGGGAACAGGCGAGGTCGACTGGTGTCGTTCTCGGCTTTGTCGGGCTGCGTGTC